TCATGCTTTGAAATTTGATATTTTTAAATTTCAAAGTTATCATTGAGTATACATTGAGTGTTAAATGTTTGGTGTCTTAATTTACAAGCATTAATTTAGATAGACAAGTTAACATCATGGTATTGAGTGTTCAACCCATCTAGTTTCATACATCTAGTTTAGTGTCTTTTGCAATGGATTGGAAGTTAGGAATAAGAGTACTAGCCTTATAAAAGATAAGTAGGTAGGAGAACCAAACTATTATAAATCTCAAATTTGTTTCCTACTAGAAAAAAGGTACAAACCCTATTTGACTTGTGTAGAAAATGTGATAGTGTATAATCCAAAGAGATAAATTCATGCCCTTATGTGGCTCCTTTGTGGCCCCTTTTAGACAAAAATAAGTTATCACCAATATATCAAACATATATATATATATCTATTTATCAACTAATATGGGATATTTAAATGCCTTAATTTCTAGTTTTTGTAGGCTTTAATTTTCAGCATATGATTATAAGTTTTGATGTCTAGACTTTATATTTTCTATTTTATTGTGAATGTCATGTAAGTTGGAATCTTGGCTAAGAACTCAAAATAAAAATTTGAATGTTTTTATTGACCATGGATTAAATGTTTTTAATAACTAGACAAATAGACGAATTCAATTACAAAGTGTGATTACCAGATTTTAGTTTGTCTAATATATTATCAAATTTAATGGATCTTAGAATTGAGATGTATTAATGATTAACCAGATTATTTAGTCCTTGCCAATTAAGAATTGTGCCATGTTCATAAAGGGCATGTCATAATCTGACATCTAATCATTAATGCAATTTTTTTATGAGTTTTTGTCATAGATATAAGCAGGTCTGCACAATTAAGATGTATTAATGATTAACCTGATTATTGTAGTCATTGCCAATTAAGAATTGTGCCATGTTCCTAAAAGGCATGTGATAATCTGACACCTAATCATTCATGCAATTTGTGCATAAGCTTTTATCATAGAGGCGTGCATACATTGGAAAGATATTTGAAAGATGAAGACTGCTTGGTATGGCTTGAGATTGGATATCTAATATGTCAAAGCCAATAAAATGAAAGCTAATTTGACTACTAGTTTACTGAAAATTAGACTGTTTTGCTAGGATTAACAATTATTCATTCTTATAAGTTAGTGTCCACAAAGGTGTAACCTTCAAAGAAGATTAGTACAAGTATAAGGAGTGAGAGCTCTTGGAATAGGAGATGTAAGGTTGGAGCCAAGCCTCTTTAAAATAGTGTATCATATTTCTTATGTTTAGGCTACCTATTTTTGTCCATAGTCTAATTAACTCAATTATAATGAATTATAACACTTAGACTAATTGACTCAATTATATTGTCAACTCTAACTAGATATATGGTGGCTTGAAGACTTATTTGTTGCATTGTTGAGTACTACTTAGAAATAAATTACAACAATCAAGAAGTCCATTGAATTAAAAAGTATACCCTTTGACATTATGATTAAATAAATTAGAGATATTGATTCAATATACGTTATTATTAAGTATATTCAACCTTAGCCATCTTTGGGTCCGTAATCCATCATATTTGAATCAATGTGCTATTGGGTTTGTGGATCCCATTGTAATCATTAATGCCATTCCCAAAATAATTTTTTTCTTCTAATTGAGATAGAGGCATGCTTGATAGCATAACCATGTTAAAATTCACATTATTACACTTGTAATCTCAAGTATTAGTCTCTATTCTTGTCTATGATTAGGAGAGTATCATGCAATATTAATTATGAATACCTAATTTACTAACTATTACCTTGTAATCTGAAATATTAACTTGAAAATGTTGTATATCAAACTTGTTAATTCTACAATAAGTACATACTAGTTTTATGATATCAATTCAGAGAGTGGATATGTAATTCGATTATTCTAACCTATTTTAAAGAGAATATCTTCTTCTTTTGGCTTGTTGATCTGTGATTGGCCTCTCAGCACTTCTTGTTAGATTTTTAGTTATGAACCATTCCTTCTTATGTTAGGTCTATTCAGGTTTAGGAGACAGAGGACTAATGCTTCTACTCTAAGTAACTCTCTTAGAAGAGAGAGGATTCTTTAATTTACAATATGCAAAGTATGCCATTAAAATTTTCCATTATTTTAAGTAAAATAGGGGCACACCAACTAAGCAATGGTTGAGTAACCTATGAGACATTGGGCTATATAGCCATAAAAATAGCAGTTGGCCCCTCCTTGCTAGTCCCAATGAGATAAGTATGGAACTATGAGGGAATGGGGGGAGGGGCTTGAATTCATTCCATTCAATCTGACCAAATAATTAGAGACAATTTTTATTTTTTTTTCATTTTGTTTAGGTTGAACGTTCCTTGTCTAATTAGACTATTTGACCTTCATAAGCTCAAAAATATATTTTATAAACCTTTTAATACCTTGAAAAGAAATCATTCAACTTCATTATTTGGTGACATTCAATATAAATCAAGAACTATAGTAAAATAGGAAAATCTTGGCCATCATACATTTATCAACCTAATAACATTTTCCATGACATATATAATTCAATTAATTGAGTTCTTATCACAAAAATATGAAAAAAACTATTAAATTATATTTTCACTCATGATTTTCAATATCTTTGTAAGAGTCCAACCCTCTCCACTTACACTGTGCTCCCCCATGCTCTTTCTAGTTTGTGGTAAGTTCCTATCATGATTGCTCAATAATATTAAGTGAAGTAACATGAAGGATAGGGGCATATTTTTCATGTAAAACTTAGTTTCTGTAGGACTTAAATTATCATTATTACTATTATTATAGATATTTTATGATACAATAAAGGTTAGTATATGCTTTCACCAAAAAGAAAGTATAAATATGTTGAAGAAATTCTTAGAAGGAAAAGTAAGCTCTTGTGCTTATGGACTTGTATATATGTACAAGCTGTCAGTGTCAACGGGCCGGGCCCTGAGCCTGTTGATAATGCCCAATACTGCTCCGACCACGTTGTCAATTTGTCTCTATTCATCTCTACCATAAAAAAAGGACACCTTTCTCATGGTGGGCTCTAAGGGCCCGCAAAGAGGGCCGGAGCCCATTCGGGGTCATCATCATCTTAAAGTTCGATAAAAAAAAAAGCCTGACTATGCCCAGTCCGGGCTTGGCTTGTAGGGCTTTTCTCGGGGCCCGGCCCGGGTTGTCAGCGCCTTTTTCGGGTCACGTAAATGATTCGCAGGCTCTGTAGGCATGCCACGTCATCAGATAAACCCGTGTTGGCATGTTCCTTGGTGCTCGAAGGCGAGGAGGCTGGCGGGTTACGTCAGACTTGAATTTTAAGGACCTACGTATAAATTATGATAATATTGGGTACTTCATGGTAAATGGTAAAAAGCAAAGCATCGCTGGCGAGGGCAGGTATTGTGGGAGCTCTATTGGCGAGTGGGGTGGTGGTCGTGGTGGCGCTGAGGCCTCGTATTTTCCACCTGCGCCACCGGCCGCCGCCGCCGCCGCTCCGCCTCTGCTGGCTCCTATAACCGTCGACGCACCCGCATCGTCCCTTTCCGGGGAATGAGCTAGCCGGATCCAGCTTGCCCCAGATGGTTCCAGGTAATTGTTCTGTTTGCAGCTCCTAATCAGTCCAATTTTCGTTCCGACATTGCTGGCTGTTTCTTCTTCCTTCTCTTATTCTTCCCCTCTAGTACCCTCCCTTCGTCTCACTTCTGCGTCTCTCCCCCACGGATACAGGCACAGACGCGCGCACTCGCACGTTTCTTGTTTACGTCGTGTTGTATCCCCTCCCATTACGCTTTTCCATCGATTATAATCGCCGAGGGGTTTCATTGGAGGAAGTCTACTGGAATATTGCCCTTTCCTTGGCATTTGCTACATTCGCTTAATCCAGTCGTCCGTGGCATTCTCTGGCCTTGAGATCTCAGTTTCTACCGTCTTCTCGTATCTCATTTCTCTTTTTATCCAATTTTTTCGTGTCCTCTGGACGAGTTATTCGTCTAGCTCGGTAGATTCTGCTTAGGCCCGAGAAGAGAAGGGTTGGGGGGTGGGGGGGGGAGGGGAAGGAGAGACTGTTGTCGGTATTTTCTTTCCACACTCTGCGTTCTGTTGCATATCGATATTTATCCGTGAATAATATCTTTGGCAAATGGAGGAGGAACTTATTCGACGTGTTTTGCTGGTGAGATTTCGGAGGTTTTTTTTGTTCTGTTTGTTGGGGTTTTGTCTTCCTATTCCCTACACTTCTAACGCTACATAGCTTCTATATTTTAATCTGAGAAATTGATGTTCTCTAATGTATTGTGGCTTGATAGATGACTGATGCTGCTATGGAAAATCAGAGTCACGGATCTGTCGCTTTGGTGTTTGAAAAGTCTAGAATTGTCTGGCTACGCAATTGTCCTTGGCATGACAGCTAATTTTTGATTTCATGGATAAGAAAACTCACGGTCCTTTCAGTGTGATGTTTAAAAACTACTAATCTCAGGCCATTAGTATATGCTGTTGTGGCCACACTGGCCCCATTCAAATTTGAAAAAGATCGAGTCATTTGGTTAACGAGGGGCATAATCACAATGCTTTCCATTTTCTTCATGCTATTTCTTTGTGTTGCATGTTAAACTATTAATTATCACTTGTTTCAAAATAAATGAACACCAATTCGAAAATATATTTTTAGCTGTATTGGAAATTATTCAGTGTATAAATTCCTTTGTAGCATTTGTAATATATGGCCATGTAGCCGTTGCCTATCACATTGATTGGTTAAGTGGAATGGCTAATCGTGGGACATAAATATATGTATATTTCTGCACAATTTTACTTTTCAGTGAGTAAATGTACACGTCCAGTACATTTTATTCTTTGCATATAATGGTATTATTTATTTCTGGGCAGGAAGACGCATCTTCAGTTAGTTTTCCTATAAGTGTGGGAAGCCCAAGTCAAGAGCAGATAAGAAACAGGGACAAGGACAAGGACAAGATGTGGCGGTGGTTGTGTTGTGCTCGCCATCTTGATGACTCTTACGCGCCAAATGATAAAGATCGCCAGAAAAGCCCAAAGAATAATTTTGATGGTATCTATATGCTCTCACCCCTGTGTGATCTCTGTTTTTTGGATCACAAATTCAGGTTACCTTACAAATCCTTTTAGCAGATTCCTTTTGACATACAAGTGTGAGAGGAGTGAATATTAAATATTTGAGCTTCATGTTGTCTGTTCATACTTCATAATTCTAATGATGAGTATCTCCATCAAAATTGAGAATCTGACTGCAAAAATTAGGGGTGTCATTAATTTTGATTTATATGTTTTCGAATCTGTAGGAAATTATGCATACAGAGTGTGTAGGAATATTCTTTCTCTGCTTCTCCCAGTCCAGAAAAATACCTTTGCTGGATGGTGAACTCTATCTTGGGCAAACATTTACTCTAGTTAATTGCAACTAGTAAACAATCACAATTAGGACAAACACCACAGAAATTGTTATTGAATCAGATTAAGACATAAATCAAAGAATGGTTGCAAATTAGCATTGAAACCGAGTTAAAGAAACGCCAAGTGGATGGATTCAGCTTCTTATCTCTTTGTATTGGCAGGAAAGTGCTTCGTTGTGCTTTGATTGGCTGATTCTAGAAGACCCTTGGGTCTTCCCCCATGCAGCCATTAGAAGAAAAAAAAAATTAAATAAGGTAAATGGAGAAAAATATATTTTAGGCCCTAGCCAATGGGGTAGGACAGTGGTAACAGTAAGAGAACAAGGAGAAATAAAAATAATAAAAATATCTCTACATCTGGTTGCCTCTTTTTTGCACAGGCCACCATCTTCAGTCAGACAACATGGCCGCGGAATGCTGCTGGACACTAATGCCAGATTCCCATGTCTTTTTCTCTTTGAGGACGGGTAATGATCAGTATGGATAACGGAGTTGAAGGAGAAGATTTGGTTTTTCTTGAAAGAACAAGACATCTGAAGAAATCCTTTGTTAAACATTTCTTATTAAAGTTTTCATAGGAAACTTCGAATTGGTGTCCCCTCTCTTTCTAATAAGAAAGAGAACATTATGTAGATTATTGTTGGGTATCCTTCGTACTATCATTTTTGTTGAAAGCTTTGGCAAATAACATCAAAGAATTTATGGAAGAATTTTTTAATTGCAAACCTTAGAATCAGACCCCAATGGGAGTGGCTTGTGAAATAACACGGTTCAGACCTTCTAGTCCAAAAAATCAGAGATTCTTGCTTTTAATTAGTAGGAAGGTCAAAACGAGTTGGAGGGATGTCGATCATAATCCAAGCACCAGCAGACATTTACCTTGTGGTCTTTGACAGGATGAGAAAATCATTAGCTAATTTTCCTATTGGCAACCAAGTCAGAATGAGGAAAAATATCCAGAACTATGTCTTGGGTGTTCACTCCTTAATGCACTTGGTGAACTTTTGTCAAATTTTCTAGTAAAAGAGCTTTTCTAGTCCCAGTGATTATTGTTTTTGTTGTTTGGGGTCAGATGCTGCTTTATTTTATTTATTCAATTTTGAATGGAGAAAAATCATATGGAGATAAAGCTTGATCGTTCCTAAATACTTGGGTACACAATTTTTGCCATATTTATTAGAAAAAGAGATGTCCTTGGTCCCTATTGTGTGCTTGTTTTAGAAATAAATGGTCGAACTTGTAAGCTTTTTATTGTTGTGGTTTAACTCAACATTTGTGGAAGCACACCCTCTTGGCTAACTATGGCATCATCTCTATCATTTTTAGTTTCCACTTCAGTAACTTTTCCTTTGGACTGAAGTGTTGATGTTTTCCACAAATATTCGGTTTACTATGAATTTCTTTTTGGTTCTTGTTTTGGCAACTCAAATTCATGACTAGCCACTTCTCCATCTCGCTTTTTCTTTAAGTACGGACTGCCTTTCCGTGATTGATTGCTTTCTGTGGTGTCGTAGGCAATCCAAAGGTCTCAAAGGGTTCTGATGCCCCTAATTCTGGACCCCCGTATGCACCACTGACTATTGAAGTACCAGCATTATCTCTTGACGAGCTCAAAGAAAAGACAGACAACTTTGGTTCTAAGTCTTTGATCGGGGAAGGCTCATATGGCAGGGTATATTATGCCCGATTTGATGCTGAGAAGGATGCTGCAATAAAAAAGCTTGATGCATCTGATCCAGAGACCAACAACGAATTCCTCTCCCAGGTTTGCCTGAAACTACATAACTGTTAACAATTATCAATAAACTGAAATGTGTCATCAGCTGAAGCTCTGCACCTTGTCTAAGCCATTATGTGATGATATCAGGTTGCCATGGTTTCAAAACTGAAGCACGAAAATGTCGTCCAATTAGTGGGTTACTGCGTTGAGGGAAATCTCCGTGTGTTGGCTTATGAGTATGCCACAATGGGTTCTCTTCATGATATTTTACATGGTATTATTTGTTGAGGACCATTTGAATTATTCTCTGTTCAAGTTCCATGAGTATGTCTGTGTTAGCAATCGATTTTGTGTCCACAGGGCGGAAAGGAGTTCAAGGTTCACAACCCGGTCCAGTGCTTGACTGGATGCAACGAGTGAGAATTGCCGTTGACGCTGCAAGAGGGCTGGAGTATCTGCATGAGAAGGCCCAGCCTTCCGTAATCCACAGGGATATCAGATCGAGCAATGTACTCCTATTTGAGGACTTAAAAGCCAAAATCGCAGACTTCAATCTCTCGAATCAGGCTCCAGATATGGCTGCCCGTCTCCATTCTACACGTGTCTTGGGCACCTTTGGGTACCACGCGCCAGAGTAAGCAGACAGTTCATTCGATATCTTTTCCTGTGATCTTCTCTCTTTTCCTTAGTTTTGTAGCTTTATACCATGGAAATTAGATTGTTCATTCAATTTCTGATTTTTTAATTTCAAAGCTACATTATAGTGAATTGAATTGTCAATGGGCCTGGCTGGACCATGCCCAGGCCTAAAAAGCCCGGGTTATGGACAGGCCTGTAGGAAGCCTGAGCCTGGACTGAGCCAGACCAGGCTTCTTCAAAGTGGAATAACATTGTGAGAAACTTTTGGTGCAAAATCTTCCTCCAGGTATGCTATGACCGGTCAGTTGACCATGAAGAGTGACGTCTACAGCTTTGGAGTTGTCCTCTTGGAGCTGCTTACGGGCAGGAAACCAGTGGATCATACGATGCCTAGAGGGCAGCAGAGTCTAGTCACTTGGGTGAGCCGTTGTTGAAACCCCAGCACCCCCTTCTGCCCCTCCTCACATGATTACTCTTTGGCTTACGCTCGCTAGTGGTGTTTGCTTCGCAGGCAACGCCAAGGCTAAGTGAGGACAAAGTGAAGCAGTGTGTTGATCCCAGGCTGAAAGGGGAATATCCTGCAAAGGGAGTCGCTAAGGTCAAAACAAACCCTTTGACTTGGTTTTAATATGAGCTAATTAATGCCACATAATTATTGGGCTTATCTTTGAGTTTTGTCTTCCTCTTCCTTCAGCTGGCAGCAGTCGCCGCCCTGTGCGTGCAGTATGAGTCCGACTTCAGGCCAAACATGGGCATTATTGTGAAAGCTCTCCAGCCTCTACTTATACAGAAAACTGCCGTCCCCACCCCAGATCCTGAGAACTGAGGGGATGAACCCTGCAGCCGCCATCCAGGGCTGTTCTTGGTTGGCGGCTGCTCCAGCAGACACCACCCATCCATTGCTTCAACGTCAATTTCTTCATTTACCTTGGGCCAGTGTGGAGAAAGGAAATCTTTGCTGTGGCTTCTCCATTCCTGGATTTGTCTCCGTTTCACTTGTTTTCTGAGGCCATCAGGCCATGACGATGAGCGTATGGCTTGTATATCTTTCGTCTTTGAAACATAGCCCTCTTTCTTGTTTCTGTTCTGGCGTTAGCTCCTCAATGCTGCCGTCGCGAGCATATCTAAATGTGTGAAGATTCTAGGAATGAATTCTGGCAAGCCATTGATTTTATGTCTAACAAGCCAAAAAAATTTCTATCATCTGTAAACTAGGGTGAGATTGGCTAGTGGTCTCATTGATCAAGGAAATTATGGTTGATGTCTACGTCAAAGCTATAGTGGAAGCTTTCCACAAAAGCCTTTTACTTACCTGTTTTTGCCTAACGTAGAATGGGATGGCCATTCTCATACCCCCTCCTCAATTCCTCAAATAGAGGATGACCATTAACTCCTACAAACTAGCTTTCCAAAGATTTCCACCAAGCCTCCTCACAGAATTACTAATTAATATTAAACTTATGTAAGTAGCACCAAAAATGTTCATTCATTGACAGTTTTGATGTGAATACATATTTTTCACAATAAGTATTATGCCACATTCTTACATATGGTTAAATATTTGATTCAATGATAGACCCCTAATGTAAATCACCATTTTGTTTAGTTGTCAGCCCAATACTGAAGAACATTTTATCAAAATAATTGTTAGTGCAGCCTACTTATGATGGTGAAGTTGCTGATAGTTTGCTAACATAAAGGGTTGACAATAGTATCTTAGAAAATGGCATAAGTTACAAATTAGAATATTTGTCACGAAGGTGAGAGGTGAATGAGTACACAGATTCTAATGTTCTCAATGAGAGTGAGAAAGAGTTGTGAGGTCTTATGAACTTATGTGTGTCGAGACCATGCCAAATACATATAGGTTTAGCATAAATTAGAAAAATAAAAAAATCTTAAAAATCTCAATTCATCACCTGATTAGTGTTCCACTTGACCTTATTGTTCTAACACCTTGCCTACTTGTCTATGTTCTTTCTTACCTCTCTTCTATAGATTCTCAATAATCTTTCAACTTATAAAGCTAGATACAATTTCCATGTATCATATCAAGGAAATTTAGATTAGACTTGACTAGTGTTTTACAGTGCATGATTTTGAGCTGAAAATCTAGGTGGGTGATGATTTGATGGGTTAGCTAGGATCTGACTTGAGAGTTGATTTACTTCTCACTTCAACTATGTGCCCAACTTGAATTTCTAACTTTGACATTGTTTGATGGTGTCACTGCATCATCATTTGTTGATGTGCAATTATTTACAATATTAAACTTGACATGAAATTAAAATTAGGCTGATTTTAAGTTTTTAGATTTGGTTAATGAGATTACAGTCCTATCTTCACTTGAACTTATAGCCACCTTAAATTTTTTTATTGTTGAGATATAAGGTGATATGGAATTTGTGTAGGCTATCTTTGATTTTGAGAATTTGACCTACTAATTTTACTAATTTAAGCTACTAAGAAAGGTGATAGTTAGAGGCTTGGGACATTATTTGACCATAAGATGTAATATGCTGGTTTTGCTACAAGAAGTTAGGATAATTTCTCTGTCACAGATTATATATGTTGGAGTATGAGTTATAGGGTACCTTTGGGGCATCTAACACTAGCTCCTGAATATCTGATGAATATTATAATGATGTAAGACTTTTATTTCCTATATCAATTTCAAGTATGACACATATTGATGACGGTTTTAATGATCTCCTACCATGCATATACCATAACTATCAGATAAGCAAGATGCATAAATATAGAAAAGAAAAATACTTTTTAGAAACTGAAGAAAGTAAATAGTAAAATAAAATTTAAAAAATAGAAAATAAAAATAGTTTTTGTTAAATGAGAAACTTCAATGTCCATGAAATCAATTCAAACCAGAAATTAGATTAAAAAATTAAATTTCATGAGTTACTTAATCTATTTTGTGCAATTTTCAAATTTTTATATCTTTCTTTGGATCCTACAACATTTAACTTGCTCAATTTTTTATACACTTCAAAAGAGAAGAAAGTAAAAATATTAGTGTTTGATGAAGCTGAAGAAAAGAAGATTAATAGTATTGAATGGAATGATTATCAACACGGGAGCAAAAAAAATTATGCTGTTATAATTGATGCTGTTGAAATCGTGAAAATTTAAATATTTACAAACGAAATTAAAAAGCAAGAGTCAGAACTACATTTTTTGTGAGTTAAGGTTGTCTAAAAGGATGATGGTCAACCTTAATATCAATTTCTGTTCTATATGTTTATTGACACAAAAAAAGATAGAGAACAAAAAAGAAATAATATTCCACATACTTTGATTTGCTTTGATGCCCTATGATGTCGCAACAACAGTTTTGAAATCTAAATCTTCAAGCTTTCCTATGCACCCATTTGTAGAGTTAATAGATAACTCAAGACTTGTAAACTTTTCCAGCAAAAAATGATGGAAGAGATTGCAAAAAAGAAGGAAACAATGGGTGAAAAAGAAAACATAAAATGAGAAAACAGGGGACAATAAAGAAAAAAAGATAATTCCTGGAGTTTTTCCAAATGAGATTAAATGTGAAAATGATTTATACATAATTCTTATAATATCTGAGTAATATTTCAAAATTAAATAAATCTAGATGATGAAGTTAACTTTCATCAGAAAAATTAAAATTAAAAAGTAACAATTGAAAGTGAATCAAATACAAATTCTTCATTAGGAGAGTGACCACATTGGTAGTGATATATGAAATGATTTGAGTTAAATTTCTTACGAAAATTGAGTAATCTTAATATAGAAATAGATTCAAGTGATCGTAATAAAGTTAACTTTCAAAAGGAAAATTGGAATCACTAGAAGATCAACTTAAAAGCAAAATCCCTGTCTCACTCAAGAACAAAGCTTCATTGTGGAACAAAAAATAAGCCTGAAATCAATTTCAATATTTTTAAATATTATATTAAAACGGTAAATCCCATCATCTACTTGTCACCACATATGAAGAAATAAGCTAAGACGAAAGTAGAGCACATTCAAAATAGAAATTGAAATCACAAGTGCCCTTATTGCTCTAGACGTCTGTGTCTTTCACTAGAAGAGAGTTTGGTTGAAAAGAGCTTGCCTCTTCTCCATCTCAACACATCCCTCCACCTTTCTTAGAGCTTCCCTTGAATTTTCATCATAGAAACTCTCAATAATCTACTACAAAATAAGGACTTGTATTTTATCTAACCATCTAGAACAAAGTATGATAGCTAAAGCATATGTGGGTGATGTGGCTAAAGTATTGACCTCTTTCTTTGTTGACTAATTCTTACATGGCCCATAAGTCCCTTAGTAAATCCTCCTTTTGATGTGGCCATAAATCATTGTCTTTTTCTAATTCTTATGATAGCTTCCAAGTCAATAAAAAGTCATTGGAAAAATCACTTCATAAAGCTTATAAAAAATCTAATTAAAATCTTATCATAAATTATAATTTTATTTTATTTTTAAATTTTAATATAGTTCTGAAGATTATAAACCTTGGATAACCACATTAATGCATTGGTTAAAAAATATACATATATTCATCTTTCATAAATGATTAAAAAATACAGAATTAAACATAAATTTACCACATACTTTCTTAACTAGTACTAATACATGTTACCTTTGATAATTTGTAATTTATGTTGATCATACGAAACTTATTTCAGTTATACTATATAAAAATAAAGCATTAAAATTCTGTCACAAAAGAGCTCGTAATTCGAACAAAAAAGTTTCATACGATGAGTGGTCATGCTAGCATGTGAATTTTTTTCTTTTATAGGTGTAAAAATATTTTTTTCATAAAGTGTTAGTCAAAAATTATTTTATCCTCATAAAAGATCCAAGATAAAGTCAACACTCACATGAGAGGACATGTTGTAATAAATCACACATCAAAAAGGAAACTTAAATTAGGCTAAAAATACTATGGACTAGTATGATCATCAGTGATGAGTTTGAGTTGGATGATTGGAATCTTTGCCATAATCTCATATTAGATGTGATGCATGTGGATATATTTACCCATTTCAGAATACACGTATAGGAGCTTGGCCTCAATCTTCTATGACAAAATTAAGAACTTTCATTATTTTGAGAAGATTAACTCTCATATTTGTTAGTATGAGCAGATAAACATTTGGCAATAAAACTATCCCACTCTATTTACTTTTAATTAGTTTTTATTGATAATTTTAAAAGTGTCAAATAATCTTGAGGTTCCGGTGCTCTCTACACCGAGTGGATGTGACCAAAGACTTGCAACTTTTCTAGAGTAGGTTTCAAGCTTTCCCATTTCGGAGCTTAAGACTACAGAGAATCATGACAAGTGGGAGCAATAAAGTTTCTTCCCCATGAATTTCATGACAATCATGACTTACTAGGAAACGAAAGTAGTGTCCACGATCGCGAACAGTCAGTAGAGGAAAATAGGCGGGGCCCTTCATACGATTATAAAAATTTAGACAATACACCCTGGTGTTGTCTGCAATTGCCTTTTAACCCCGTAAGAGACGATATTTAATCGTCAGATGACAGACGTTTGAAAGGATACGGGTTCCCAACCTCTCCTCCTGACATGGGAGCAGGTGTCATTTTGTCTCTGAACACGTGTCATGTCCTCCCCAGTGGGCCCCACCAGAGATTTCTCTACAACGATGCCCACTTTTTTTGAAACTCCACGCCACCCTTTCTCTCTTAAACCCGCTGTGATACCCGCAGTGGAGAGAGCGAGAGCGAGAGAGAGATGAGAAGCCGAGACTATTCCTCCGAATTGGGTGGCCCTCTAGCGATAGGCGACTGGAAGGAGGTGGAGAAGGAGGAGGTGAAGGAGGTGGAAGAGATGGTGAAAGAGGTGAAGGAGGAGGTAGAGGAGGAGGAGGAGGAACAGCAGGAGGAGCAGGAGGAGGAGGAGGAGGAGGAGGAGGAGGAGGGTATAGAACATCTCCCTGGAGCTTCCGAGCCTAGTAACCGCGAATTGTGCCCGTACTTTCAACCTCTTGTTGGTCCTGTTTCGGCCTTGATGAGATTCTATATCCTTCTCAAAATCCCTCTCTCTCCGTTCTGTTTTTCTTCCTCCCATCATCGTCCTTGCGCAGAGATCATTAAGAAATGGATTTTAGAAACTTTAGAGTTATCAATTGTATGGTTTATTTCCAATTTGGGTGGCATTCTCATAGAAACATTGATAATGGTGATGATGACGACGACGACGACGACGATGATGATATCATTATTGTCGAATCGGACTAAGACATAAATCAAAGAGTGGTTGTAAATTAGCGCTGAAACTGAGTTAAAGAAACGTCAGATGGATGGATTCAGCTTCTTATCCATTTGAATGGGCAGAAAAGTGCGTGCTTCGTTGTGCTTTGGTCGGCTGATTCTAGAAGACCTTTGGATCTTCCCCCATGCACCCTCTAGAAGAAAGAAGAAGATAAATAAAAGGTAGATGGAGAAAATCTGCCTGTCTTCCAAGCCTGGTAAGCATGAATTCCCCCCGTACTTTCAACCCCTTGTTGGTCCTGTTTTGGGCTTGATGGGACTCTCTCTCTCTCTCTCTCTCTCTCGCTCGCTCGCTCTCTCTTTCTCTCTCTCCGTTCTGTTTTTCTTCTCCCCAACATCGTCCTCGCGCGGACATCATAAAATAATGGATCATAGTAATTTAGAGTTATTGACTCGCTTGTTTCTTCCCAATTTGGTTACATTCTCATGGAAAGATGGATGTTCATGATGATATCAAATTATTATCAACTCAGATTAAGACATGGATCAATGCATGGTTGCAAATTAGCATTGAACCTGAGTTAAAGAAACGTCAAATGAATGGATTCAGCTTCTTATCCCTTTGATTGGACAGGAAAGTGCTTCGCTGTTCTTTGATTGGCTGATTCTTGAAGACCCTTGGGTCTTCCCGCATGCAACAACTAGAAGAAACTAGAAGATAAATAAAAGGTAGATGGCGATAAAATATTCTTGGCCCTGGCCAATGGTTAGTACGGCGATTACAGTAGCAAAAGGGAGAAAGAGAAAGAATCAAAATATCTCTACATCTGGTTGCCTCTTTTTTGCACAGCTAACCATCTTCAGTCAGACAACATGGCCGCAGAATGCCGCTGGACACTAGTGCCAGACACCCGTGTCTCTTTCTCTTTGGGGACTGGTGATCATCAGGATCGATAAATGAGTGGACGAAGAAGATTTGGTTTTCCTTGAAAGAACAAGACATCTGAAGAAATGCTTTGTTAAACACTTCTCATAAGAAACTTGGAAGTGGTGTCTACTCTCTTTCTAATAAAAAAGACAACATTTTCTAAATCATCGTTTGGTTGAAAGCTTTGGCAAATAACATCAACAATTTACGAAAGAAATTTATAACTGCAAGCCCTAGAAATCAGGGCTACATCAATAGTGGTTGGGAGGAATGGGAGTGGACTTTGAAGTAGCACGGTTTAGAACTTCTGGTCCAACAAATTCATAGATTCTTTCTTTCATTTGGTAGGGAGGTCAAAACGAGTTGTAGGGATGTCGAACTTATAATCCAAGCACCAGCAGACATTTACCTTGTGGTCTTTGATAGGATGTGAAAATCCTTGGCTAATTTTCCTATTGGCATAAAAGTCATGATGAAAGACTATTTAGAACTATGTCTTGAGTGTTCGCTCCTTAATGCAGTTGAACTGTAAAATTTTCTAGTAAAAGAGATTTTCTAGTCCTAGTGATTATTTTTTTCAGTTGTTTGGTGTCAGATGCTGCTTTACTTTATTTATTCAAATCCAAATGGAGAAAAATCAAATCGAGATAAAGCTTGATCGTTCCTAAATACTTGGGTACACAATTTTTGCCATATTTATTAGAAAAAGAGATGTTCTTGGTCCCCATTGTGTGCTTGTTTTAGATATGAAGGGTCGAACCTGTAAGGTTTTTATTGTTGTGGTTTAACTCCACATTTATGGAAGCACACCCTCTTGGCTAACTGTGGCATCATCTCTATTATTTTTAGTTTCCACTTCAGTAACTTTTCCTGTGGACTTAAGTGTTGATGTTTTCATCAAATAATCGCTTTCTATGAATCTATTGTTCGGTTCTTGTTTTGGAAACTTAACATCATGGGTAGTCACTTCTCCATCTTGGTTTTTCTATAAGTACGGGGTTGCCTTTCCGTCGTTGATTGATTTTATTGCTGTTGTACGTGATGGTCTGATGTCCCTAATTCTGGATCATCGAATGAACCACTGACTATTGAAGTACCTGCACTATCTCTTGACGAGCTCAAAGAAAAGACAGACAACTTTGGTTCTAAGTCTTTGATCGGGGAAGACTCATATGGCAGGGTATATTATGCCCGATTTGATGCTGAGAAGGATGCTGCAATAAAAAAGCTTGATGCATCTGATCCAGAGACCAACAACGAATTCCTCTCCCAGGTTTGCCTGAAACTACGTAACTGTTAACAATTATCAACATACTGAAATGTGTCATCAGCTGAAGCTCTGCACCTTGTCTAAGCCATTATGTGATGATAACAGGTTGCCATGGTTTCAAAACTGAAGCACAACAATGTCGTCCAATTAGTGGGTTACTGCGTTGAGGGAGATCTCCGTGTGTTGGCTTATGAGTATGCCACAATGGGTTCTCTTCATGATATGCCACAATTTGTTGAGTACCATTTTTGAATTATTATCTGATCAAGTTCGATGAGGACCTGTCTAAGCCACGAATTTTGTGTCCACAGGGCGGAAAGGAGTTCAAGGTTCACAACCCACTCCAGTGCTCAACTGGATGCAACGAATGAGAATTGCCGTTGATGTTGGAAGAGGACTAGAGTATCTGCATGAGAAGGCCCAGCCTTCCGTAATCCACAGGGATATCAGATCCAGCAATGTACTCCTATCTGAGGACTTCAAAGTCAAGATCGCAGACTTGAATCTCTCGAATCAGGCTCCAGATATGGGTCCACGTCTCTATCATGCACGTGTCTTGGGTAGCTACGGGTACCACGGGCCAGAGTACGCAGACAGTTCATTCAATATCTTTTCCTGAGTTCTGTAGCTTTACACTATTGAAATAGATTGTTCATTCAGTTTCTGATTTATTTATTTTTTTAATTTCAAATCTACATTATAACCGGTTTGCTACCAGGCCCAGATCTACCCTGGCCTGTAGGAAGCCTGAGCCTGGACTGAGCCAGATCAGGCTTCTTCAATGTGGAATAACATTTTGAGAAACTTTTGGTGCAAAATCTACCTCCAGGTATGCTATGACCGGTCAGTTGACCATGAAGAGTGACATCTACAGCTTTGGAGTTATCCTCTTGGAGTTGCTTACGGGCAGGAAACCAGTGGATCATACGATGCCCAGAGGGCAACAGAGTCTAGTCACTTGGGTGAACCGTTGTTGAGACCCCGCTCCTTCTATCCCTTCTACCTCTTTGGCTTACGCCCGCTGATGGTGTTACCTCTGCAGGCAACGCCGATGCTTAGTGAGGATAAAGTGGAGCAGTGTGTGGACCCTAAGCTGAACGGGGAATACTCCCCAAAGGGAGCCGCTCAGGTAACCAAACCCTTCTATTGACATACTTAATTTTTTTCTTATTATAAGTTAACTAACACCTCACGGTCCATAATCTTGGTGATGAGTTCTTGGATTACTGCCGCATGAAGATAATTATTTCGCTTTATCTTTGAGCTTGGTCTTTCTCTTCCTTCAGGTGGCAGCACTTGCAGCCCTCTGCGTGCAACCTGAGCCCGACTTCAGGCCGAACATGTTTTTCTTGGCGATAGGTCTCCGATATCTTGTTGCACATTAAAGCTGCCGTGCCCGCCTCAAATCCTGAGCGAGAATAAGCTGAAGGGATGAACCCTGCGGCCAGCCATCCAGGGCTGTTCTTGGTTGGCGGCTGCTCCCGCAGACACGACCCACCTTGATGGGCCAGTGAGGAGAGGGGAAGTCTTGTTGCGGTTTCTCCATTCCCGGATTTGTCTCCTTTTCCCTTGTTTTGTGAGGTCATCAGGCCATGACGACGGATGTTCTGGCTCTCTTTCTTGTTTCTGTCCTGGCTCAAGCAGCTCAGTGTTGCTTTCGTGAGTATATCTGAATGTGTGCGGATTCCAGGAATGAATTCTGCCAAACCATTGGCTTCATGTCTAAGAAGTCAAGAAAATTTCTTCCATCTGCAGGCGAGGGTGAGATTGGGTAGGGATGCCATTGATCAAGGGAATTACGGTTGATGTTTACATCGGAGATAACATGAAAGCTTGATGCGTAAAAGTCTACTCTTTCTCTGTTCTTGCCTAAAGTGGAATGGGATGGCCATTCTCATACCCCCTCCTCCTCTTTTCCTTAAATTATTAACTCCTACAAACTAACGTTCCAAAGATTTCGACCAAGGCTCCTCACAGAAGTATTGCTTAATATCAATCTTACTAGATAGTAATCAGCCACGATCTTCACTCATTGACTGTTTGGATGTAAAATAAATATTTTTCAAAATAAGAAAAATGCCTTATATATAATTGTATAGGGTCAAATATTTGATCCAACAGTATACTCCTAATATGGATTGGCATTTTGTTAAATCCTTGGTCCAATACTCAAGAACATGTCATCAAAATTATTGTCATAATATAGCCTACTTAAGATGGTGAAAAGTTGTTGACATTGTGCTCACATGGGTTGACAATACTGTCTTAGAAGACAACATAAACTTGGACATAGGTGTCAACTTCTCAATTACAGAAAAGAAGGCAAGGTGAACAAAAGTTGGCTATATATTTACTCAAGTATTTTGTTGGTGAGTGTGCTGATGATCCATTAACACAAGTAGATTCTAATTTCACAAAAAAAGGAAAAAATAAAATAACTTAGAAAGAATATTCATGCCTATTTTAAAAGCCTCCTAAGATTTTCTCATAACCCTGATTCAAGGAAAATTTTAAAACATGGTGATCAGATAAACCCTGCATATTACTCAATTAGTTTAAGTTACAATATCTCTCGTCTCCTTATCTCTCAAGTCTAAGATTTTATGCCTGAGGCACCAACAAAACATTCAAACTCTACCCAATGATTGATAAGGCTTTTGTCACATGAATTTAGTTTCTAATTATGCTACAAAACCTATCTTCTGATATTATTTTTTCCTTTGATTCAAGAGAATATAAACTATTGAGTAATTGTGTCATTTTGAAAAAGAAAATCTTTGCTAGTGCATTTGGTAAAATGATTTATGTGCTTCAATAACCTTGTATATGGAGTGCATGTAGGATTGACTAAACCATTTTTTACTTATTTTTCCATCATTTTATTGTTTTCCATTTTGAGATTTTTTAATTTATCTAGGTGATTAAAATTGACAATCTTTTATACTTTCAAAATACATAACATCTCCTTACTTTTGACTTTAAATAATTTTTTTTGGAAATCAATGCCTAATTCGTCAACGATAGTAGAGAAATAATGATGGTAACTTGTTGATCTCTTTGTAGTTATTAATAGTTTTTGAATTGAAATCCACAAAGTGTGGGACTAATGTTTCATTTTTATTTAGAGTAGTGGTTCTATTTAATTAATCTTTGTATTTCCAAGCCACTTTTTAATTAAATATTTGTATATTTAATTAAATATACTGAAAAAGTGACCTTTGTGACTATTTTACTTTTAGTTTGATCCCTTTTCTCCCAATTTCAATAGATATCAACCCTCTCATAGAGAATATTTCTACTTTTCATGCTTTTTTCATTAGCATTCACAATGTTTTTGCTCAACTATATCCATCAAGTAAGGGATAATAAGTCAAACAAAGAGTTTCCTACTCTTAATAGTGATGTCTTAACTATAAACTTAGCAAGTGGATTTTTTTCTTATACTAGAGGATTTTTTTCACATAAGTTATTAATCCACAAAATGCCTCATACATTATACTCTTCTTGAACATATGTACATCAAGTTGGAGGTTTCTATTACATATTTGGAATCATGAAAAACATATGAGGCATAAGGTCCAAAGAAGTTGTATCTTAAAATTATAATAAATTAAACTTGGTCTATTCATGTTATGATCATTACAATACAACCATCATCAACAAAGTAGCATACAAATAAATTTGACATGCATAAATAATCCTTCATTGGAGTCTAGAAGAGAATCTAACTTCATTATATGTGCTAGGGGATGATACATACTGAATCTACCTAGATAATACATCTCATTAATAATATGCATGATGTGGGTTAACTCCCAACATATGACATTATTGGTTTTGACTCAGATGACATGAATATTATTTTTACCTTTAATGTTATGTCTTATAATTTTCCCCAAGTTTTTCTTGCATATTATTTTATCCTCATAAAGGATCCATGATAAAGTCAACCATTATGTGAGGGGCATGTTATAAAAGCTCACATATCAAAAAAGGAAACTCAAAATTAGGCTAAAAATAGTAAGGCCCATATGATCATCACTAACTGAGTTTGAGTAACATGATTGGACTTATTGCGATCTGCTCATAATTGGACGCAGTATGTAAAAAGGGAGCGGTTCCCCACCTCTCGTCCTGATGTCGGGCGGTGTACTTTTGTCTCCATGCACACGTGTCATGTTCTGTGTGGTCGATTTTATCTGCACATGGGAAAGTCAGAACTGCCATGTTCCTCTCGACGGCCCCGCCAACGATGCCCCGGTGTTTTTTGTATTTATCTATCTATACTATTTTTCTACAACTGACAATTTATTAAGGGTATATTCATAAATATCCCCCCGCCGAAATGGCCATCTATAAATCGCGACGCCACCCTTTTCCTCTTAAACCTACTGTGATACCCGCAGTAGAGAGAGAGAGAGAGAGAGAGCTAGCCATCTCCATTGCTGCGAATTGAGTGGCCCTCTAGCGATGGGCGACTGCAAGGAGCAGCTGGAGGGGATTCAGAGTGGCGCCGCCGAACTCGGAGTGGGGAGGGGATTGGAGGCTGGCCGGTGGAGGAATGGGAGCGGCGGTGGCGTGCTCCTCGAGGGGTACGTGGATGGCGGGTTGCAGGGGGGCGACGGGTACTTGAACGGGGCTGGCGTGGTGAGGTCGAAGAGCCTTACAGACGAGGACCTGGAGGAACTGAAAGGGTGCCTGGATCTGGGGTTCGGATTCAACTATGAGGGGATCCCGGAGCTCTGCAGCACGTTGCCGGCGCTGGAGCTCTGCTACTCCATGAACCAGAGGTTCCTGGAAGAGCAGCAGCGGGAAAAGGGCGGCTCTCTCTTGGGTCCAGCGGGGGGTGTAGAACATCTCCCTGCGGCTTCTAGCGCCATGGCAAACTGGAAGATCTCCGAGCCTGGTAAAGCGCGAATTGGCCCCGTACTTTCAGCTTCTGATTGGTCCTTTTTCGGGCTTGATGAGATTCTATAGCCTCTCAAGAATGCCTGTTCTCTGCTCTTTTTTTTCCTTCCCGCAACATTGTCCTTGCTCAAGATCATAGTCATTTTAGAGTAATTGGTTTCTTTCCAATTTGGGTCACATTCTCAAAGAAACATGAATGATGATGTTGACGATGACGATGACGATGATATGAAGGGCAGTAATCTCTCATTATTATCAGTTCGACTCATACAATGGTGACTACTTCAGCAAGTAGAGAATCCCTTGATATCATCTATTACCAGCATGTTATAACGATTGATTCATCTTACCATATCTTTATCTTTTGAACTGACGTGGGAATCTTATGTTCCTCCTCTCAGGAGATCACCCGGAGGAAGTCAAGGCGAGGCTGAAGTACTGGGCTCAGGCAGTGGCCTGTACACTCCACATGTGCCGCTAGAATTGATTCATAGGCTTGTTCCTCAAAGGGAAACAAATGTGCCTTAAGCATTCTTATCTAGGGCCTCCCCCACTGTTCCCACTCTAGTCCGAAGGCAACACAAGGACCCTATGGCCTCCTTGGTCAGAGATGATGGGTGGTAGCTAGTGTTAGGCATCAATAGATATAGTTCTTGAGTCTCTAATTGGCTAGGACGACGAATCAAGAGGGGAGTGGTGAATTGGTTTCTTGATGTGTTGATTGTCCACTTTATGTTCAGTATCTTCTAATTATTTTATTAAGATAAATCTAATAAGATTTAATGAGGAAGACAGAGGGACAAGATTTTATAGGGTTTCTACAACGCCTTGACTTATGTCTACCTTTGAGACCACTATCATGGTTCTACTTTTCTCGCACTGATAATATAGTTGATTTCATAAGATTAACACCCATTACAACATAGAGTTTGGATCTATATCACACACTATATGTTATGACTGATAATATAGTTGATTTCATAAGATTAACACCCATTACAACATAGAGTTTGGATCTATATCACACACTATATGTTATGACTGATAATATAGTTGATTTCATAAGATTAACACCCATTACAACATAGAGTTTGGATCTATATCACACACTGTATGACTGATAAATAGTGGATTTTAAGATTAACACCCATTACGACTATTTGGATCTATATCACACACTATATGTGCATGATTCTCACTAAATTTAGAGACTCTAGAAACTTTGATAGCACAGAATTCGTGAGTTTATGTATCCCCTAGGTTTAAGACTTTAGTGGATTTTTCAACCACTCTGATATGTAATCCAATAATTCCTTGATACTTTGAAACACTAAAAAAAGTAGATATAAAATATTCAGCCCAATACTATTGTAGTCTTCTTGAAGAATGAATAACCTTCTTTGATAGCATAGTATCCATGAGTTTATCTATCCCCTAGATTTAAGACTTTGGTAGATTAAATTAAATATCATGAAAAACCATCATCATTTGAAAAATTATGTTAAATTAAATATCATGAAATCATCTTTCTTTGAATTTTCATAGTTGTTTTATGTCTCAATATCTCTTCATTTCTATTTGAAGTACACGAAAATTCGCTCATAATATTTTATCATTCTTCAAAGCCAAATATAATCACCATAATTTTAAAGTAGTAGTATCACTAGCACACATAAGCATGAAGAGTACAAGTGCTTGGTCTTATACACAAGAGTTTAAACATTGTCCTTCAGGCCTTTATCTTACTATGAAAAGCTACCCAATATTAGTGTTCATACCTCATTGCGATAATTATCAAAACATTAATGCCTTTAAATCACTTGTTTATCTGGTCTTGTGAATGCATGCTTAGACTTGAACGAGTGCAATCAAAGTCAGAGCTTAGTTTATAATTAAAAAATAATGAGACTACTGCTCACTACATTAATTCCAACACATTGAACTTTGGAGGATTTTTCTTACTCACCCTGAGTTCATCATTGATCGTAATAACTAACTTCATACACAAGATATAATTTCTTCCTATTGTGGCTTTGACATGTTATCTATTATTTTTCTAAAAAAATTATTCATCACTATGCACCTATTGTTTTAAATTTTTAAATTCACTTGAGACCAGTCATTGCATGAACATTTATAATGAAAAAGTATCATAATGTTGAACTAACATCACAAACATTAGTCTAAGAGTTCAAACTATGTCATTCCATTTCAATAAAAAAACTAAACACATTATAGTTTATTTCATCCCCACTAACATCAAGGAAAAGATATAAAACATTAAAGTATTAAGTGACAAAGAGATACAGAGATTCAACTACAATTTAAACACTTTTTATCATTAGCATAAATTCAGGTCCCATCAACACATATATAAAAGTAATAATTTGAATGGAAGGCAATCACTACATGAATATCTTGCTTAAAAAATGCAGTAAAGTCATTTCCTATACCAACGTCTTAGCATCATTCTTTCCCTTGGTAGACATGCAAGAAGATTGAGTGATTCAATAATAATACTCTTTACAAGGAAATATCCTTCTTGAAAACTTGAGCTATTCACTATAACGACTCCATAACTGATTCTTCAACCATAGTGGATTATTCTTCTTCTTGGAAAACACATAAATGCAAGGAGATTTGATGATTAAGTAACAATAATCTACTGATTTCTTATTTCATGTGTTGCCACGTTGGACAGACCCACATGGACCACGGGTCTGCCAAGTGTCGGCCCATTCCTAATATTACACCTAAACTATTTGTTCACTTAGCCCACTATTGTTACTAGACCTGGGTCAAGAACGTTACTTGAAATTAAGTAATTTTAATTTAAACTTAGGTTTTTGTAGGGAGGCCAACAGAGAAGAAGTTTGACTCATGTGATCCTACATAGAATCATGTCATCTCTGGAGAAAGGATATTGCCTAACACCGTACCTCTTCAGATGATCTAGATGTTGTGTGGGCAGTGAAACGAAGACAAATTTGTAGACCAGTGCTCACTATAACTGCATTTTTTTCTCTCTTTTACGCCCTATAATATTTCTTTTGAAATCTATATCTTATCATCCATCATAAATGCCCAATCAGGGGATCATGTGAGGTTTTGTTGCCTAGGGTCCAGCAGTTTGCGTTCATCTTCCAGGCTTCTTCTCCCTTAGTGTGAAGGGTGGTGGTTGGTTGCCCTAAATTCATCACCACTCGTAGGCCGAAGGGACCAGAGCAGGCGCGTACCCTTCCTCTCTCATCTGCGCGTTGAGCTCCTCCAACCTCCTATAAATAACTTCCGTGCTGGGATGGGACTTGTCCGTGGAGACGAAGGCGTGGACCTGGTTACCCACCTCGATCCAGCTCCACGCCGCCTCCTTCCTCACCCCTCTATCCTCCATCATCCTCCTCATCCTCCTTACCTCCTCCCATTCCCCCCTCGCCGCGTGCAGGTTAGACAGCAGCACGTAGCTCGCCGAGTCCTTCGGCTCCATCTCCATGACCCTCCTCGCGGCGAGCTCCCCGAGCTCCACGCTCCCGTGCCGCCGGCATGCTGCCAGCAGCGTCTTCCACGCCAGGCAGTCCGCCTCGAAGGGCATCTCGCCGATGACGCGCGCCGCCTCGAGCAGCTTCCCGGAGCGGCCCAGCGCGTCGACGGCGCACGCGTAGTGGGCCGCCGACGGTGCCACGCCGTGCCGCCGCTGCATGGTTTTTAGGTGCTCGAGGGCTCGGTCCGCGTGCCCCGCGTGGCTGCACGCCGAGAGCACCGCCACGAAGGTGGTGCCGTCCGGCACGGCGGGGTTACGCATTTCGTCGAACACCTGCAGGGCCTCCGTGCCGCGCCCGGCATGGGCGTAGCCATGGATGAGCGAGTTCCAGGAGGCCGTGTCGCGGGCCGCCATGGCGTCGAATGCCGATTTCGCCGCATCCACGCAGCCGCACTTGGAGTACATGCTGATCAGGGCGTTGCCCACGCAGAGATTCAGGTCGCAGCCGGTCTTCAAGGCCAGGGAGTGGAGCTGCCGGCCCTGATCCAGCAGGGAGAGGTTCCCGCAGGAGCTGATGGCGGAGGAGAATCCGTACTCATTCGGCGTGAGGCCTCTCCGATGCATGCGGCAGAGGAAGCTCACTGATCTCTCGGGGAAGCCGTTTTGGAAGTAGCCGGAGATCACCCCGGACCAGGAGACGACGTCGGGGGTTGCAGACTTGTCGAAGAGCGTCTCCGAGTCCTTGATCGCGCTGTTCCTGGCGTACATGGTGATCAGGGCGTTGCAGATCCGGCTGTCTGATGAGAATCCCAGCTTGATGGTGGAGCCATGGAGCTGACGGCCGAGGGGGAGGAGATCGGTATGGTTCCCGCAGGCTCCGATGAGGGTCGCGAAGGTGTATTCGTTAGGCTGGGTTTCTGAGGAGATCATCTCGTAGAACACCCGAAGGGCGTCTTCTTCTCGCCCGTCCCGGAGGCAGCAGGAGATCATCGAGCTCCAGGTGACGACGCTCTTGGTTTCTTCCAATTTGGAGAAAACCTCCCACGCCTCGCTGTAACAATCATTCCTCGAGTAGAACTCGATCAAGGCGGATGAAGCGTAGAGATTCCGCTGGACCCCGGCTTTGATCATGTATCCATGGATCTGCTTCCCCAGGAGGTGATGACAGGCCATCAGAATGGTCGCAATTGTGTGCTCATTAGGATTGACGCCGCATCTGATAAGATCAACGAACGCCCCAGCGGCCGAGTCGAAGAGCCTGTTCTTGCAGAAACCAGAGATCAAGGAAGTGAAGCTGACCACATCCGGATCTGGAATCGAATCGAAGACGAGAACGGGTTCGTCAACGGATCCGCATCGCGAGTAGAAATCGATCAGGCAGTTCCCGATCCTGGTATCGTCTTCTAGCCCCGATCGGATGACGAGTGAGTGGACCTGCATTCCCTGGCCGAGCGCGCTCATGGCCGCGCAAGCCTGCAGGGTGGAATTGAAGGAGAAATCGTTGGGAGGTACTCCGGATTCCATCATTTCCACCAGAAGTGGGAAGGCCATCTCCGGCCGGCCGTTGTGGACGCACCCCGAAATCATCGAAGTCCAGGTGACCACATTTCTGTCATTCATCCCCCCAAAAACCAGGAAAGCCTCAGAACTCCGGCCAGATCTCATGAGCGCATTGATCAGAACAGACTCGAGGACGGCTCCAAATAGAACCCCCCCACTTCTCATCCTGGCGTGGAATTTCCTGGCGTCGTCGAGCTTCCCGGATTCGATCATCCGCCTCAGTCGCAGCCTGGAGATTCTCGCCGTCTCTTCATCGGAGGACGCCGCCTCCGGAGGCGCCGTTGCCAGCGGGAGCGTGCCGGAAGCCTGGAGTGGGGCGCCTCTGCCATCCGCGGGCGTCGGGATGGGGTCCAGAGGAGGGAGGAAGGAGGGAGGAGCTGCAGAGAGGCTGCTCCATGGACGAGGAGAGGGGTGGGGATGGCGACAGTAGAAGAGGCCGTCGGAGAGGGGCACGCGGAGGGGTAGAGCCAGCATATTTCTCCGGCGAAGTCGGCAGCGGACGAGGAGACCCCGGGAACCCAACGTTCGTCCCTCGTCTCAGCATTTCTCCGCACTTATCGAAACATAAAATATACGGTTTTTCGGTCCAAGTCCCTCACAAATTATGTTAATTATCGATAAACCTCTAACTTTTGTGTCTTAACTAGTTACTCTACGAATACGACCCTGCCATGCATGTTGAAGTAGAGGCGTCACTGTAAGTGAAAAGACTATTATAACATTATTCCCAAAATCTCAACCTCCCCCCCCCCCCAAAAAAAATCACATAGTGGTCACTTAGAATCTAATTTATTTTTTTCCACATAATCGAATATAAAATCATCGTCTTAATTGTAAATAATACTTTAGGTACAGAATGGTAAAATATTTTTATCAGTAATAACTTTAATCATCCATGAAGCAAAAAGGACAGACCATTCTTGTTTGCTTTGGAGTCATTCTTGTTTTGATGTTAACAAAATTGGTATATAAAAAATTATGATTTTACATCATCGTAACATTCATCTTTAGAAGTATAAAAAAGGAAACAATGTTGCAATGACCACCTTCTAATCATAAGATTTTCACAGCCATTAGAATATTCACAAATAGCCTAATTTTAACATTATGAACTCCAAAAAATGAGAATATGTCTCTCATGAAAGAAGTTGAAAAATCATTTATGAGCCGAACAAAATAAATATGTAAGGCTTCCAAGAGCAATCTTTGAATAAATCTTCATGGTACCAACTTGTTTCAAGCTACCTAAGTCAAAGTTCCAAGCTGCAATGCCAACAAAACCTTTTGCTCTAATGGTTTTAAGATCTATATCATATTGGCAAGTTGTTTTACCTAGTACTAAAAACTAGCTTTAGCACACTTAGGCTCTTTCTATAGTTGTAAATCTTGAAGTAGCAAGCTTGCCTTCAGTGTGTAATGTTATAATTCATGGAGTAGTGAATACAATTGACAAGCAAGGTAATGCCCAAATGTTCAATAATTATGATCTTTAAGGATTAGTGAAACTGGGGGAGTGTACGTTACAATAGTAAACTCAGCAAGGGTGGCAAACCATTTCAAATTTGTAGACATCTTTGTTATTGTTAATAGAATCAACTCAATAGTTTTTCTCATCTATCAAACCAGAACCAAAATTTATTGACTTCATCCCATCAAAAAATTTGATTGATCCTCTTCCTAATCCCCTTAGTGGTTCACTTAGGGCAAACATTAATTCAAACGCTGGCTTGTGAAATATGAAAAAGGATTGCAACTAAGAGTCATTTATTACCTTCAAATAGTTTCAAGGAAATTATTAATCAAAACACTAAAAAATTATTAAGTAAGGTTTCTAATACCAAAAATTATAGCACTCTCATACACATATGTATCAAAGTTTATTCATTTTTTTGAGAGTTTGTGAGGACATTAGCCAAAAAAAGATAAAATAAATATTGTTAACATGACTATGTTAGCTCACTCAATTCTGATTTCTTTGATCAAAACCATTTTATTTCACACCAAGTATTTGTACTTTTTCCATTGAGTGATCTTATTTGTCAAAGTTATAAACTTCACATGGTTTATCATAGCCTAATTTTCTTAGAGAACAAATTGTCAACATTGATTCTATCATAAGACATCAAGATGTTTCTCTCAAAGTTGTCTCTAGTTAGAAACTGAAATAGGAAGGGGTGAATTGGTTGTTCTGCATGAGTTTTTACTCACTGATTTTACTCTTAATTGAAAGTGGACATTATGGATATAGTCTTTTAACCATCAGAACATGTTTGCATTATTTTTTCTGTAGTTTCCATGAGCTAAACTCAACTATTTAGATTAAATGATTAATATATGATTTTTGTAACCTTATCTAAGATTTCATGTGCAGAATATATGGGTATTAGTTAGCTAGCCTTACTTCATCAGACACAACATCAGATTCATAGCTTAATTATTAAATTAGAGGTTTCCAATTAATAGTTCCAATTACAAGACTAAGTATTTTTTTTGTCAAGGTTGTTAACACATCTTAGTATTGGTAAATTCGTAGTCTTATACAATATGAAGATTCAAGACACCTAAAATAATTATCTGAAAAATTAGTACATTATTATAATCTACTCATATTTTACTTTCATATTTTTTATTACATAATAATAAGAAGGTGAAGTTAGATCCTAATGCAAATAAACATGCTTCCTTATGATGTAATAAAGGTGTTCTGAAATCTCACTCGAAAAAAGAACTTAATGGATATGTCATTTTTGATTAGTGATCAATGTTGAAGAAAAATCAACAAACAATTTCTGGTAAGATTATGGTGAAATTATTTGAAGAGTTAAGATAACATAAAATTTTGAAATTCTCTATCTAATTATGAGTCTACTATAAGTATCAGAATTAAACTTACTCTATTAATATAGATCATAGAGTAATAGAAGTAAAAATGTTATTAAGGTTTTTATAATCATTTACTTATGTATTTTAAATTATTTATTTTCATCTTGAAAAATTTTACGAGTCAATTCAAAGTGAGATAATAATAAATAGAAGATTGTTGTGAAGGAAGAGATGAGTTCTCTTTGTAAGATGGCACTGGTGAATTAGTAACACTCTAAAAAGTAAGAAAAATAATAGAGAGTAAGTGAATATTTAAGAAGAAAGAAACTTTGTCAATAAAAGAACCACCCAAATACAAGACACTACTAGCATGCAAAAGATGTGGGCAAAGAAAGGTATCAGCTATAATAAAATTTTCTCACTAAAGCTGAAGTAGTATTCAATTCACGTTATGCATGCAATGATTATTATATTTGAATTAAAATTATAACATCATGATGTAAAAAAAATATTCCTATATGAAAATTTAGATGAAAATATTTATACATTATAGTCAACAAGTTTTATTTAATAAGACAAAGAAAAGCTGGTGTTCAAGTTGAATTAGCCTTCTTGTAGTTTGAAATAGGTTCCTCATCAATGATATAACAAAATTGATCATTTTATGTCATTATATAACTACACAAGAAGTATGATACTTGTGTTTACTTTTGTTTCATAAATGACAACTCAATTATGTTCCTTGTACTATATGTTGATGATATGTTGATTGCATTTAAATATATAAATACAATTACTAAATTAAAAATCAACTTAGTTTAATTAATACCATATGCCAAGAAGACCCTAACCATTAAAATTAAAAGGGCTTAGTGTAGCAAAAGATTGTGGTTGACTTTAAAAAGTTAGATTAAGCAATTGTTCACTAAATTCCATAAGTTAAAAGATAAAATAATTAGTACATTTTAGCTTGACATTTTATATTATTTTTGTAGTACTGACTTAAATATGAGAAAGTATAAGACAAAAGTCAAAATATTGTATGTAAATGTGGTTTGTGGTTCAACGTAGATAATGATTTGTAGTAGATTTGATTTATCATAAGTAATTAACATAGTCAATAGATATATGATGAATCTTAAAAATGAGTACTAAGATAATATTAAATGAGTTTTAAATTATGTTAAATACAGATCAAATTTTTATTTGTTATTTCAACATAGACATATTATATTCGTGTTGAATATGTTGATTAAGATTATGCAAGTGACCTTAATAAATGAACATCTATTACATGATATATTTTTTCTCTAGATAAAGGTGTTACTAGTCGGAAGTCAATGATTCAAAATATTTTTGCACTCTCCATTACAAATGTTGAATATATTGTTGCAGTTGAGATAGCAATAAAAGCTTTCCAAGCTTTCCAATTGAAAGCTTTGGTGAAGTACCTTGCATTTTGATTGTCAAAATATAAATTTTAGAGTAGAGAGTCTACTCTAAAAATTACTCGTATTTAATTCCATTATATTGTTCTTAAAAAAATAGAAAAGGAGCTCAACAATCCATTGTAGCAGTTCACCTCTAAATTATCTAATTTATCATTATACGACAAAAGTCATTGGCATTATCTTCCATAAATTGTGTGGTTTGTTGTAGGTAGCAACATTCAAAGTGTAAAAATTTCTACACAATATAATGTTGTTGATATGATGACCAAACCATTATCAACAATTAAACTTCATTAATGCATGAAATTAGTAAATGTTTTCTCAAATCAAGTGAACTTAGCTGTGGATGTACTTCTACCAATAAATTGATATTTTTGTGTAGGTTGTAGTTATGTTTTAGGCAAATCAAAGGTGGATAATGTTATTATTTACTACCCAAAAAGAACTATTAAGCTAGATATAATGGCACAATTGAAGAAAAATAGAAAATGCCTTTTCTTTCCCTTTTAGGGCATTGATGCTTGTGGGAAAAATTGTAAAAACACTTGGGGAAATTAAGGAGTTTGTGGAGCTCCGTAGAGATGTGAGGTTGTTGTTCAAGCAATGTTTTGGACTTCAAAACAAGAGAACAAGGTAAAACCTTTCTCCCTCATTCTCATTATGTGTTATTTCTAGCTTTAAGAAGAAGAATCTTTGTTTCCAAGCATTAGGAAGAAAGATAACCATGAGAATTAGTGTTCTTCATGTACTTTCTTCAAATTGTTCTAGGTGTGGATGTTGGAATTCTTTCCCCTAATCACAACCATTGTATCACCTATTTCAATTTAAATTGTAAGGTGACTTATATCTAGTTTATTAGCAATTGAGGTTTGCAGCAATATGAGTTATTGGTGCCTTTGAAATATTGACCTTTATAAGGGAAAATATAATTTGGTATTAGCTCCATTTAGTGTATTTGTGGTGTGTTGTGGTTATTTGCACATAGTTAATATCCGATATCTCACAACATAGATGGATTTTGAATACAAACATATTCCAAAGGCAAAGGTAAACATATTCATAGTCTAAGAATTTAGTTTTATGCTTCTCAAAGGTTCTTGATTTTTTGATTTAGTCATTGGAGTAGCTTGACGTGAAGAAATTGATGAGGAGCTTGAGTAGCCAAAAAAAAAATGTTGCTTTGAATTTCTAAAGCTTGCAGAAATCCGACTCTCTAGAGGAAAATAGATTCCAATGAAACTCTTTCTAAATTTTCTTGAAATTTCGCTCTCAATTATCCTTCTAACATTCTCACTTGAAGTGAGCATGAGTTACCCGTTTTATAGGGATCTTTTTGGACACCTTTAATGTCTAGCATAATGGGCTGCCCCAACAATCATCAACGATATAAAATGTGTCACATCTTTCATCTAAAATTTACACTCTAGAACTACTCATTAATATTGTAAAATCTATAACAGATCATTACCTTCAAATTTTTCTATGTAGTTTGTTGCATTGTGTTCTTCTATGAGTCAAATTTTAAAGGAGTAGATGCATATAACTATGTCTATTATATATATAAAACCCATTTCCATACATGTTATCGTCATCAAAATATCTTATTTCTCTCAAAGCCATATTAACATGACAATATAAATCGATATCTTGTATTCCACATTGAGTGCAAAACTCTATTGTAGTTAGAGTCAAATGCTAATATAAAACCATGTAAAAGGATGGCTACATTGTAGTAACGAATATATCAATCATAAAAGCTTAATGACTGCTAGAAAATTGAAAATTCAAATTAGTACTTGTATGAGTAGAAAGTGTATAGAAAGGAGTAGAAAGAAATGCTGCAGCCAACACTTTTAAGTTTAAGTGAAGAATTATGCACCTCGATAATAATAACTTAGTACATCTAAGGTAAATCTCTATCAATAATATTTCAATGTATTGAAGTTACAAGAACTCTACATCATGTTGCAATGATGCAGGACAAAGGGGCCAAAATAGATCTCCTTAAAATAGAGTTACACAAGGGATGATGACTTAATATCCAGATGATTCTATAATTTTAGGAGAATTCAGATCATTAATTACTTATTAAGTTATTTAATTCAAAGAATCAAACAAGACTTCTCAACCAAAGTTTGAACCACCAATATTTCACACAAAGATAGTTATCATATGAATCTCATAAATTCTAAGAGCAAGGATTTAAAAACAATGACCAACTTCATAAGAAATTTGAAAATCAATACACCTTTACAATAAAGATGTTTAATATCTTGTTGGTTCAAGTTCTATGAGCTTTGTTAGTGATTTTCCAAGGTTCAAACTGAGTGATTCACACCAAGGAGTGGACTAGTCTGGTTCGAAAGGCATGAGCTATTTGGGTCGAGAGGTATAAATGAGGTGAAATAATAAAATAATAATGAAAAGAAAAGAAAAGAAAAGATAGAGAGAGAAAGAGGGGGCAGAATGAGAGGGTGTTAGTGGGAGAGAGAAAGAGAGAGAAAGAATGGGGGTACGTGGCAACGACGGGAGAGAGAAGAAAGAGGGTTCTCATGCAGACAAGAAACGAGCGTGATTTTTTTAAAAAAACTAACTAAAGTGCGGAGGGAGAAAAGGGGTGAAATGAGAACGTTGGTGGGAGAGAGAGAAAAGAGGGGTTTCCTGGTGATAGTAAGAGAGAGAAAGGAGAGGGTTTGCAATGGCGAGGTGATCAAATGGCGGCGATGGGGCAGATGATGAGGAGGTGGAATGGCGGCGACGGAGTGGACGGCGAGGAGGCTGAACGGTGGTGACAGGGCAGACGGCAAGGAGGCGGGACGACGGCAATGGGGCAGACAGCAAAGAGGCAAGACAATAGCGATGGGGCGGAAAATGAAGAGGCGGAATGATAGTGACAGTGGGAGAGGGAAGAAAGGTACACTTGGTGACAAGACGGATGCCTAGGAGGTGGAATGGTTGTGGTGGTAGGAGAGAGGAAAGAGAGGGCAAGAAGAAGAAGGTACCCCTAATCTAAGAGGTGAGAGAAAAAGAATAAGAATCCTTAATTCAAGAGGTGAATAAGTGAGAAAGAACGACCACTAATCCAAGAGGTGAGAGGGATAATAAAAATCTTTTTGATTCTAAATTCAACTTCAACTTTTCAGGTATTCGTGAGTTTAAGTATTTATAGGAAAGAGAGGAAGTTAGTTAAAAGGGTGGTCCCCTACCAAGAAGATGCCAAATTGTCTCTTGGAGGGAGAAGAACCTTCCTTAGGAGAGAAGGGGTGTGTGTATGTGTGGTATGGCCTCTTTTCCTCCCTCTTCTTCCTCCTCATGGGTCCACATAAGGAAATAAATCCTTATGTTGACTCCATCATGCAAGGTGTTCAACTTCTTAATGAGTAGTCGCATACCTATTTCTATTATTTAATAATATAAGTTCATCACTTTCAAACCAACAGTTGCAATTTCAATTCAATTCTCTTTAATATTTGCTTGATGGACGACAATATAAGTTCATCACTAGTAATGAATAAATGAGATGAACAGAACTAGCAAATAATAGGTTTATTGCCCTCCCAAGCATATACATTTACATGCACGTGTATATATCAACTTCACATCAAATTAATTGTAGATTTTCTTGGGCTCTCCAAATAATTTAGTGATTTTAGACCCACCCTCCCCTAAGCATGAAGTTGAACGAAAAATCCCCAGATAAAAAATGGAGCCCCGGGGAGAGGAAATCTTACTCATCTGCGTCTCTGACGACGGCGCCGCGACCCCGGGCCCTCTCTATCCACATTCTCTCCACCTGCTCGAAGCTCATCCCTTTGGTCTCCGGGACGAAGACAACCACGAAGACGACTGCGGCGACGGCCACGCCGGCCAGGGCCAGGAAGGTGACGGCGGTGCCAACGGCCGCCACGACGGAGAGGAAGGTCTGGGCGACGATGAGGTTGGAGACCCAGTTTACGGTGGCGGACATGCCGCCGCAGAGCCCCCTGAAATGCTCGGGGTAGATCTCTGCGTTGACGGCCCACGGCACGGGGCCCATGCCGGGGGAGAAGAAGGCGATATAGAGGACCAGCCCGCCGACGGCGACCCAGCCGAGATGGAGGGAGAAGGCCGCCGAGAGGAGGACGAGGGCGAGGACGACGCCGGCGAGGCTGGTGAGGGCAAGGCGGCGGCGGCCGCAACGGTCGATGAGGTGGATGCCGAGGAGGGTGCCGGCGGCGTTCATGGCGGCGACGAAGAGGGACAGCAGGAGGGCCAGCTTGTTGGAGGAGAAGCCGGCCATCTGCACGATGGTGGGGCTGTAATACATCACCGTGTTGATCCCCGTGAACTGCTGGAAAGCCTGCAAATCACGTAATAGTCAGGTAAGTGATTTTTCAAAAGGGAGTTGACGTCTAACACTGTGATGAAGATTTGCGAATGTAAAGCTCGCTAAAAATGGGGCCCGAGAGTGAGTGGCCGATTCTCCGAAGAAAATGGCAACATCAATTTACTGACGGCTGCAAGGTAGTTCGCGGAAAGTGCCTGATTTTGGGTCTGGATTGCCCAGGAATCAGTCATTCCTGCCAATTAAAAAGAAATAAAAACGAACTATGTTGAAGAATTGTGAAGGAAAATCGGTCAACATAGCCGATTTCAACGGCGCTGAATTGCCCTGGATGGGCCAAAATATGGATGGAATGGGCGTGGCTGATCTAACATCCGGATCCGATTCTGGCTCTAGATAAGATGATCCACCATATACCGTATATAGATGTATTTTGTAAGATAGATAGTAAGTGACAAAGAGAGAGAGAGAGAGAGAGAGAGAGAGAGAGAGAGAGAGAGAGAGAGGGATAGATATTACCTGAAGGCCAGCTCCTGCTATGAATGCAAGCCTGATTTCTTTGGATCTAAAGACATCCAAATACCCCACAGAGTTCTTTTGATGAATATCCATCTCATATGCCATGGAAAGCAAGCCCACTTCCTCTTCGAGGCGGTAGGAATCATAGATCTTGGACAGAGTGGAGACGGCTTTGGACTTATCTTTCTGTGTATAATCAGTAGAATATCACGATCGAAGTCACATGGTCTCCATTAAATTATATATAGAAATCTCAAGAAATTATTTGCATCACCTTGAGGAAGAGCCAGCGGGGTGATTCAGGGAGAAGCAGCATGAGGAAGAACTGAATGATAGCGGGGAGAGCAGAAACCCCCAGCATCCAACGCCATGTTCCAGCAACCTGCATAGATTGAATCACCAACTAAGTCGTTCACCAAAACTGCAATTATCAAGTTAGAAATAATGATAGCATCTCGAGTTTCCAAATTCCCATTGCTTCATCAGTTATCTCCAGCTGTCAACTAGGTCATTCAAACATAAACCTATACATCATTTTCCATGTTCGTGTAAAAAAGAGGTCTGGAAAGTAAATCAATATGAATGAGAAGCCAGAGGTATCAACATGACCTAGAAAAAAAAAGTATCCAGCATCATTTCTCATTTCTGTATATATGTATTATATAGAAGATATGCTCTTCACTTGGCATAATGCGTGCATAGTTCAAGTATGGGATGCAACTACATTTCAAGAATATAATTTATCAGATGATCGGCTGTCCTGGATCTGACATTTTTCTAAAACACTGCCATTTTATGCAGCTGTAAAGCTGATGGTAGAAATCGGCTTCCATGAAAATGTTACAAAGAAACAAACTCATCACAACCCTTCCAAATAGATAAAAAGTCCCAAGTCAAGCTGATCAGGTGAAGTTGTGCTTTTAATTTCCATTAAAACATTGAGAACAATGCTTATTTCACAACATAATACACCACCTATTTACCTATTATAATATCTGGATACTGAAGTCCACAAGGATAAAAACTGACATAAAGTAAAAAATTTAGCCCGGTTAGAATGTATCCAAAGAGTTATGCAATATGGCCATGCATTATAAGGTGAATTATTTCCTGACTTCCTGATGATCGAAGGCTTCATGGGTTATTCAACAGTGATTAAATCCACCAAGAAATTGGCTTCGATCGTCAAATCCAAGAAAATCAACAGAAAAAAATGCAGATGTAATGGAAATCACAGCACCTACAGTTCAGCGAATTCATAATTTTTCTGAGAAACCAAGTGGGAGTGAAATTATGGTTCAATGGTGACTTATATCCTACTAGATAGTCCGTGACACAAGCCATCAATTACCTAGTATAATTATAAATGTCAGATTTGAGGCAACTTTGCAATGTTCTCCCTATTCAGTCACAAATCAATCTTATGGTCCAACAGCGGAGATAACTAAAACGCAATGTCACTTGAAGAAATGACCAGGCTAGAGGAGTGAAAAGAATAAATTAGTGTAACTGGATTTAGCATGCCGATGATAACACCATGCAAGAAATAGACAATCTAACCCAAACACTATCGCAATTATTTGGAAATCTTAAGGCAAAATGTGGAAGGATATTAAATCAAATTATTGTTCCATCATTGGAAAGGCTCCATATTCCCTGAACACTCAAAGTAGTCTCCAAAAAGAAGCATCAGTCCATTGATATATCTGATAGCAAGGACCAACAATCTTCAAAAAGTGTACTGGTATCAAGAATTAATGATTCTCATGTTTTACAAAAGATTATCAAAAATTAATGCCAAATTTAGTTAGAAACTTCAACCATCAACTTCCTTTCATGTATTCATACAAGCAATATAGAGTTTTTCATATGCCTCGCATGCAATTGTGCAAGTATTACGTACTATGGGGTACGAAGAGTTACATAGCTTAAAAATTTGATCTATTCTCCTTGCTGCCAGTTTTCCAAGAATTTATCCGGTCTATTCTAACATTACGGATACAGAGTCACACCTTCAATACTCTGGAACGGGAAGGCTTTCCTCGTGTATGCAACAAAATAAATTTCTCAACACGAATACTAGCAAGGTCCGGTGAGCTCGGTTTCATCAGTATCAAGACGATATCTGGGTGTCATCAAGCAGTAAATTACATGTTTGAAACATTAAATTAGTAATAGATTCGTATTGCCAGATCAGAACTGCAGCTAAATCTTTTAACATGCATGCTGTCTCCCTAGGAAGCATGAGAGCCACCCAGATGAGTTATACTATAACATGTAATCCCTAGCATTTGAAGGAAGAAGAATACGCCCATCTACGTCTGCCACCACAAGAAATTCAGCAGCGCAAAAGAAAGACTAACCTCGGTAAACGCAAGGTTTACAAGATAGGAAAGAAATTGCCCTCCAGTAATCATAAGCACATTCATGCTAACGAGGCCCCCCCTTATCTCTGAAGGGGATACCTCTGCAATATACACTGGAGCAGTGACGGATGCAGTCCCCACACCCAAGCCAATCAGGAGTCTTCCAAATATCAGGATGTAGGGATCTGGAGCAGCACACATGACTAAAGATCCAAGTATGAAGACAACATCAGCAAGTAGTGTAGCTTTCTTACGCCCATAGGCATCATTCATCCACCCCCCTCCTGCAGCTCCAATAACTGCCCCCACCAAAGCCATGCTTACTATTGTCGCCTGAAAAATTAAGAAACTGACTTCTTCAGACTCGAAACTCTCGTGGTAGTCATTAGCTTGGGTTTCTCCCACTATGAACCAGCAGACAGGGAGCTGGTCGCTAAAAGCCATACCTGAATAAAATTGCTCTCCTTGACCACCTTAAAATCGTCTTTTATATAAAGAAGGGCCCCAGAAATTACACCTAAGAATAGATAATTTCAAATATCAAAAGGACGGGAGCATCAGGTAGAAAACATTGAAGCTCAACAAGTTTTCTGCGGAGTAAACATCTCCTTGTTGGCCTTATCCCAACATACCAAGCCAACCGATCGTAAACAACTATTTCGAGGATTCCGGCTCCATTTTAATTCACTTCGTATGAAGGAATCAACGAGAAAAGTCGGAAAGGGTGGATGGATCACCTGTGTCGTACCCAAACAGCAGCCCGCCGATGCCGGCCGTCAGCGTCAAGCCGAGCACGTACCAATTGCTGCAGTAGGACACCTTCCTTCCCGACAAGGGCTCTAGCGTCCCTGAACTCTCAGGCAGAAAGTGGATCGTCATCGTCTGGTGACTCTAGACAGCACAACACCGCCGCCAAAGACAGATATCGATTTCTAGATCCCGCTTCCCTCTCAGTCAACAGCGGCCCAAAACCGCCGATCAAAGGAGAGGGAGGGGCAAAGCGATGATCCAGACACCAAATGGAGTTGCCAAAGGATCCGACGCGAGAGACTTTGAGGAGCGGGGGGAAGGAGGGATGACGTGCAGGCGCTTCTTCAAGAACACCATTACGATTTCAGAGCAGAAGGGGGCGCCCTCTCAGCCAATCTGGGAATGAGAGGGGCGACCGGTTTGGATAACCGTTGTTGCCACGTCATTACAACTGCGTAATTTCTTACTTTTTCTTCGCATATGAAATTAACTTCAGACCCAGAAAATCCTGAATATTTCACATATATCCTATCAGGTCGATACTTATTTTAATAAAAGAAGGTTGGTTTTTAATATTTAACATTCATATCGATCTAAAAATGGACGGCTTTGATTGGTTGTTAGGTTCCTTATAACAGTAAAGCCCAAGGCGAGGCGGGCCGAAATCTAGCGGGCTTTTTTGGGGCTTTCGGGCTTTCGAAATCTATTAATGATAACATGAGATTTCTATTTTTTTTTCTTATTCACTGCGGAAAAAACGGGGTATAAATTTTCAGGAATTCCAATTCGTAACTGATTCTGGAATCTACTCCCGGAAGCCCCACTCTGACCGCCGTAGGTGTACGGATTTTTTTGCCAGATGTGGCAGTCGGGGGGGGGACTACTATCCGCCACGTCAGTTCATCGACCCCGAGTTGGCACATGACGACACCCACTTCGGGACCACGTGGTGACCCTTTGGTGGGCTTGAGGCTGATCAGCCCAAAGTTCTGTTGCTCCTGGCCCAATCTCTCTCTACTTGGGCCCGTATAGGCCCATAATCCTTCAAGGTTAATGTTAATTTTCCGAGAGAGAGAGAGAGAGACAGAGACAGAGAGAGATGAGGTGGAATGGGCCGGGCTGGTCCCGGGGCCTTTCATTCACCTCGGGGCGGGCCTATGTGCCTTAAAGACATTACTTATGCTGGGCCCAGCAGAATCCCCCTACATACTAATATAATTGGGCCAGCCGGGGGATCACAGGAAACCGGGATGGGGCTTTTCTCGGGCTTTTTTCTGTCGGCCCGGGCCGAATCAGAGCCTTAAGAAAAAGGGTGGGCCTACTCAACAAAGGAGGGGGGGCACTGAGAAGGTGATAAAAAAGCAATAATAGTTGTACGAGGGGAAATATTTTTTATGTGATACTAGGGGGGTTACGTAACATAATGGGAGGGAAAGAAGAGGTTGTTAGCTGCTGCGTCACTCCAAGTAGAAAGTATGTACGAAAATACGTTGGATCGGACCACACCTTGCCTGCTTTAAACGGCGATCGCCTCGCCGTAGGAGCTCCTGAGCTACCGCCAGGCAACAGAACTGTCTATCTCTCTCTCTCTCTCTCTCTCTCTCTCTCTCTATCTCTTTCTGTGGCCGGGTCCGTCATGGCTACTATATAAAGGAGTCGTAATCAAAGGCCAATAGCGGAGAAATCCCTTTCTAATTTGTGCCAGGCGTCCCCCCGCCCTTACCCCCCTTCCCCCATCTTCTCCCGAAATTCCCGAATTCCTCCCTCTTCTTCCGGGAATTCCGATCGCCTCGTCGGGGTTCGGGCGGGTGAGGGTATCATTTCTCGCCTCGGTTCGTGTGGCTGATCTGTGCTGGGGGTTCCCGGGACTAGGGTTTTCAGAGGAAGGGCGATTGGTCGGTAGGTCCCTGGTTGTTGGGCTTGGGTGGAGGGGGGGACGCGGGATGGACTCGGAGGACGATATGCTCGATGCAAATGATCTGGAGTCTCTCGACGATGAGTTCTACAGCGGGGAGACGGGGATGGGAAGCGATGACGGAGATGCAGACTATGGCTTCGTGGACAACGACTCCGATGATTCCGATGACATCGTCTCTCACCGGCAGCAGGTGAAGGCCGTCGGCCCTTCCAATTTTGCTGATGCTCCTGTCGTCTTGCCGTGGGTAGTTTCTTCTTTAATGGAAAGTGTCTGCTGGGTTCGTATGATCCTGCTTTTGAGTTGAGCTTTGAAGAAAATTGGCTCTGCAGTCGAATTAATTGAACTCCTTTTGGTAAAACAGAATTTCAATGGCTTCGCCTTAGTGAGATGTTACAGGCGAGAACGATCTTGCTCACCTCAATAACTATGATTTCCTTGTTGCTCAAAAGCCTGACTTGGGCGGCTACGGATCAATTAATCTAGTAGTTCACTCTAAATGTATAATAATCAACAGAGTTTCTGGGACTGTAGCTGGTTTTCGTGGGAAATCAAGAACGGCTCTTCTTCTTCCTTTTCGTTTACATTTGGTCCCCTGGATATTGACCCATAAATGATGCCCATACACTTTATCAAACAAAAAGGCAACCAGCATCTGGTATCGTCCATGTCCGATTATTAAATGTCCTTGATGTGCATACATATCTGAGTAGGATTTTAAAATAAAACCTCCATTGTAAATAATACAGGTCTCTTATGGGTACTTGGTCAAGTGGTACAGCTGTAGGCATACTGATGTTTGTACCTTCTTGTAATGATAATGGATATTGGATTCGTTATCAGTTTGTTTTGGTATGGATGAAATATGGCTGTATTTTTCTCATGTGGCTATATGCAACATTTCTACTTGTGGGCAATCTGTTGGCGAAATCTCAGTTGTTGTTTTTTAGCAGAACTTCACAGTTTTGAGTGAAGCAGATATTCGTCATCGTCAGGAGGAAGATATTAATAGGATATCCCAAGTACTATCAATATCCAGATGTGAAGCGTGCATTCTGCTGCGCCATTATAAGTGGTAAGTAGTTACCTGCCTGTCATGGCATAGTCGTATGATCATACTGGTATTCTCAGCATAGAGTTTTGTAAAATTATTTGCATATAAGACATGCTTTATGCACATCTTCTAACGTATGCAATGTCAGCATTGTGTATATAACATTTTGTTAAAAACCGTTGGTTGATTTGAGATTTCAGATCTGTAGTTTTGATGATTTGACTCGATTTTTATTTTTAATTGTACAATGTTAAGGAAATTGCCCTTAGGAATCTGGGAGTCCTTGCTGGCTTGGCAAAGGCTTCAAAAGAATCATTTATGTGCAATCGAAAATTTCTTGAAGCTTATGCAGAAATGAGTTACTGGATCTCTTTCTCCTTTGATGATCTAATCATGAAATGCGGCCAATGTTACTTCATAAGAACACTGGATGACATTTGGTTGTTGTAGGTTATTGTAGTGGACTTTTGGGATGCGCTGACGGTCTTCTGTCCTTCGTCATTCTGTCTCAATTATTAGGCTCATAGTTAGTGGCATATAGACGTACGAAATTTATGTCAGTGTGTCCATTATAAATATGATTAAGACTTCAAAGCGTAGCTGATTGTAAAAGTTCTTCTGAATAGAATGTGGATCATATTTTCAGTGGCTGTAGTGTTTTGACTATATCTAAAGAGTCTAGAGTCTTTGACATCTTTTACTCCCTTTTCAGTTTTTCAATACTCAACTCTGCCATTATTTTTTCTTTTTAAGACTTCTCGCCACAGTGCTCCCTTTGATACATTCATTGCTCTTACAGCGTAAAAGAGTTATTGGAATTTTTTTCCGTCATCCATTAAATCTAGTAAGCATGATTGGATGTATATCCAGACTAATTTGGGGCGTGTTCATAATGGATCCTTTTTTTTGGGAATTCAATGTAAAAGAATATGGTTAGTGGGCCAATGAAATTCCCACATTAGAGAGGATTGACTTAAGCATCAGACCAAGAAAGAACATGGATATGAAATATGTTATACACTATAAGAAAGATATCCTATTTGTGCTCAATGGATGAAGAATTCTAACTTCATTGGACTGCATATATCTGGGATTACAGAGAAACTTAGGGGATTCTCAGTTAACAGCTTGCCAGGTTGGGGTTTCGTTGAACGTAGTGAGGAAATAGTAACCGAGAATGATATCAAGTTCACCATCAGGGCATTTTATCACAGTCGTGGGATACAGTGAAATAGACAGGTGGCTAGTGTTTGGAGAATATTATCGTTTTAGGCATGTAATTTATGACATGTGAGCATATGAGAGTATCCATCTCGGATTTTCTGTTCCTGCTTGATTGTGATGGCAAATATTTTATGTTCCTGCATGTTCTTCATTTGTAATAATAAGAGAATGAAACAAGCAAGTCCCTGCTTTAATCCATAGCTGACAGAGAAGGGATTCTCAAAATCAGTTCTTCTTTGCAAACCTTTGCTGAAGGAAATCCACAGATTCTTGTTTTTTGCCAGAATTATGATGCAGTCAATTTGACTTTGTTTAGGATTTCATTAAAAAGGGTGAAACATGGTATTCAATGTAGGAAGGTAGAATGATGTGCAGCCATTTTTTGTGGGTTTATATTTATTCTGTTTTCCTTAATGGAAGGAATGGTAAAATAGGATTTTTTCCACATACCCTGATTTACTCACTAAATAGTTCTTGTTGACAATGGTGACCTCAATATTATTGGCCACTTTATGACCCCCTTCGATTAACTCAGTATGCTTCTTCCTGGCTTAATGATAGTTTCAGTTGCCTTCTCTGATAATTGTTTGGTTCTTCCTTTGAAGTTAGTATCTCCACTGACTCACAACCAGTGATTTCCTCATTATATATATCTTCTAAAGTTGTTCGCTAAAGTAAATTTCAAAGACTTAGTATCAAAAGAGAAATGATATTAATGTTTGTTATTTGTGCTATCTTTATTTCGGTAAGTTCTCTTTTATATGTTATCCATGATCATTTTTGTATCGTTTTCCTTCTGTTATTCACTGTACAGGAGTATCAGCAAGGTGCATGATTCATGGTTTGCCGATGAAGAAAGTGTTCGGACAGCTGTTGGGTTGTTGGAGAAGCATGTTGAAATGCCAAACGCGAAGGAAGTAAGTACCCTGCTTTGTATATGCAGTCTTTTTTTCCTGCTAAATTTCATTTTAAGCCTTGGAGTTGCAACTCTGTTTTAATCTTGCAATTATTTTGACAGTTGACTTGTGGAATTTGCTTTGAAGTCTATCCTCGTGATCGGATGGCTGCTGCTGTTTGTGGCCATCCTTTTTGCATCACGTGCTGGAGAGGTTTGCTTTCTGCGACTACTGTTTTGTAGCATGCTGTCACACTGTGCTTGTCTATCAGAAAAAAATTGCCTTATTTTTTTGACGTGATGTGCCGCGTCACCATTCGTATTTTTAATAGACTTGGGATCATTTGTTTTTTCGCTGTTGGTGTGTAATATGGTTATAAGATGTAACTCACTATAGTCTTATTTGGTGTGCCTATGTTAGCTTAGAGCATTGACCCTGTACCCTTTATGGTCTTATTATACATCTTGACCAATAGGCTCAGGGCCACAGCCCATTTACATTTTTTTTATACAATTGAGTTCAATACCTACATCAATTCTTATTGTATCTATACCCAGCCTAGTGGGTCATTGGCACAAGTTTACATTAGGCCTTGTTCTGTGAATGGGAATTTGTGCACAGTCTTTTCTGTTGATTTTTGTAATAGTTTATATCTTTAAAGAAAACTTACTGATGCAAGGTTTCCATTTCCAGGCTATATTGGAACATCTATATGTGATGGCCCCGGATGTTTGAGCCTGCGATGCCCTGATCCATCATGTGGTGCTGCTGTGGGTCAAGACATGATTAATATGTTGACGTCTGAGGAGGATAAAGAGAAGTATTCACGCTACCTTCTTAGATCTTATATTGAGGATAATAGAAAGGTAAATTAATGTTCAGACATGGAATGTGTTATCAAGCATGTTATTTCTACTTGTTACAAATATTGTTGTCTCTAGTTGCCTTTCCTGTCACATTTAATTACTAAGAAAAGTTAATCCTTACTTATCCTCTTTAGACATTGCAGTTAGAGTGAGCACACTCACTTACAGTCTATGACGTCCTGTGTCCTGATGTTTCTAGATTTTTTGCTAGTTTGTGGTCTCCTGCTATCTGTAGGAAGGATAATTGTGGATATCTTTTGCTGGCATTGTAACTGATGTCATGATCCGTTGCTTTCTTGTGCTATTTCTAGAAACTTGATTTGCTTTCTCTGATGTTGAAGAGTATACTGGGGAGAGTGATTCTTTTTTTCGTGATGTTTATACTGTGGGTAACATTTTCTTTCAAACTTATGTTGAGATAGGCAAATTCTGACATTTAAGCCACCATCAATTATGCCGAATCCCCGTTCTTAATTGAGATCAATCCTGGTTTTACAGTGCCTGAACTTGTTTCTTCTATAACTTACAAATTCTGTAGCTACTGCATGCACATTAGTGCTAACTACATGATCAGGAGATCATAGACAATATTTGATACGTTTGAAAATGTCTTATTATATCTGATGGTTTACCTGCATAAATGACAGTGCAGGGGATTATCTTCTTCCTTTTAATTGGCTACTGGAAAAATGTTTCTGTTGCCTTGATGACAGCATTAAATTAAGGCGTGATTCGAAAAAAGCCCGCTGTTCACGTAGTTTAGGAACTTCAGAATTGTGGATTGAAATAGTACTCATCTTTTATTTCCACTTTAGTCGGAATATAATCATTATATTATTACTCAGTTTATCCCCGTATTACTTTTCCATTTTATGCTATCCTTGTTTTAAAAGTAGGTATTGTAAGTCTTCACATTTTATTTGGTCCTGAGAAACTTGAAATTATTTTGTCATCTTTGGAGTAATTTTTTCTATTGTACTAACCTTCTTTCGTTATATGTTACTCAGTCTTCTTAAAAAAGATTGCTGTCATCTTCATTATATTTCAAGCAATATATATACCCTCGTTTCGACGAACATTCAAAAATACCTTCATTTATTCTATTTATTGATTATTTTCTACTTAGGCATTCCATATCTTTTATTCCTCATATTCTATCATCTTCATGATAGACAAAATGGTGTCCTGCTCCTGGCTGTGAGTATGCCGTAGAGTTTGTTGTGGGGAGTGGAAGCTATGATGTTGGATGCAATTGCTCCCATAGCTTTTGCTGGAATGTGAGTGGCTCCTGACATTCTGTTTGTGAGTTTGTCCTTTAAAGCAAGTCATTCTGTCGTATTTCCAGAAATATTTATTATATTTTGTTAATGAACATAAGCCTTTAAAATGTTATCAGTGTACTGAAGAAGCTCACCGACCAGTAGACTGTGGTACAGTGTCAAGGTGGATTTTGAAAAACAGTGCTGAATCAGAAAATATGAATTGGTACGTTTTGAGGTCAAGGTTCTAATTTCTGCGTGTCCTGAAATATAAATATCTCTTTTAAATAAATATTCTCGTTGAATATGATCGTCCAATGGGAATATCTTCATTCTTTTGTATTCACTTTCCCCAACATAGTCCTATTGCATTTATTTAATTATATCTTATTTTAAAGTTTGCTGAAGCTTGTTTACACTGATATCGGATTGAAAAGGGTGTCGACCCTCAAATTCCCTGAATATTTAATTCTGTAAACTAAACGTAACAATGCCTCAAATTTTGAGTTGTTGCTGATGATCTGAAATACTACTGGGAAATAAGAAAAAAATCAATCTGCACGAGGGAGAGTTGGTGGATTAAACTGATATTATTTAATGTAGTTGTTTGGGTCGACATTTTCAGACTTTATTCTTAGGTACGTTCAAGTTCTCATTTGATTTTACTCTCTGAAAAATAAACAAGAAAAAGGATTCAATCTGATGCTAATGACCCTAGCTTTGGCATGGATATGTTCCATAGAGTTATCAGAGATGCATTTTTTTTCAATTACAAAGATGCTTAGATTTAGTGAATGCAGAAGTTTAACAGAATTTATAGTATTTAGAGGGGGGGAAAGAAACGAGGTCCATATGATTTAAATAATTCTCTATCAGATAATAGTCTTCGGCCATGGAGAACAATACGAAACGAAGAAAGCATCTCCCTTTTACGACCCCAAAATGTCACTCTCTCCCACTTGACCGGGCTCCTTTAATTAAAGTTTCATGATCACCATCATGCTTTGAAGACTCATCAATCAACAAAATTTCAGCTTTCGACGTTTTAAAAAATGATATAAGCTTATATAGCTTTTTGAATTACCCCTTGAGCTACTTGAAAGTGAAAATGAAATATTTTATAATTAACTTGCTCATCCTCTTCGTACAATATCATTGTCTTGTCTTGCCTTTGTAAGAACGGCATAAAATGAAAATGTATCATTAGCCTTAGGTGTACAGAGTATTTTTTTTGTGAGACTAACTATTCATTATATGCCTTGATGTGTGGTAATCCTTGTTATTTCATCTAGAGATTGATGTTTTCTTTTCGTTTTCTGTACAAGTTTCCATATTTTAATGCAATTTTTTATTATGATTAGCAATTCCGAGGAGTTTGATGTTCTTTTGTTGATATTACTTTTTCAGGATATTAGCTAACTCAAAGCCGTGTCCAAGGTGCAAGCGACCGATTGAAAAAAACCAGGGCTGCATGCATATTACATGCACTCCTCCCTGTAAACACGAGTTCTGCTGGTAAATTCTGAGATTTTGTTGTCACTTTCAGAAAAAGTATGGTGGCTAATTTCATTGTTTACTTTTCATTACAGGCTATGCCTGGGTCCATGGACTGATCATGGTGAAAGGACTGGTGGGTTCTATGCATGTAATCGATATGAAACCGCAAAGCAGGAGGGGGCAGTATGTTGACCTGTTTCTGTTCCTTTAACCATTATTTAACCTAATGGATTTTGTACAACAGTAATCATGTTTCATACTGTTTGTATGTTTCAGTATGATGAAGCTGAGAGGAGGAGAGAAATGGCTAAGAACTCTCTAGAGAGATACACGCATTATTACGAGAGATGGGCAGCCAATCAATCAGTATGCACAATTTCTGATTTTCATTTGCTATTGTTGTGTTCTCTTTCGTGGGTTTCTCCTCGTTCAGCTTCTTTTGTTGATTGCTTGGGATCGACTTCTGACTCGGTCTACTGTGTTTGTTCTGTCTATTTGTGCTTATTTTATTCATAAGACTAACTGCATGATGCATGGTATTTGGGTATGACCTCTTGGCATCACTCTTTCTGAATAAGCACAAATAACTGGGAAAAGCCATGTACGCCCCCAGCTTTTATCTTCTAAAACAAATTTTCATTACTCACGAGGCTCTTCCTTAGAACATCTCCAGGATTCTTATCTGCGTTTTAGACAGTTTCACCTGGGCACTCATTTTTTTTCACCTTTTATCCATCAGAACAGAGAGTTCAATTTTTCTTTGAGTAAAATCATTCTGAGAACCATTAACGAGTCTTTTTGATGATTACGTGGTTTATAAAAATCATGGCAAGTTACGGATGGATAGAACAAGGCTTCTGGTTTGTCAGCTAAAACATGACACAATGTCATGTTTTAGCCTTATCCATTTTCTTCCCTTTAATGCTATTCCAAATGTTCAGCTGAAATAGAATAAATCCATGAGTATAGTCTCTGTCCCTACTTCCCTATCACCCATAGTGATGTCATCATATATTTATATACTGTATATTATTATATTATTATTATTTGGAGGCTTTTAGGAGAGAAAAAGTTGGCGATGATTTCACTGTTGGTACCGTTTCTAGTGGCCAGCTACCTTTTACTCCGTCTTTTCTTTCAGCAGTGGTGAATTTTTGGGCATGAAATTTGGTTAACTCACTGCCGCCATGCCTAATATGAATTATCTCTTCTTTGTTGATCCCACTTACGTAAATTTTGTAACTCACCATACCTAATGGGGCTTAAAGGTTCTTTACTTTTAGTGTTAACGAGTTGGTTGGTGAATCGATTGACCCCTCTAATCATCATCTCAGATGAAGACCTAAACCTGATTAGGTGAATCTCCTGTTGGGACTTAATTGATGAAGACAGATTAGCCAGTGAAAGCGATCTTTCATATTCATGCTTTCTATTATGACTGGAGCTTTTAGAATGCACTCTAATTTTTTCATCTGCCCTAAATTTATACCGGTTTGCTTTTTATCTTGAAATATTGCAGTCAAGGCAAAAGGCGCTTTCTGATTTACAAACTTTGCAAGCAGTGCAGGTGAGATATCACACATTCTCATTGATTAGTTGTATGCCTTGATGAGCATATTTTTTTGCGACCCTTTTCAGATGATGGATGATTATAGGATTTGAATCTTTTACATTGAGTTGTACATTATAATTAGAAAAAGGTAATGGTTTGAGTGCACAATCCCATTCCTCGAATATGCAGTGTTTGCCTTTGGAAGTGAGAGTTATATTCAGACTCTACCTAGGTGGCCAAATACTGAGGGGCATTTGCAGGTGCGCCTGCGATCCAGAACAGATAATGTGAATCAAAAATAAAGATGTGACACTCGGACGTTTCAAATATACATTATTTCCCAACTTCCTTTCTCGCGGAATTTTGATCATTTATGGTTTTGATGTCTATCCGATGATCTTCTTGGGATTTTCTAAATCTGTCAGTTGCGTTTCTCTAGAGAGTGTTCTATAGAAAAACGATCATGATTTTCTATTTCCTTGTCTCAGCTTGAGAAGATAAGTGACAAGCAAAGTCAACCCGAGTCTCAGCTCAAGTTCATCACAGAAGCTTGGTTGCAGGCAAACCCTCCATCCTATTTCTTTCTTTTTTGACCGAAAATGTTTTCTTTTCCTTTTTTGCATGACTTGGATTCGTCATCCTGCAGATAGTGGAGTGTCGGAGAGTGCTTAAATGGACATACGCATATGGATACTACTTGCCGGAGAATGAGCATGCCAAGAGGACATTCTTTGAGTACTTGCAAGGTTGACTTTCGTTTCAATTCGGGAAGCTGGGAAGCAGCTGCGCATGCTTGTCTTCTGAAAACCTTGATTCATGCTTCAGGTGAGGCTGAGTCTGGCCTAGAACGGCTTCATCAGTGTGCAGAGAAGGAACTTCAGGTTTTCATCGATGCAGAAGGTCCTTCAAAAGATTTCAATGACTTCAGGACGAAATTAGCCGGCCTAACCAGGTAACCATCTCCATCAGTTTTCCTCTTTAGCTGGCCCACTCTCTCTCCCCTCACTTTTCTGTCTTTCAGCGTGACTCGCAACTACTTTGAGAACCTCGTCCGCACCCTCGAGAGCGGGCTGCAGGACGTCGGCACGTCCGGCGGTCAGCACGCCGCCACCAGCCGGTCGTCGAGCTCCAAGTGCCCCGCCAGCCGGAGCAAGTCCGGCAAGAGCAGGAGCTCCAGCGCCTGGCCCAAGTAGCAGTGGTGCGCCATTGTGAGTGAGCCCTCCTGGCCCCGTCTGTCGCCACCAGCTGTGCGGCCATCTCCCCCACCCCCCACCCAATTCACCCTCCCCCAGCTCGGCGGCGCTCCACTCCACCGCCGGTGCTCCTGTTGCCCGATGCCATGCCGCCGACTGCCCCGGCAGCTCCTTCGGCAAGTGCCGCCGGTGCCGGCCCGAGGAGCCGCCGCCACCGGCGGATGAAATGAATAACAACAGGGAGCAGGAAGAGAAGGGAGGAGTAAAGTGGGCCTTTTTCTCCCGTCTCCTGGTAGCAACTCATACGATGATGTATCGTCGGTCTCTTGTATAGCTTCATGTATTATGATGGTTTATTTATATATACATCTCTGCTTCAGCTAGAAGGGCGGAAGCGCTTCTTCCCCGTAAAAAATGGGCCGAGAAACTCCGCGGCCCGGACTGGCCCGACCCGCTCCATGAATGTGACCAGTCTCTCTAGTGAGAGAGGGGTGTAAATGACTATTGTAGAGAGAGAGAGAGAGAGAGAGAGCTAATCAAAAGCTATGAGGCATTTGCGTCTTTGTTAAAATATGAGGGGTTTTTTTCTAAAATACCAGGGATGCCGAATCCAAATCCAAAAAGTTTAGAGACGACAAGGTATTTATCTGAGGGATTGGCCTTTTTCTTGAACGCATACGTAGTTATACGTACCGGCTCCTGCATTTGATTCCCGGTTCTTTTAAAGGGAAGGTGGGTCCCGCAGCCCCAACAATTAAATATTGAGGGCCGAGTGCGCTCCTGGAGCTTTGTCGCTGGGTACCGACCAACCCCGAGCTCCAGATTCGATCTCTGCGCCGTCGGTCAAGCCCTCGTCCTTCGTTCCCGTACCCGGTGAGGCTTCTGGCTCTCTCTGTCTCTCTCTTGTTTTGATCCACTTCAATCTTGTCTCATTCTGTAACGGTTGAGGCTCTAAAAGCGACCGACTCCGGCCGTGCTTCTATTTATCTCCTTTTGGCGGGCTGCAGAAAGTCTCTGTTCTCAAACCGAGGAACTCGACCTGTTTTCTCGCGTCCCGTCGGGATCACTCATTTGAAAATCAGTTCTTCCTCCGATTGTCTGTTTGAAGTCTTTGTGGGCTTGTGTGTGGAATTTTTTTCAGGGTTCGTTAATTTTAGTACCCCTGCGATGTCCAGAAGTTTCTATCATTCGATCTTTGTTGAACTGGCGAAACCTCTCTCCCTATCTCTTTCTTTCTATGGGTGTATGTTATGCTTTTAGTACTGAAAACAACCCAGCTTGGTACTTCCATTCAATTTCAATATCATCTTTAACAATTAAAATTCTTTCTCAGCGTAAATTATATTTGTGACTTGATCTAATTGATTATAAGGTGTTTTTTGGAATAATGCACCAGATTCATGGGGTTTAAGCTCCAACCTGTTACAGACATATTTTTTTTAACTTATAAGAATTTCTATTATCCCTCCCTTTTTGTGAATTCAAGGGACCCTTTTTTCCGATTCTTGTGATTGTAGAATTGCCCCTACAAGTCCTGGATTTGATATATGAGTTCCTGCCCTACTTCCACTATATGAGAAATGAGCGTTTAGACTTCTTAATATCAAAATCCTTGGCAACAATTTTTTTTCTTTTCCAAAACGGAACTATTAACTTGAACGTTTTAAACTTATCTTATTATTATATTCTTCTTACTTCTTTTAGTTGAGAGGAAGAGAATAAATAGTAAGGTCTTTGGTGGTACTCAGTTCATTGGGAGAGTATTGCATTCTTATGGAACACTTCATAGTTATTTTACCAAAGAATAATATTGCATACTATTCTTTGGTCTGAGTACGATACATCTCACATTAAGCATTACCTGGTAAATCAATTCTCCGTGAATTATAAGTCAGGAGCCCTTTGACAGAAATATAGGCTATAGTCTGTCATATAGAATATTTTTCCAATTTCCATGACGAGCGTGCTTATGTAAAGTTAGTTATTACTCTAGCTTAAAGTGTATTATCGTCATTGAATTTTATTTTTAAATAATTTGGAAGAATTGCCTTTTTAATATTTTTATTTCATTATTGTATCTAGTTGATTTTTTTTTAACCTGATTCCATGCTCATCATCACTGTTTGAATGTTAACATTTTTTTTTTGTGTGTGGCATGTTACTTGTTAAGATAAGGACTCATTGAAAATGATAATTTTTGGTGAAAGATTGTGTTTCTATGGTTCTTTCCCATCCCCATTATCTTTGTGACATCATGAATTTCAGTTCTTCTGCATTGTGATGAGACTCTAATTATTACAGTTGGCATTTATATGGCTGAGATGATCAGAGCATGCTTTATCCCGAATTATCCCTCCAGCCATCACCAGCGTTCATCACTTGGTTCACTATTCCCTCCGGCTATAGTGAAAGTTTCATATAAATTTCCTTCTTGGAAACTGTCCAACACTCCTCTCAAGCTGGTTGCAAGCTCTGTGCAGTCTCCCAAGACAATGGCTTCCACTCAATTCGGCAATACACTGCCTTCCAAAGGTTGTTCTTTAGAAATTCCGAGCTACATGGGTAGATCCTATTAGTTGACGCTTATTTGTTCATTCCTCAAGTGTAGATGTCCTTGAGATCTGGCGCAGTGCCGATGCAGTATGCTTTGATGTGGATAGCACTGTGTGCTTGGACGAGGGCATTGATGAACTAGCAGATTTCTGTGGAGCTGGGGAAGCTGTGGCCGAGTGGACAGCAAGGTTAATGTGTATTCGTTTTACCCAGAAAGGTGGAAATCAGTAACCAAAGGCTTAATCAACAAGGGTTGACTTTTTTGTTGTTGTCAGGGCCATGACTGGATCTGTTCCATTTGAGGAGGCTCTTGCTGCAAGGCTCTCTATATTTAACCCATCATTGTCCCAGTTGCATAATTTTCTTGAGAAGCGACCTCCCAGGTATCGATGCTTCCTACTACTTGGTTTGTAGATGGTTTTAGAAGCTGTCACAGGTCAACCATAGCAGAATGCGTCGTGAGATCGAGCCTCATAGATACAAAACTGCTCGTCCTCACCCGATCATGGGCCTCTATGCATTAAAAAATGGGTATTTTCTGTTAGCTGGAAGAAGCTCAGGTAGAATTAAGACTTTAGGAGGTGACCTACAGGAGGAATCTGCTGGACTTCATATATTTCATGCGGCAATGCCTTGTGTTCTTCAGAAGTTAATTATATATTTGATTGGTTTAGGTCCTTCACCATGCAGGATATCTCCAGGAATTCAGGGGTTGATAGAGAAGCTCAGGAGCAAGAAGACTGAAGTCTATCTGATTTCTGGGGGCTTCAGGCAGATGATTGAGGTACACCACTGAGCTCAGCTTCATTTTGTATTTCTGGAACCCTTTTTCGGAAAATTGCTCTTCCCAAAATCTCTATGCATAGCCAATGTAACTTCATATATTAGTTGTTATTTTATTTATATGGATTTAATTCTTAGCATTAATGTTATTTTTTTATGTTTTTATTATTGTAATTATCTGTGTTAGCATTATTGTCATTAAACTATCATTATGATTGTTATTTGTCAATGGGATGATTTCAAAGCCTGTGGCTGCCCATCTTGGGATTCCACGTGAGAACATCTATGCGAATCGGCTGCTGTTTCGGAGCTCGGGAGAGTTCCTGGGGTTTGATGCCGAGGAGCCCACTTCGAGGAGTGGGGGGAAGGCGACGGCCGTGCAGAATCTAAGAGCGGTGAGTGCTGGTTGAGCCATCTGTGTGACTTGCTTGTCGGGACTAGAAGTCGTGAGGGCCGCTCGAGTTTGGGATGGTTTGACCCTTCAAACTGATCGTATTGGGGTTTTGCAGGTGCATAAATATGGCACCTTGGTCATGATCGGTGATGGGGCCACTGACCTTGAGGTAGAGTAGCTCTCTCTCTCTATCCCCTTCTCTCTGTCTCTCTCTCTCTTCCCTTCTCTCTGTCTCTGTCTCTCTCTCTCTTCCCTTCTCTCTGTCTCTCTGTCTCTCTCTTCCCTTCTGTGTCTCTCTCTCCGCTTCTCTCTGTCTCTCTCTTCCCTTCTCTCTCTCTCTCTCTCTCTCTCTCTCTCTCTCTCTCTCTCTCTCTCTCTCTCTCTCTCTCTCTCTCTCTCTATCTATCTCTCTCTCTCTCTCTCTCTATCTATCTCTCCCCTTCTCTCTCTCTCTCTCTCTCTCTCTCTCCCCCCTACCCTTAGCATTCCATATGCCATCCATGTTCTTGGGTCTGGTTCACCAACTCGATCGTACCACAAACTTGGGTTTCTAGATAATATTTACCAAATTAGGGCTCCTGCCAGTATAACTGAGACAGCTTTTCTGCGGTCAATTCCAGGCCAAGCAACCCGGCGGTGCCGACCTGTTCATCTGCTACGGTGGGGTTCAGCTTCGAGCAGCCGTCGCAGCTGCGGCTGACTGGTTGGTACTTGATTTTGAGGACTTATGTGCTGGTTTAGAGTAGCCCCCCCTCCCACTCCTCAAATATGCACCATCAAATGCCATGCATTTATGCCAAAATTGATACGACCAGAAGAACTAATGAATAAATATCATCCTTAATAATCCTCAGGCGTTTCCATGTAGTTTATGTTTCACATAAACAGCAATTTCTTTGGCTGGAGATTAATTTGATGCAGCATCTCCAGATATTATTGAAATTAATTTTATACTGCATAAATTCTCTTCTTTCTTGGTCTTCTCCGTCAGGTTTTTGGATTTTATAAGCTTTTTTGCTCCTGTTCTTCTCTAATTACTCTCTACTTTATTTCAGGCTGATTGGATCATTGATTTTTCCCAAATGAAATGCAGCATAAGTGCTAACATGAAATCATAATTTCAAAGACGATAAAAGAAAAGGGGTGTTTTTTTTTATGAATGAATTCTAGGAAAATATATGCCAAAAATAAAAATATTTAGAAATAAAGGCTACCAATTTTTTAGGGTCTTATCTTTCGGAGCATCCATTGTCGAACAACCTAAAACTGAGAGTGTTCTTCACGGCCGTCGAGTAGCGGCCCAACGCCAGCAGCCTCCGGTCCTCTTCGGACCTTGCCATCAGCATCATGATCCTCATCTTGAGTTCTTCGTAGCTGATCCTTATCTCCTGCAGAGTTTTGTTGGAGAGCTCAACGCTGTTAGATGGGGGATGAAGTGTAAGGATCATGAGATGATTCTTCTCCATTATTAACCCAGGGAGATCGCATCATCTGTGGCCCAGAGAGGAATTGGATCTACAGAGCAAATGGTCGGCAGTCTGAGGGTGCAGAGTTCTAGATTGGAAAATGATGGAATTCTTGAGATTGATGAGGAGAGAGAGAGAGAGAGAGAGGAAAGAAAAGTGTCACTCTCACCTTGTCGCTGCCCACATAGGCGATGATTTTTAGAACCAGTTCATTGTTCTCCCCGAGGGCATCTCTCAGTTTGTCGATCTCGACAAACCCACCGCTGTTCCTGTCGAAGTAGCTGAAGGCCTTCATGAGGTGGAGGTCCGTCGTCGTGCTGGTGGAGGCTATCACAAGCTCCTCGCAGTCCGGCCACCCGCCGCCGTCCTCGTCCGCCTGTGAAGATCTCAGACCAGGGACCCAGTAAGAAGTTGGACAGCCGTCAACTTGATCTACATATAACTGAGCCACTCTCATAGTTCTGCTATAAACCCAGCAGTCATTTCTGGATCACTGCAGAAGAAATATGCTTGAATCTCCTCATGCTTTTCGTTGTGGGATGATGATGGAAAGAAAACTTGGTGTTCTTGATCTGGAATCGATCAAGAGAGAGGGGTTGATGATCCTCACAGCTTCCACCAACATCCAAGCCTCTGGATCTGGAATCGGCCCTCCGATGTTCTTGAGGTCCTCTCTGAGCTTCTCCAATGTTGGGTTCTCTGACACCTGTGCTTCCTTTGAGGAGGTTTCAGAAGAGGGCACAAAGATACAGAGGGTGGCTTTGTCTTCCTGAAGTGATGAAGCTTACCCTTGAGGCACTTTGCTTGAGCTTGTGGAAACTTTGGATAGCTTCCCCGAGACAAGCGTTGGGGCCTGTGGCAGCGTTCTGGATCCATGGGTGCTCTTCAAGAAGATAAATGGAGGAATCTTAGCTCCGGTCTAGAACTGGGAGTCGACGAACGCTTCCTCTTGTGGAAACCGATTGCGAAGAGGATGGTTGATACCTAGAACTTCACCAGCTGTCAATCGGGTGTAGGGATCTGAATCCAGCATGTGGATCACCAGATCCTTCGCGTCCTCTGAAATCCTCGGCCAGGGTTCTCTCTCGAAGCTATAAACCGATCGAACAATGGAGTATGCAATTCCTTCATCTGTTTCTGCGCATGTCATCACAGTATCAGATATTCTTGACAATCCGTTCAAACCAGTTGATGATATGTGGAGTAGATCCGTTCATCTTGATCACGCTTTTCGTGGGAGTTATTGAGGCAGCTACTTAGATGCAGTCGGCAGGATGTCGTACCTGCCCAAAATGGGGGGAATCCGCACAGCAGGATGTAGAGGATGACCCCCGCGCTCCAAACGTCCGCCTCAGGCCCGTAGTTCCTTCGCAGTACCTCCGGGGCCATGTAGAACGCACTTCCGACGATGTCGTTGAATCTCTCGCCTGCGGCAGATAGGAAATCGGAAGGCGTGATTGCTTGATCTCGATTAATCGGGAAGGTGCATTCATAGAGGTGAATTACGATGGATCTACCGGGCTCGAAGCATACGGACAGGCCGAAGTCGATCGCCTTGAGCGGGGAGGTCTCCGTCTTGTTCACGAACAGGAAGTTCTCCGGCTTCAAATCTCGATGCGTCACTCCATGGCGATGGCAGTGCTGAAGCAGACACCACCACCAAGTATGGCTACTCAATCCCTTTCCGCTGGCACAACCACAAGAAGAGGAAGATCTACCTGGACAACCTCGACGATGGTCTTAACAATACTGGCAGCGCCGTGCTCGCTGAAGTGGCCCTTGGCAACGATCCGATCGAAGAGCTCCCCTCCGTCGCAGAGATCCATCAGGATGTGCACGGCATCGGCATCCTCGAAGGCGTCCCTGAACCTCACAATGTGAGGATGAGGGGGAAGGGCACGCATGATCTCCACCTCCCTGCGGACGTCCTCCACGTCCACCGCCGTCCTCAGCTTCCTCTTCGAGATAGATTTGCAGGCCACAACCTCCCCGGTCTCCGCATCCTCGCACCTCCTCGTCACCCCAAACTCCCCCCGGCCTAGCTCCTCCCCCAGGCGGTAGCGCCTCTGCAGATCCTCCCCAGTAGAAGCCCCATCTCCGAGGACGGAGACGGGAGAGAGGACCTCCGAGCCGCGCCCCTCCTCCTCATCAACGTCCTCGCTGGTGATGGAGGAGAGGGACCTCAGATTCCGCGTCCTGCTGAAGAAGGCGCTTCTCCTGCTCGGCGCCGCGCAACAGTTCCCCATCTCCCAGCTCCTTCGGTCCTCTCTGGAAGAATTCGGAAGGGACTGGCCTTCTCCGCCATGGATTCCTGCTCTGGCAGCTTCCCTCCCTCCTCCCCGCTGGCCTTCCTCCCCGGGTTTCGCTCCTTCCCGCGCTTTCCCCAACAGCAGGAAACCGTTTCCGCTATAGTTCACGGCGTAAGTGGGCCCCGCATCATCCCTATGTTCGTTGTTTCTGTTCCTTAAGCGCCCGAGTAACGGCCTCTCTCTCTGTTTATTTTTCTTCGGAAAGCTGGACCGGACGGCGGACCGGATATGTCCGGTCCGACCGGACAAGACTGACGAAAAGGATGTCTATCTAATTAAAATATATTTAAAAAACGGATAGAAACAAAATTTATTGGTTTTTTTAGTATAAAGATAATAGGCCAACAAATGAGGATTTTAACAATATATTCCTGAGAGACGAAAACCCACCCTAACTGGAAACTACTGTAGACCCAATTGGACAGAAATTCAAAATTGGTGCTAATTTTGGCATTGGGCCCGGTTTGGCCCTCGATGTTTACCCGAACTGGGTTTGGGCCCGGCCCAAACCTTGGAAAGCCCGGCCCGACCTAGTCCACATAGACCCAGCGTGCGCACCTCTTCGTTGACTCGAGCTGAACTGTAAGATAGAAATAATAAAATAATTTTTTTTTCCTCGCACGTGCATCACGTGTGACATCTAGTCAGGACTCCACGTCTTGGGTGAGGAAGGTGGGTTTCTTGAAGAAAGTCGGCGCGCCGACACAGATTCTCGCCTGATTTTCATGCGTGCGTCGTTGATGACGTCACTCGGATTGTTATCTCTGCTGCCTCGTTGAAATAAGCCATGCTCATTATATAAATATTCAATACTCGGAAGAATGTCATGTCCACTAATGACCTTATTTTTTTATCATTATAAACCCTCAACTTCTAGATATTGTTTTGTATAAGATTAATGAAGATAAGTGACGGTTTCTCAAGCAAAAAAACCAAGAAACTAAAGCAATTGGGGATATACTTTTACGAGTTTTTCCCCGAGATCATGTAATATACTTTTTCTTAATTTTTTGTTTCTTTTATCTCTATGAAGACCTTAATGACAACTACATAATAAAAAAATTAAAAGGGTAAAATCGAAGTTGATGAATAAGAAAAATGCAAAAAAAGTAATGCATGGAAAAATCCCATTTATTGACTGTAAAATATCAGGATGAGTAATTTTAGTAGGCATATCGATGAGATATTGAGAAATAAATGGTGAGAAGTAAATTGTGCCTCAATTTAGGAATGGCATAAATCATATTCGAAGGGTTTTAGGGTTTTTTTAGATTTTTTTATGAGGTGGGATCCATTTTTGCCCATCATTTTAGATTATTGGGTTTCATTTTTAGATTTTCTCTCTCATGCTTAAGGACTCTTCTAGATTCTCTCTCTAAAGATATCAGGGGCTTATACCGAAGGAGTTATATCTAATAATAAATAATTGAAGAATATGAAGTAATTTATTATTTATGGTAGAGACGAAATGAAATTTTGTAATTCTTTACCAAGACACTAGTTTTTAGTTTTACGTTGGGATGACATCATGGTGATTAGCAGGAACGTGAGAACGCCGCCGGCGATGCCGGATCAGCGAGGAAGCTTCTCTTTCCTCCTCCTCATGCTGATCCTTCCCTCCATTTAGCTTGATGGACTTTTCCTTTGACGTGGATGGTCTCCGCGGCCTTTAGGACTAGGGCTCGGGATCCTTCCGTGCAAGTGCGATCTCTGTCCCGCGTTTAAATTCTCCAGATAGATCGCTGCCTTTGCTGAATATCTGTCGCTAGACGTTGGCTCATTTCGCGGATTCCCGCAGGTGCGCCTTCGGTATCTTCTGGAATCGTGAAATTACAGTACCCCTCGCCTTCTCCCTTGAAGGGGATTTGGTTCCGAAGGGGATCAGACGCCTTGATCTTTCGTTAGGTCTTGGATTTTTTTCTTGAGTTATCGGATAGGGTTTTGGGTTGCTTTTTCCGGTTGCCAGAAAAAAGGATTCGTGTTGTTTTGACGCTCATGGAATGTTTCTTCTTCGTGAATCGTTGATCTGGTAATCTTTTTGTCTTAGGATTTTACAGTTCTGTGTTAGCTATGACCTAGGAAACGCTAGGTATCGTCCTCAACGAGGATACTAGGACTAACCTATCTGATATAGATGATCAGTGTCTTCTTAAACGGGCCCTTACATTTTTTTATATATAGATTTTATTTTTATAGCTTATTTGATGTAATGTTCCCTTGAATTTTGTTGGTTGCAGTGGGAGGATTTTTACCTGTAGCGGAAAGCTTGCCTGTAACTTCCACCAGTGTCAAGGAAAAGAGTGAATCTTGAAACAATGCGGGCTCCATCACTTCTTGCCAAGTGCCTTCCCGGCTTACTGCCCCAAGACAAGAAAACCAACGGAGTTTCCGTTGTTCCAGAAAGGGATATTAATGTTCCTTCTCCAGCAGTGGAGATCCTCCCTTCAAAGGTCGTATTCGCATTTCATTTGCATTTGTAAGTTTTCGTTTACACGTGCTGGGCTGTTATGGACTTCTTTCACGACCAATCTATTTTGGCTTTCGAAGCAGATTCAATTCACTAAGGTTTCAGATTTTAACTTACCAATTGAACAAGATTCGCTGTTTTCTAATAAGTTTATAGAATCGAGTGTCTCTGGATCATTTTTTCATTTATCTCCTCAGTTCTTATATCCCCTGGATGTTCTCTCAGTGATGTGAAGTATATTTTTTTGCCCAATTTGCAGAATGCTCATCCTTATAAGTATGCTGGCGAGAATGTGGACTTGCAGGGTTTTAACATTTTCAAGGTATAGAATACTCATCTATCCCCTTCTAACAAGTGTCCTTCTCTGAGGTTTCCTTCCTTGTCCTTCTTGCTTTTGTGTATGTTTTAAACGTCACCACACCAACGCTCCACTGCCTTTGGCCAAGGTGACAAGACAAGGGAAACAAGTGACTCCTAGTCTTGATGTCCACACTTTTCACGTTGATATTTGCCGATATGTCATGTAGCGTATCATGACACTCAATGCGCATGATGGGGAAGGTCTGCCATTGCTTTTACGCATTAATACGTGTCTGTGCATCATGTCACACAGATTCAGTGTCACACAATGCATAAACACAGATCATACACAATCTGAGCTTGGTGTCTCATGTGACATCTATAGCGTCATAAAGACTAGGGTTTTCAGGGACCCAGACTCCTAGCGCCCAAAATGTGCTCCCATTTGCAAGAACTCCTGACTATTGGACGAACGATGTCTTTTCTGAAAAAAGGAAACATTTTCTATATGATAAACGTTGAGTTTCTGGCCCTGCCATTGCTAGGTGGTTTTCGTCGTGTTTCATCCAATTGAGTAGACTCTTCCTCAATGATAACTGAATAATGGTTGTGTTTTCTTTCCTTTTATTCTTCCTGGTGTGATCAGTAATCTGTTTTCTCGCAGTTGTCTTATACGATTAAACAGAATAATTCTCGTTTGTCCAACATGAGGAAATATCTGTCTTAGAGCAATTTCCCATCCGGAGTAATAGAAAAGATGAAGAGAAGAAATTTGTGCGTTCTAGTTAATACATCAAACTCATCCGCTCTTACTTTAATTTTGTACTATTTTCTTTTCCTTTGGTTTTTTCAGGGAAGAGTTAGTGTGTCTGATATGATTGGATTCACCAGCAACTCGGAAATGTCACCTTCAAAATCTGATGGTATGTTTTAGCCTTCAGATCTCAGAATCTCTGTAAATGCTATCTTGAAATATGTCAGATGAGTTGCATGTGTTTAAATGAATGACTTAACAGGACGCTATATTGCAGGCTGTTTAAAATCTTGGGAAAGTTCAATTGATTTAGTAAACGTTCTCAAGAATGAGATTCGAGATGGGCTGCTGAGCTTTCGAGGCAAACGTGTGCTTGAGGTATTATAGCTTATTAACCGCAAGCCCTTCTTTGTAGCACCCTCTTTTCCCTCACTTTCTTTTACCCTCTCCCCGGAAGTACTCTCTCTCTAGAAATGTTTCTACCATGTTTCATCATTTGCATAAGCATCCCCATTGGCAGCAATTTAAGCAGAGAACAGCAGAGATTAAATCTTCTGATTTGAATGATTCTCACCTTTGACTAGCGCATTAATGGGTCTATAAGCTAATGACCAACTTGTATGCATATTCAGTTTTGTCCTATGATGGATTGTTAATCCGTTTTATTGCTTGATTGTAACAGCTTGGGTGTGGCTATGGACTGCCAGGAATATGCGCCTGCCTCAAGGTACTTACCTCAGTTGACTGAAAATCACCTCAGAGACAAAAATGTAAACGGCTTGGTCAATTCGTTTTCCTTTCTACTAGTTGCCTGATAGTTGACTTGAAAACAATACAGGGTGCCTCCACAGTGCATTTTCAGGATCTAAATGCGGAGACATTGAGATGCACCACCATACCCAACGTTCTCGCAAACCTTGAACAGGCCCGGGACAGGCAGAGCCGCCAGGTTGAGCTTCCCCTGACCCCCTCGCGGCAAGTTCTTGCTCCTGAGGTTCGTTTCTATGCCGGCGAGTGGGAAGAGCTCCCCACTGTCCTATCGGTGGTTCAGACGGACGGATCAGAGGGCACGCAGGGGATGAGACTCAGTTTCTCTGAAGAGGACTACACGGATGTGTCTAGCAACCATGACGAGAGCGTCATCGGCCATGACTCTTCTCACCGGAGGTCGAGGAAGCTGTCAGGTAGTCGGGCTTGGGAGAGAGCAACAGATGCAGGCGCGGCAGATGGAGGATATGACGTCATTCTGATCACAGAGATCCCGTACTCGGCTAGCTCACTGAGACGGCTCTACGCACTCATAAAGAAGGTCAGTTGCCTATATATCTCCCCTATCTGTATCATCTAGTTGCACATTATTTGCTGTAGAAGCAGAAAAAAGGGTCAGCTCGCATGTGATAATAAATAAGCAGAAATTAAACACATTATATTTTTCTCATCTTCCAGGGAAAGCTAATTTGATTGTATTTTCCCTTTACGTTGCTCTCTTGTCATCGTTGCAGTGTCTGCGGCCACCTTATGGGATCCTGTACTTGGCGGCAAAGAAGAATTTTGTCGGATCAAACAGTGGGGTCCGACTGCTCAGGGCTCTTGTTGACGAGGAAGGCACTTTTGGTGCTCACGTAGTCACTGAGATGGCTGACAGAGAGGTCTGGAAGTTCTTCCTCAAGTGAGCGGCGTCCTAGAGGAATGATTGGTACTAACTAGTTCTCTCTCTCTCTCTCTCTCTCTCTCTCTCTCTCTCTCTCTCTCTCTCTCTCTCTCTCTCTCTCTCTCTCTGTGTATATGTATATATATACAGATAACTATCAAGAATGTATGTTTTTTATTTTTATTTTTTATTTTTTGTTTCAGAGAATACCATCTGGGTTGGTGGATGGATCATCCTCCTGAGACTATGTAATGTTGACATTTTGTAAATAAAAAATTACCCATGTTATTATTCTGTATGAATCAATAATTTTTGGCACTCCAGTAGATTGATTGTGAGATGTGCTTGATGCACCCTTTTTTTAATCTTTTTTTTATCTTTTTCAAATATGTTATTTCCTTTAATCTCTCGTGTTCTTCACTCTTAGTCCAACATAAACATTCCCAGAGGCTATAATTTCTTCTAAAGAGGACAAGATGACTGTTGGATTGGATTGGTGCGCCAGGATGTGGTCGGGTCCACCACAAATTGGGTCCACATAATCTGATCGAATTGAGCAGATCCCAGTCCAAATTGGTTGATCCTGATTTCCATGGGATGTATGGAGCAAAACACCAGCGAGCTTGGCATCGAAAATCAATCCCTTGTCAGCCCATTTTTCTTCGAAGTGTTCTCAAAAGTTACAACCAGTGGACAATCTCCTACAAATCAGATGTGGATTGGAGCCAACAGCCGTTGAGGGAGGGAAGAATTATGATCAGCGTTGATGATGTTATGATGCCCAGGCATCCCACTCAAAATCAATTGAAGTGAATAGAGAGGCATGTGTATAATAATACTGGTAATATTCTTTTTTTTTTCTTTTTTATTGTTTTCATCGCTTAAGTTGCGTGATTGAGAAAAAAATACTACAACTCTTGAATTGAAGCCCCCTCTAGGAAATTGATTGATTGACTACCCTCATTAGGTTAAAGACAGAAGACGACCCAATTGTTGAGTAAGATTGCACTGCTTCTGTGTCAACCTTAGGCATCACCGAGCTTGATTCTTCCCCACATGTCTCATTCAACTCATTCAAGAGTTCTTTATGAAGACTGTTGTTTCCCAAGATAAGAAAATTCTTTGGTCATATTTTCAAGGGTTGACTAATCTCCATCACAATTTAATGATTCATTGATTGTCGTGGAAGAACAAAAATGAGGCCCCAAATTCACAAGGCATGAGAATCTCCATTCTCTAATCTACAAAGAATGATTTCAATAACCCTTGGTTACAAAATGATTCGATGATACACTCATTCACAATACAAGTACATCAAAAAAGTTAAGATATATTTTCTTCTTAATTACTGCCTTCTAATTATTGTAATTAGATGAAAGATGCATTTATCTCATACTTGTAATTAGATGTTCTGCCATATTATTAGCTGCAATAGTTGTCCCTAGATGTTGTAGTCAAGGGGGTAAACTCAAAGAAAGTGTTGTAGGAAAATACTAAATAACTAAGGATGTAAATTAATTAGTAGACCAACAAACCACACAATTATACACAATTTCTACCAAGTATCATATTTACTACCTCAATTTCCGTAATTAGTGGAGCAAGAAATCACATAATTATCTCTTGAAATTTAACAAATCTACCAAGTATCATATTTACTACCTCAATTTTGGATATTCATTTAGGCTTGACTTTTATTTTTTATTTTGGAATAGTTTTATTTATTTTCTTAATTATGCATTTAGTGGGCCTATGTATCAAGTTGGGTTGATACAAATAGGTTTATGTAAGTAAATTGGTTTGGATCAAGATCATAGGTAGCAAGTAAAGATAAATATTTAGATTTATAGTGGTTTGGCTTTCCATAACCTATGCTCATTTACCAAGGGGTTCACATCCTTATTTTCCACTTTTTTCAATGAGAACATTGCAACTCAAATTCCTGCAATCAAAAAATTCCTTTGCATTATAAATTTTATAGAATTATTTCCCAATGCAAGACATAGATACCAACTTGTATTTTTCTCGTTATGAATAATCGTCAATATCATCACCTATAAATATTAGTGGATTTTTTTTAATGAGTTTTCTTGATTTTGTGAGCACTTAAATACTTGAGGAAGCTTGTGGCAAGGTGTCTTGAAGTAGAGAGTTGATAATAAAATTTAGTTAAATTATAAGAAAATGATGTCTTGTTTATGTATTGTTTAAAAGCTCTTGAATGAGTTTTTTAGAGTCTATAATCTTCATTTATGGAGTTCAAATTTCTAATATTTGATGTATCAAATATCATCTAGATCGAAACTTGGGTTAACTAGTTGGTTTTCGTAATTAGATTAACAATTTGACTTTTTTTTCAATCAAGTTACTCTATAGACAAGTTATTGCAAGACTTTTTGACTTTTCCTTCTATTTCAATATGTCATGATTGTTAGGTTCGAGACTGCACTTAGATCAAGAGGGGACAGGGGGTTGAATTGATTGATTTCTATTTTAAAACATAGAGAATCTTAGATATCTTTGTTCTAAACTTAGTTTCTAAATTCCTAAGATGAATATATTTTAGACTAAGAGATTTTTATAGTTGTTCAACCTCCTACTTACGTTTGTTCTCCAAGAATAATTCTCATTTCTTAGGTTTCACTAAAATTGAGAGTTCAACCCCAATTGTTGACTACTAAGTTCAACTCATGAGATTTCACCTCAAAATTTTCTTCTGAATTCACAAAACTAAGAGGCTAAAGTTGTTGAATGAAGTAGCTCTCATGAGATTAAATGAACATTTAATTACATAGTTATCCCCACTTAATGGATAAATTTTTTTGCTACCAATGGAGAATTGATTTTCATCTCAAATTGAGGTGATTAGATTTGCACAAACAGAAACCAGAAAATTCATACACAATCAATAGAGGTATACACTATGAATATAAAATGATTTCACCATGGGTTTATTTTCAAAAGATGACATTGTTCAAAATGTCCATAATTTTGATCAAGAGGACGACATTAATTGATTTTATTAAGTGATGATGGGAGATTATTCAGCTTCAAACAAGTTGAGATGGGTGTTTGAATTCATAAGTATTACTTCTCGATTTGATGCCTTCAAGCAACTTGACTTGTTAATACAATCTTCACAATTTCACATTTCAAATTTCTCTATAAAAACGTAATGCAAAGCAAGAGGTCATTAAAAAGATAAGGATGATTGCTCTCTTATATTTTAATTGTTGGAAATCTATAATAATTATTAGTAAATTTTGTATGAACTTCTTCCCCAATTTTTGTGATCCTCCCATGCCTATTTTCTCTAAAATAAGATTAACTTGAATGACGAAGAAACTAATATGACATATCCTTTAAATAATATAGATATCCTCAAGTGAAACTAATACTTGATTTTGTTAATACTTAACATTTATATACAAATTGTGTTAGTTCATATCTAATAAGAACTTGATATCATGAACTTCGAGTTAATAAAATGTCTCATTAAAATCATGACTTAATAATCAGAATTGATTCAAATTACCTCAAACAAAATATGATTCTTAGGAAAACATATTGAATGATGGTATTAATATTTTTAATCAGGATTTTGGTGATTTAGACAATTTACACAGTTTTCAATATATATTCAATAATATCTAAAAAATCATGTGTGATAGAAATGATTAATCTCAATTTACTTTATAATTTGATGTCAATGATTTAAATTAGAAATATATTTGAATGTATGACTATCAATGAATAATTAAAACTCCCATTGAATAAGGTAGTGTTACTATGTCTCTAACAACTACATTATATTTTATAACGAAAGTTGTTCATTCTTTATATCAGCACATTTCTTTTGATACAACACCTATTTCTTATTGATAAGATTAAAAATAATAGGGTGACTAAATAGAATTAAATTCGTGATAATCATACTGTAACAAGAGGGGAATCCATAGAAACTATGCACCAAGGGGACATTTATTTAGTGTTGAGAATTATTTGATAGCTAAAACCTTTTGTTGGGCTTAATACAATTTTGTCCATTCTGTAAAAAACATCCATGTTGATTATATCATTTTAACTGAGATTAAATATATTTTTATACATTGGTGATTATATCATTTCTTTTAGACTCTTTTTCTAACCACCCTCTTTTATAAGGATATGGGTTCCTCTCAACTTTGAACCTTAAATTTAGAACCATAGCTGAAGAAGTAATATCTTTACTACAACTATTATCAAAAATAATATCATATATTTCTCAATTTTGTGAACCATGCTTGACACAATCTTTGACAATATGTTTCTCCTTTGATGTGACCATAAGACTCCTAATGACTACTTAATGAGAATATTCTTTGATCATAACTTTCTATAAGTTCATCCACATAAAAATTCCTTGTACCTTCTAGTTCATCATTCTCTTCTTCTTATGTAGGTTTTGTCAAATTAACTGCCTCATTTTAGGGGAACAATTAGTTCCAATGAGAGGCTTCACCTACTCCAATGCCATGAACATATCATTTAGTTCATAAAATAGCTATAAGTTTACCTTTCCTTTAATATCCCCTATGATATCAGTTTTGAATTGAGCAATCATTTCAAAATACATTAAGAAGAAAAAATTACTAGAACTACAAAATTAATGCATTATCCATGCAATCTAGACCTGCTTGGTTAAACTTTAGACATGTGTATGTTGGGCCTTCCAACCTTCGGGTCAATGCTTTTATGTTACTAAACCACCTTGGTCATAAATTTTGGGAAATTTTCACTGCCTAAAATGGTCTTCTACATCAGTTAGACAAATAGTACTTTGATTAATGACATGGTGCATGAGTGAGTGAGTGAGTGAGTGAGTGAGAGAGAGAGAGAGAGAATGTCAGACAGAGTGTCTATGACTGTTTTTCGGCAAGCCATCTCAATTGCAACAATACCTTAAAAGAACTTTTAATCAAATGAACACCCTCTGAGGGGAAGGTATTAATGCATATACTTTTCTTTGTAAACTGAAGTCTTCCCCAAAAAAAAGGAAAATTTAAAAAGGATTTCTTGAATAAATTATCAAACTATCATCTGCTTGCAGGAGTTGGAAAAATACGATGAATGATGATTAAGGGCAGAAAGAACCTCCTTTCTCCTCCCATCAAATGGAAACATAGTAAGTCTCATCCTTTGTATTGACCCTTGTCAAAAAATAGAGGAAGATAATTTGAAAAGGTTGATGTTAAGATCAAAAAGTCATAGGGCCCACAGCAATGGCGGCAGCCAATCAGTGCTCCCTCAGCCTTCTCAAGCCCATCTGCCAGCAGTAATGCAATGTGAAAGCCACCACAATCCAAAGAAGAGGGAGACCAACGACGCAGCCCCCGTCAGAGAGGTTGACCAGAGTCTGCATTCAATGGGATTAGGATTTCGTCAAAGTCATTGCAAGATCACCCATTAATAAAGAGTTATGATGAGGGAAGGACCTTTGGGAGATCTAATTCTTTCTCCCTAGTTTTGAAGATATTCTAGCATGCTAGCCAAAGAGAATCCGATCTTTAAATACTCTTCACCAGTGAGCAATAAAATGCAGAGTCGAGACTTCCCACTGAGAGCCAGTGCACGCGAGAGAGAGAGAGAGAGAGAGAGAGAGAGAGACCACTACTGAAGGACTACAGTGTCAATGAGATATCTACCATGAGTGAGAGAAATCCCTGTGCCAAGGCCTCCTCAAAGCAGATAGCGCAGATTAGCATGCCAACCACATTGAGAGGCCCTCTTTGCACTATTCTATATAGGAAAATGCGTTCTAGAGGACTTTGAGGTCGTCGGGTGATGAGAGTCTAATGAAAGATCACAAATGACAGTATGTTATCCGCATTTTGTGCCTATACTCACCAGCATAGAGGCGACCAAGTGAACAGAAGGGACCAGCACCTGGTCCGTTTTCCTCCCTTCTGCATACCCGTTGAAAGCAATGACCATAGAAAAGGTATGGATCAACGCAAAGCAAAGGGAAATGAGGGCTGCAACAAGAACATCAATTCCATTAAGATCTGAAATATGTCCGCAACAATCTATAACAATGTGATGCTGATCTAGGAAGAACGAAACTACGCCATGTAAATAAATGAACAGATGAAGCCCCTTTCAATCACAGGAATTCGCAAATGAAAGCAGCGATGTACCACAATAAGGTGCCCTTCAACTTATGGTATCAACATCAGATCATAGTTACCACTTTCAGAAATATGACTACCAGAGTGCATTCGCCACAATTCGAAAGTGATGAGCAGAGCTTGAGTCTCTAACTTAGTTCATCCAGTTAATTGATAATAAATTAAGGTCGTGACACCATAATTATGTGTTCTGACCAGAAGCAAAGGCAAGCATAAGTTAGAAGGAAAAGTTAAAAATCTCAAATGCTGTGATGATTTTAAGCTTACTTGGTTGGCCATAGTGAAGTTTTGATTTGAAATGAACAGGAATTTTATTTCAGACTCTTTTTTCACTCATAATTATTAGAGAGTACGATGAGCCCGTGAAGACGGTCGAAACCTCACCTGAGACCAGGAAAAATGGCATATGTGAGCACCTGTCTGCATAATATGTTGCTGGACCAAATGCTGGGGTCAAGAGGCTGAGACAGAAAAAGACAGAATGCGCCACACCGTGCCCTAACCCACCAGCTGCAAGCCAAAAGGAAAATACAAGTGGCACTGATAAGTTCACCCTATACCAGGACCTCAGGATTCTCATCATTTCATCCATGGAAACAAGCAGCATTACGAGAGATATTCCTTTCTGAGATGTAAACGGTTAGAACTTGCCATTAAATCCATCATCAACAACGACGAGTCTAGCCAACTAGTTATTCTGACAGACAACTCTTAGCATAAAGAGGAAGTCTGACATAACTATGTGATTACAAAGAACAGGAAGGAGAGGAAATGAATCCACCTGGAATAAAATGGCTAAGGACAGCACATGCAGTGATCTGTACGCCAGGTTCGAAGAATTATATTTACTATTTGAGACAAACTCATAGGGACCGTAGATATTTGCCTAAGAATCAGTAGTAAGCACGCATTCACAAGACATCATATGCAATGGCACGGAGATGGACATGATCCTATTTCAATCCATCACTATTTTTAAGCTCAATCAGTCATCCGTCATCCTGATTTTGATTCCATACGGTGCATTTTCCTTTATTTTCTTTGATCTCCATGTGAACATTATTTCATGCATTAACATTAAACCTCCCAGAGGATTGAGAATCTAGGCCAAAAAAAGAAGATCTAACATTAAATCCCCAAAATTATGCCCTTAAGAATGCGGCTCTGGTTTTAAAACCTGTGAAAAATATGAGGGTACATCTTGAACATCAAGCCATATCTTTAAATAGGGCATTCGCGTAAATCACACATTCAGATTTACAAAGGTAAATTAAGTACCAGTTTATGGACCCATCTTCAGTATTTCACATTGCTATAATCGTGGATTTCCTTTGATGGCATCAAATGGCAAGTTGATCGAAATGAACAAATGAATAGACAAAAGAAAATGCATTTGATGGGAATATACCAACGAAATTCACATCAATAGAGGGACAAAAACCAATTTTCAGTGGCTCACCAAGGGCGATCTGCATCTTATCTGTCAAAAAAAGATGAGGTCTTGACATTCTATCCGCAAAAGCGTTCAACATATCTTCCAACCTCCTACAAAATAGTTGGCAAGATTAGAGACACGAAAGTGTATCCTGTGGAGTAGTTATGTCCACTGAGTTCAATATACGAAGGGATGGCAACCGTGATTATGAGTCGTAGGAGAGAGTGTGATATGGGCTCTCCGGTTTAAAGAGTGAGGGACGACAAATCGAAGGGAATGATGAACAAATATGATGAATAAAAAGAAGCAGAAAGGTCATTTTTAGGTAAACACCATACCTGTAAAGGCTCCAAAACAAGATTCGCATCCCTTCTTGCAGGGCCACAGACGTGAGTAAGAGAATTCCATACGGCCACCACGCAGTTGATCGCAGAGGCAGAAAAACTCTCCACGCTCCCGAAAGGACTATCAAACTCATCAGCCAAAATAATGTACTGCATCGATCAAGCATCCAGAAATCGTCAATATTTTCGTCCCGATCAGCGATCTAGATTTTTTTTTTTTGAAAGCGTAGAATAAATACAGCGGCTCCCAATGCCGACAATTCATCGCTGAGAATTTAGACGGCACGAGAGAAAGCCCTAGAAAGACAACAAGTACGGAATTCGCGAGGAGCAAGGTCTGAACCTGGAGAGCACGGTGAGGATTAAGAAGGGTTTCTTGGCGATCACAGCGACAAAGAGAGAGAGGGCGGGGCCGAGCGCCACGAGGGCGTACCCCAGACCCGCTGCCACGGTCATGCCGCTGCCCTGGCTCCCTGCGACCACCCCCTGCTCCGCACAAGCACAGACTCTTTCTGAATCCCAAGCCGCCTCAAAAGATGAAACCCCCCCCTCCCCCGGGCACCCTCTAAGAATTCCCCACCACGCAGAGCTGCCTGAGACTGCACCGCCTTCTCTGCGATGACCCGGCCTCGATGACGGCCTTCTACGGATCGGTCACACACTGCCCTCTTCCTCGGGCCTTTCTTACGACGACTAACAAAACGATCGTTGACTTTTATTCGAATAAGCACGATTTTAAATGAATTTATTATTCCCCCTTTTTTAGGAGAAAAATGGTCCCTAAATATCGGGATATTTATGTGCTCATAAAAAATTAACGTCTAAATAAATTAAAATATTGGGATAATTATGCCTAGTACATCCGTTCTTATATTGGACATGAAGAATAAAATAAATACCCTTGATTAATAATCATCCAAGACATGAATGAATCATATGCCCTTTCCACGCTGCTGCAAACAAGGAAACAAGAAGGTTAGCCTCGTCTATGATCACAAGTTCCTCACCTCATCAAACCTTCTTGGCTTCAGTGGTCTCGGGGTCGGACTAATCTTGCAATCCCAAATTTTATACATGAATCAGAGAGGCGGCAAGCACAGAGGTTCCTTGCGCAATAATTTCTTCTGCATATACAAATGTGGTAAAGAGAGAGTATGCATATGACCTACTACCTTAATCGAATGGAACTACTAACTAGCAGCTGCCAAAAAAAAAAGGAAGAAGAAGAAAAACAGAGCTGGTGGTTCTAGGGAAGGGGGGGGAGGATTACATCGTAGTAGATTTTTCTTCCTTTTTTGAGGAACCAAAATTTTTCATGAATTCTAAAGAATAAATCAGAAGTTGTCAGAGTCGTCGGCAAACTCTCTCAGATACCTCAACACTGACGATCTGGGATCTTCTTCCCCTGCTCCGTGGCTTCTGACAGAAAATACCCCTTTGAGAACACGAGCATACAGCTTCTCAAACTGAGGCACTCCGTAGTCCTTGATCTGCTCCAGCATGTGCTTCTTCAGAGAGTTAACCTGCTCAGAAATATCTGTTGTATCCTCCATTAAAACGTCCCGGAGAGCACTGGTCCTGGGAGGCGGTGAGGCTTCGGACGGTTTGGGGGCCTCAGCTGGCTGTGGATTCCCAGGTTTCTCAGGAGAACCCAAGTCCGGTTCCTCCCCTGCCTGGGAAGGACCAACAGGCTTTGACAAATCTATGGATCCTGCGGTCCCTGGTTCTTCTGAAAATTGGCCTGGATTAACTTACGAGTTATTAATTATAGTAAGAACAAACATATATGCATTATTTATTGAGCAAGAAGGTATTATATCTCCCTTCTTGCTCATGTATTCTTAAACATATAGCCAATGAGATGGGAGATATACCTTCTTGCTCATTCTCCGCACTTTTCTTTGCCCGCCTCAAAGCTTCATAACTCTGGGATAAGTTCAACTCTGGTTGAACATTACGCAACCTAGCACTCGTTCTAGTCACAGCAGCCAGTTGAACAACAGGTTCGGATGAAAGGCCAAAGCCCCCAACATCATCAGGCACGGGCACTGGACCACCTTGTTCTTCAATCTTGTCACAAAATGTGACCAATGCCGGATCCATTTGTGACAACATCCCTTGCACCTAAAAACCAAATATAGATTCCAAAGTTAACAGAAGATAGAAAGAAAATATAAAGCAAATCTCAATGAGGACAAAAGTGATGGGAACATTACTGCATCTCGAAGTTCATAGGCTCTGCTCACAATTCTCGCTCCATTGTAATCATCTCCGTTATATGCCTGCAATGTACGCAGTTAATCAACCTTCTTCTGAATTTAAATTTCGTCGGAGACAGATAGGACACCACTACATTCATTTCAAAGAAGTAACACAGAAATAGACATAGAAAAGCCTCGTCGTTTCTACGAGAAAGAGAGGCAGAGATTAAAGCCAAACAATATGTGCACTCCCCAAATGTGCCAAACTAAATTAGCACGCACGCCGGTGATCAAACGTCAAACAGGGAAACAGTTCCATTATAGAATATAAACATGAAGAAAATGGTGAAAAAAAAAAAAGCTTGATCCATTTCTCAAAATTCTTTCCTTTGTTTTTGAGAATAAAAAATGCGTAGTATGAACTAAGAGAGTAAATATTGGGTAATTCAAGTCCATGACCTAAACAACTTTTGCTTACTCGTACCAGAAGTTGTTCACGTATTGATAGTACCACTTTCTCTCGTGTTTATCATCACCATGTCTCTGTTGCTAGAAAAAAGTCAACTGACGGCATGCATAATTCTACTATGACCAATCTTGTACAATTATTATCATTCTTCAAACGACAGCATATAATTTTTTTCCTAGATGCCGACAGAAAAATTTCTTGACAAATATTTTAACGAATTCTTTACATAAGGATGTCAAGAATGGAAAGCCCATTCTCAGCAGAAGCATCGGTTTCTGCTGCAACTAAAACCAGGCATACAGATTCCACAGGACAGAGCAGGAGTACATGCAAGGACAAAGCACTTTTTGTTGGTTAAAGGGATACCTTGGCATTAGCAACAATGAGATCAACATCTTGAAGGAATGATGCACGACTAAGATACTGCCCACAGTCCACACGCTGCAAGATAGTAGCAATATCCATGGGTGTCTGAATGATTGAATGATAGTTAGGTGCATCCTCGTCTGTTACTGGATAGTGGAACACAGTAAACCGTTTATCATATAGCATCCTGAAAAACACAAAAATCGAACAACAATGTTTAGGAAAAAGAATCAGACAACCGTCCTTTTAGCTTTCACTTACCCTTTTATAGGGAAGCCAAAGCAAAGGATGAAACCTGGTCCCAAAAATTTACAGCATAGATTTTCCTTTGGGAATAAATGATATAACCAGATTCATTCATCAGTGTTCCACAAGCTATTTTTCATAAGGTACATACAAAGATTATGAAGTTAGTAAGGTCAGATGACTGTGTACACTGAGGACAAATACATTACCTGAAAAGATAGCTAACTTAGGTACAGTTGCGTCAGGATAAGTAGTTGATGGATAACGGAATGATTTCACTCTCTACTAGAATATTTGAATACATTCCCCAGAACCCAGCATATTTGGAATAGGCTTCAGCAATTTGGAGACAATATAATTTAGACCTATTTGTATAACTGCATCTTGGAACGAGTAAATACAGAGATTTTCTTTGTTACCTTTCCCACCCTATTTGAGTTTGTATTGAATTTTGACAATGAAATAGCTTGAAAAGTTTGGTTCAAAGGGAAACCTATATTACCGATTGCAAACATCCCGAAGACACATCCGCAGTCTGCGAAGTGCATGTTGCTCAGCTTCTGCCTTGGCCCTCAACTCTGATGCCTTTGGACCACTCACTTCCTTTGGGACCTTAGGAAGGTCTGGAAGAGAATTTGGCTCATTAGATTGGCTAGCTGAATCTTCTGGTGAAATAGAGAGTACGACTTCAATCAATTGCTCCACAAACTGACACCTGTCATCCATGTTTGGATTGTCCACTTGATACCTGGAAAAGAATTTCATTTTGTGGAACAAAACATTTACCACCATCCATGGCATTTAAAGTATGACTGCGTAATTGAATAAAAAGTACATTCTTAAGGAAATGAACCCTTATCTATGACAGATAAAAGTACACCCAAAGGTGAACTAGCCCTAATGCTCAATATTGTTCATTTTATAAAAACGATTAAAAACAATGAGCAAGCATTTTTTATTTTATGCATGAAAAAGAAATGCGAGTGAGGGATATACTCAACAAAGGTCCCTCAAATGTTCGTCCATCAGCATCCCAACAACATTACATCTTCTTTTTTAGAGTAGTTGATACAAAAGAATCAAAGTAGCCAATTAATTGGTTACTACCATACAGTGACAAGAAAAGTGTTCTACATGCATGTAATGTAGTCCATAACAGATTGTATGTATGCCTGATTGAATCCGAGCTCTCCTTTTTCCCTACAGACGATAGGCTACGACCATTCATCTCCTTCAAGGTTCTCAAAATAACAAAAGCACTGAGAATAAAGACAGGAAAACACACTCAAAATAACATTACATTACAGAAAACACCATAACCATACCAAACTCATCATCTTATCAAGCCACTCAAAGCACTGTTAGAGGAACAGTCAGGCTTCCTGAAGAACTCATTACTGCTAGATAGAATTTTCATAAAACAAAACTCTATTGACATCTCAATCCTATAGTTTTAGAATTTTCTCCTACTTCCCGGTCACATACTCCAGATAGCACTGCCAGAAGCAACTTCTTCAAGAAGCCATTCTTGAATAAGAGTCTGTACTCGCCCAAACATATGAGAGTTCCATCTACCATAGACCACCAAAGAACAATAGCTTTGCATAAACATTTCCAGGGCAGTACAATTATGCCCACTGACTCACATAAAGGTGGTTCACGGTATTCTTCTTCCTTCTTCAGACTTTACAGTGCGCTCTGATATTCATTTCAAAGTTGCTTATTCTCTTGCACATATGTAGACACTAGCAAGAATGTCTCCACACCAAAGCCTAATTTTGGCAGGAATTATCTTTTATCTACTCTATATTTTTCTTTATTCAGTAAGAAACTTTATCTTTATATCTTTCTAGAAAAGATATCTCAGTAAAGTTTCCATTTTAAGACCATCTTCACAATCATTTCACGCCAAAATCACCTAGAACGATCAGCCATGCAAAAAAAAAAATTGAGGTCAACAAACTCAGAAGTAACAGCATTCATGGGGCTACTTCTAAGTTAACTGCGTCAACTGATTCCAGAATCTCATTCATCGTTTGAATATATTTGCCTTTGCCAAAGGATACTGAGAAAACTTTGAAGGAACCTCTAACGGAAATGCTTTCTGAACACGGCAACACCTTCCAAGAATACGAAGAAGTTCCCTTATCCATCTGAAATATGTCAACATCAGCCTGAAATCTAGTTATCTGACAGCATTTGTCCAAACGTGGAAAACAGATGATAAAGTTTAGCCAAAATCATATTCTTAAAAATTTTCAGGCTTCAAAAACCTTGGTTCCCATTTCCATTATCTACCCTTCCCTTATCAAACCCTTTCTAAAAATGTATCCCATTAGCTCTTCAATCCTTCATAGGTTAGATAAAGCACCTTATTTAGATAACACAGAATCCAAGATTGTAAACGATAGTCCGGGATAAAATTAATTCCCCATAATGGTGAAACTCTGCTGCCCCTTTTATATATTTCCTCGTTGAACTTTGTTATGATTGTATTCTTTTCTTGAAATCTGACTCTGACATTCAGAATAAACGATCAAATATGAAGCTAGGAACTGACCAATTATTCGAACCAATAAACCATCAATCATGAACGTTAATTCCCAAAAACTAAAAATTCGCGGCTAAAGTCGTTTCTCATAATTTTCGAAGCAAGTAGTTTCAAAATCTTATCTTAGCAAAAAATTTAATTCTTACCCACCTCTTTCATCACCAGTTCCCTGGCTTTTGGTCTTCATTTCACTTCTGCCTTAACACTCTAATATCACCATTGCCATTATAAGATTATTTATTTTCAGAAAGTTTCAGAACATGCCAACAGATAAGCTAAACAAAAGAATTACTGGCAAATGAGAAATGCGAATCATCAAAATGTTTAGCAGCAGAATGAAGAAACAACCTATTATTCTATAGCCACTAGTGTCCGCCGTCAGGCCAATGAAGGAAAAAGAGGGTGAAAATGGGTAAGATTTTCCAATTGGATGAACCAAAAAGAAAGCTCAGTACAGTGGAGATAGCAAAGAAGCACTAGAGAATACAGCTTAGTCATCAACCGTCAGTGATGCCAGTTACTGACAGCTGCAAGCAGTGACTTCCCTTCAATTACACCAAGCTGTGTACACCCAATATTTCATGCCCATCAGCAGCCACTATTGTAATATAGCAAAGTGTGAGTTGCACATGTGGCCAAGAAAGATACTACAGAGAGAATCATGTACACAAGTGCGTTTTATCCTGTTGTTCCAAGACAACAGGTACATTGACGAGAATTTGAATGTGGGTACATGGTAAAATGGATGAACAGGAGGAAGGACGGGCAGAGGAAACGGAGCATGAAAAAGAACATAGGAGAAAACCAAGGGAACAAGAAAAGAATTCCACATCCGATGTGAGAAAAGGTATAATAAATCTGGCAGCAGCCGTAGTGGAGACAGGTTGTCTGAAGAAGAAAATAATGGAAGAACCAACACTCACAATGTTTTCCAGCAGCTACTGATGCTTTGCCGTTCTCTACTTGGTACATTCACTCCTTCCACCCTCTAAAGGAAACAACAAAAAACCTCCGACTTCCAGTTTCTTCCATTTGCATTTCTATCATGATGTAAATCATAATAACCACAAGCATGTTTCATACGAGCACACGACGAAAATCAAATCATGATGTTTATTACAAGCTCATCACACGTGATCAAAATAGGAAACAAATAACTCCGGAAAATGCAATAATCCCAAAACAGCAAAAGGAGACCACCAACAAAAGAATAACTAAGGTACATTAGCTACGTTTGATTAATACTGATAGAGAATAATGAATCTACAGAGCTTCATGGATTTATGTCAAGATGAAGAAACATGTTGGGTAAACATACACATTATGTTGACCAAAAACTGAAGCAGAATCCTCATCTAGTTCGCCAAATGGAACTGCACATGTTCCAAGCAGCAAAATGGTAGAGTTGGATGGTAGTTCTTCCAGAAGGGTCAACAAGACAGCCTTGAGCTGGTCATGAGCCTGAAACATAGTGGAAAACCGAAAGAATATTATACTTTAACAAATATATAGTACATGGAAAAGATGTGCATAGCTAAACTGTACTCACAGTATCCCACCACAACTGGTATTGAGGTAAGAAAAGTATTGAAGGAGTAGTTCTCCTTGCTTCACCAAATATATGAACCAAAGCCTCCTCTGGGGTCTTTGCACTTGGATCAGATAGAAGAGATGGAAGCCCAAGAGAGTGAACAGGAAATTTTTCCAATTCGTGCAAGACAGCAGGCCCAACATGGTCCTGTTACACTAAAACAGTAAGTAACTTTTAGCCGTGATTCACTTAATACCTTATCAAACTTTGCATGTTCACAATAATTACCAGGCCAACACTCTCGTCACCACATATCAGGAGTCGAGGCCGATATACCAGAGGGACAGAAGAGCAATAAGAAAACATATGCAACTTGTTAAGATCCAAACCCGAAGCAGAAAGAAATGTTTCAGACAGACGTCCCATAATTTTTTCCAGATGTCTCCGTAAGCAAGGAGCAACAACAGGAGATAGGGGTCTTGAGTGCACGGCGGATCCTCTATGAGCAGCTGGAGTAATGGTAGACATGGCCTCCAAAAAATGATATTTTTCCACCTTAATGGAATCAACATCTATCAAAAATTTGTCATCACTCGTGTACACTTGTGGATACTTTTCACGGAAAGCTCTTATTGCAGCTTCTGTACATAAAGCTTTGAGATCAGCTCCACAGTATCCCACACAGCTAGCTGCAAGCTCCATCTTCAGCTCTTTTGTAGGAGGCTCCCTCCATTTTCTCGTGTGGATTTCTAATATCTCAGCACGTGCTTCACAACCAGGTAAGGGGAAATTAAATTCACGATCAAACCGACCAGGTCGCCTCAAGGCTCCATCGATAGCATCAATCCTATTGGTTGCCCCAATCAAAACAACCTGTCCCCTGGAATCAAGGCCATCCATCAGGGCAAGCAAGGTGGACACTATGGAATTGTGAATCTGCTCTTGTTTACTAGATCTAACAGGAGCAAGACCATCGATCTCATCAAAAAATATTATGGAAGGCTGATTTCTCTGAGCTTCTTCAAACAGCAATTTAAGTTGTCTTTCAGCTTCACCAACCCATTTGCTAAGAACATCAGCTCCCTTGCGCATATAAAAACTGACCTTTTGACCAGCTTTTGAAGCAGCACAAGCCAATGCTCTAGCTATTAATGTCTTACCAGTCCCAGGGGGACCACACAATAATACACCCCTAGGAGGGGTAATGTGATAATTTGCAAAGAAATCTGGATAAAGCAAGGGGAAAAATACCATCTCTTTTAAAGCATTGATGTACTCTGACAACCCCCCAATATCGTCAAAAGTAACATTCTCATCTACCTGCAAGGGCTGAATATCTGCTCCTCCTTTTGAACTCGGTCCAGCAGTTTGAACTCCCATACTCAATGATGAATAGCCATCACCTTGATGACCCCATCCAGATGCTGCGGTATTCAAACCAAAGGATGTCGTACCATGCATATCCAATCCTCCAAAAAGCCATGGTGCTCCATTTCTATTTCCTCGCACCCACGGGATAGCAGGACCTTGTTCAAGCTCATCAACAAGGAGAGAATCATCAGAATCTTCAGCTTGTGTGATTCGGTGCTTCTTGAGACCTCGACCACCCTTTCTCATATCCCTATTACTTTTAGAACCCATTCCCTGATGAAGGACTCTACGAGGGGATCGTGGTCTCTGTCTTCCATCATTTTCTGATGAAAATCTGCGAACCTCTGCACGATTCCGTAGGTCATATCGCCGCCTTCCTTCCTGTTCTTCTTCACCATCTTCACCATCTTCATCATCCCCATCTTCCACTTCGTCCCCATCTTCACCTTCTGCCTCATCACCACCATCCCCCTCAATGTCATTTCCGTTCTCAGAATCATCTTGCCCAACCTGCTCTTCTGAAGAATCATGGTCATCTTCCGATTCCTGAAACGGTTGTACCCTTGCTCCTCCAGATGATCTTCGAGGACGTAATCCTTCACGGCGTGGACGAGAATTAGCATTTGGGGTCTTTCTACTCCTTGGGGATGAGAACTCATCTTGGCTCACACTGTTATCAATTTTGTTCTTTGAAGAACGGTAACTTGGCCTCTGCACAAAAAAAAAGTGGTACCACTAATTTTTTGAAATTTACACAACATCTACAACGTTTTCCACATTTCAAGCTCCTGAAATTTCAAGCCAAAAACTAACCTCCAAAAACATTCCATACATGGGAGAGTACAAAATCTCACCATTAAGTCATCATCCTCAGAACCAGAACTGTCTGTCTCATAGTCTTCTAGGTTGATAGAAATTTTCCTCTTCCTGGTAGAACGGCGAAGGTTTGTTTCTGCGGGCTATAATATGATAAAAGAACCAAGTCAGTAGATTTATGACGACGAAGTTAAACTGAATAGAAATAAAAGACGTCAGAACTATCTCAAACTGATAATATCTTAGTCTAATGCTTTAAAAGATGCTAGAAAACTTTTTCGAGCAATTCTCATTTTGTAAACAGAAGCAGTCATCTTGCTCAACAAGGTAACGAGTTAAGGTCTGCTGAAGCTAGCCACTTTTACCTCCCCTTCTCACCTAATCAGCTCAGGCATCTAATTGATTGTACACAAACTATGGAACTAACATTAAGTTTTGAAATTCAGCTCTTTTATCTGTTTTGGATAATTTGCAGACTTCTTCGTGAAAAATAACCTTAGGTTATAACGACAATTAGAACAGGCATACTAAAAATTAAGTAGACAACCAAAAAATCCATCATTGGAATATAAGTTTGAAAAGGTCCAAATCAGGCACAAAATGAACTCTTATCTGACTCGAGATCATCCAAGTCGATAGATCAAGATCTTTGATGTCTTAGCCCCAAGTTTCATTTAGAATGAAGCTTAAAACCCTTTGACCGTTTTTAACCTGTTGGGAGCCCACTTTTCCTGAAAAGTTCTAACTCAGTGAGAGGTAGCGTATTTGCCATTATGCCAATCGGCTTCATGAATTTCTCATCAAACCACTTCTTTTTTGGTTGATAGGCGAGAATTTGGCAGCAGTATGTCCCAGCATTTTCCAGAATCCCAGACAGATTGATCTAACCTCCACTAGCCACTTTACACCCGACCAAAAACGATCTTACAATAAAACTCAAATGTCCAGTGACTCCTGTGTGAAAACGCCTTCATAGTTATATCGCAAATATTTTGGATAAACCACTGGGCATACAAGCTACCATTTTACAGATTTGAACACGGTCATCCCATTCAATCTGATTAGGATGCCCCTAGTTTGGCATACCCATTGGGATGAGTCATGAAGCTAAGACTTAGGGGTGAATTCAATTAGACAATTGTCCCTAGGTAACTCGGAAAAATAGCCCCTGTAACTTCAGGAGAAGGGAGCCACAGTGAACAGGCCCTAGCGACGGTTTACCCAAAACACAGGTCTCAGCAAAGTCGGAAGATAATGTATGGAGGCTGACATCAGCCCGGTGCTGGAAGGTCAAGGAAGGTCAACCAAAACCTTTGAACGGTGGCCATAATTATAACGGTCCTAAGGTAGCAAAATTCCTCGCCAAGTACTGACATGCATGAAAGGTGTAACAGATATTTCACAAATGAAAGACTTCAACTTCTATGCTTGACTTATACAACTCAATTTGATCATAGGCACTGATCCATTTCCTAAATATCATTTATGGTTCCACTGCATCTGATTTTCTCGAGCAAGGGTTTATAGAAAAGCTTTTAATGCAAGCAAGCAGTATATAAATGTCTATCTGCAGGTTAATAAGTTTGGCACTACGCATTAGTCACAAAAGTAAGCGATAATTTTCAATTTAATCATAACTTATATATGTTATTACAGTGACAAATAGAAAGCATTTGAACAAGTGAAAACAAGAAGAATTGAGTAAATCCTTCCGAATAATAACATCACACACGTAAATATCTACATTAGGCAATCTCCAAAAGTGAAATCCAGGCACGAATATAAAAAAACTAAAGAAGCCGTTCTTTCCCAACAAAAAAGGAAAGGGCTGTATCACATCAAGATGTCGATTCGTTTTCCGCCCCAAATGAGATGGGGAATTAGTTACCTCTGTACCTTTATCTTTCTGAATCGAGGCCCGGCCCTATTAATTACAGCTTATTTCAAGCGTCATCCATCACAAAGAAAGATTATTGATTAACGTTTGGTGTTTGCAGCCGATAACATAGATAGCAAACAGCATTGGCATCTGCAAACTGCCTCACAAATCAATGAACTTCGTGGACCATTGGATCCCATGATATCATATTATCTAATGTAAGCCATTTGATTGTAATGGTAAACTTAATGATAATTTCTCATTTAACATTCATGACCGTGCATAGCAAACAAATGAACAAATGCAAGGTGCCACTTATTTTCACAACTAACATTACACATTGTGAACTCAATTAAACATGTAGGAGAACTGCGTTTTAACTTAATGTAATATGATAAGCGTTCGGTCAAACATTCAGTGGAAATGGCCACCAAGGTGATTGGATTTCCCTCCACACTGCAACCAAAATCCTAATACACCACTCACAGTGGCAGTCCAGGTGGCCAAAGATAAGTTCCTGATTAATGTACTTGTCTAGATGCCTTGGGTATCTGGGCTGCCCTCTTACCAAGATGTCTTGAAAATCAGGACTAACAAGACTTAAGTTTCTCCTAATGCACCACGCACCTGGTACCTCATCTTGAATTAGTGATTTTCATTCTAAATAATCTGACATCTACCAATCTCATTCTCTACTGGTTTTGCATCACAAACATACAAATCTTCTGCTGCCTACCACAGCCTACTGTTTTGGTTACCTGGATACACAATACATCCAGCATCATTCTGATAGCATGATCCTCCACTGCTCTAGCATTGCCTTCCCAATTTACCCCCTCATTGTCCTTTACTGTCCATTTCGTTTCATGGAACCCATCACTGTCTTCATCTCTAAATCATTTACTTGGGTCACCAGGTATCAGGTATGAGAACATGATGCATCTAGTGTTTTCTCCAGCATATCTTGAACCCATTCTCTTAGTAAAGCCTCCACAGACCTCTTTGCCTCGAAAGGAGATCCCAATTAGTTCCATGAACTAGAAAATCCTCTCAACCTGATTATTTTCATCAGAATGATTTTTACCTAATTTTCTGATGAGGAGTTAAGGGAGGGGTTTTTTTTATGATATTGATCAATTTTGAAAAGTAAATTTTCCTTTCTCTCGTTTATGATACCGTACAAGCTGAATACATGATACCAGGATCGTTAATTGTTTTTCACTTCAATTTTTATGTTCTACAGCTTACCAATTTTAATAAAAAAAACCCAACTGTCTGCTGGTTGAAGAATGGTCTCGCTTCCCCCGCGTAGGATACATCTACCTCGGTCCCATCCACAACCACGATTGCCAATATCCTGTCAGCTTTAAAATTTAGCCGAAATGTGGGTGACAGTGTCTACGGGCCAAGTTAAGCGAATGTACCAAATAACTATGTGTTTCTCCTAGAACTCTTGATAGTTTCAGCCTCAACCAGACATGCTCTTAATAATTTCCTGCGTCATATCAACTTTCATTGATTCATGTATACAAGTGAGATCCAATATATATCACAGCGAAAAGTGATTAAAATCTGGCTATCTTCTTTCAACTCAATCGACTAATTCTCTGTTCAAGGTCTGATCACTATAGTTTGAACCTGAAATTTCTTTTGAATTTTTTTCCAAGTGGGAGTATGCAACACCCATTCAGCCTCATTTTGATGATTCCACAAAACAATTTACGGATCAAAAATAACAACCAGCACAACTGACTGGCATTTGAGGATTTTAACAGAATAAATATGGTTGATCCATAAGCTTGTCACGATAACATAAATGATCATGAAGCGTGCCATGGGAACTGACATAAGGCATCTACAAGACAATCAAAAACACATGAAAGATGACATTATAAAACCGCATTTGATGTCGTAGGACACGTACACTGGAAGCAGGAGGCTGGTTCCTGGTGCGTAAAAGCTTGGCTATCCGAGTTGCGACCGCCCTCCGCTTAGGCTTATTCTTCTTTTGTGGCTTTGGGGCGTAGTAAAGGTATGCATGGCCAAACCGCTTTCGCCGCTGCCGGATACGGTCGCTCGTTCTTATTGGCCTTACTGCGGACCCACCTCCTTTTGAATCCATGTTTTCCTTCCTCCTGCACTGCAATCCTTCCACTATACACGAATAGTTCAATAATCAGCAAAGAAACGAAGTTCTAAGCACGGTAACAAAATTTCAGAAACCGTATTTCCCTCACGATATGAACAGAAAGTAATCGTAACATTTCTACACATAGAAATCAGGAAAAGAGTAAAGAAAAGAATGCATTGCACTATGTTTGGAAACCATAGATAAACCCTAATTTGCTTCCGAACGTAGAGTCGCAACTCTAAGGGAATCCAATGGCACAAGTCCTTGCATCCAATTCACCCCAGTAAAACACGACATTCTCGGGCATTCGTGATCTGAGACTATAACGCAGAGATGTTGTAGCTAAAAAAAAATATATACACAATTCAAAAGGATACAAGAAGAGGAGCTCGAAGACCTAACCTCAGACGGACACCATGAGAGAGAGGAAATGGCCGTCTGAGAACACCTACAGAGGACAGCGAGAGAGGGAGTGGGAAGGAGGTAGAACGGGAAGCCGGAAAAGAGGAAACTGAAGACGGGGGAAGTGCTTCTGCGAAAAAACGACGGGGGCACCAAGGGTTCTAAACCTGCCCCCCGAGCATGTATGCACATTCTCACGTGTTTCGGTACGAGCGCACGTGCTTCCATCAGGGACGCGCACGCTGCGCCTGTGACATCCAGTAGGCAATCTCAGCCGTAGGATCAAAAAGCCTCCGAACAAGCCGGCATGATTCCCTAGATCTGGGCCGTTCCACGAGGCCCAATAGAGGAGATGTACAATGATATTTATAAACGCTTTTTCACGTGGCAACAAATAGTTTTGTTACAGAGGCTCCAAAATCTCAATCTAACACGTTATTTTTCAATTTCCAGTGAAAATAACGTAAAGTGTTATATATGGATATAACAAAGTAAGATATTAATTAGATCTTTGCAATAACAAGTGTGGTTTGATTAATCACACGAGCTTGGCTCTATCTTGTTGACTTCGAGTCAATAATTTTTGCACATTCACATAACAATGTTGAAAAATTAAAACAGTGATTTGACCATCATTATGACAGCATTATCCTAGTAATATTTCTATTTTGATATTTTCAGAGTTTCCATTTCTAGTATGTAATGGGAATTCAGAGTCAAATGAGAGTCACACTATCATTTGATGCAGTTCTAGAATTGGAGTGGACTAGAAAAGTCAACTCATCCCACAAAAGTAGTAGTTATTGTAAGACAAAAAAGAATTATAAGATGGAGTTATCATGTTGGCATGCAGCTACTCCAAAAATTAGCAAATAATAGATTTCTGTGTCTATTTAAGACTTTAGAAGAAGATGAATACTTGCCCATATAAACCTATTTAGAGTGAGATTGTAGATAAATATAATATGAACTTAGAACAACTAGCTAGCACCAAATGTTAACTTATTGGCTAACTAGAGTCACAAATCTAGTATTTTCATTACACACAATTGACTACTTTATCACTGTTGAGACATCTTTTTGAGATTAAACATTGTGTAAATATTGATCGTAGTTTATTTTTGATAATTTTAAGAACTTTTAATCATAGTGCCTTACATAATAGCTTTTCATTTCCAAGAATCTTGAACTTGAGAATGTCGATCCCCTTGTTTTAACATTTTTTACCTGACAATAGAATCTAAAAATTTATCTAAAGAGAGTAAGTATTGTATTTAGAAAATTATTGATTTTAACTTTAAATAGTTAAAAAAAAAAGATGAGGAAAAATCATGGTCATAGTAACCATAAATTAGATGAGTCTACAAGCATCAATGTTATACATATAAGTTTGTAGTTCACATGTTGATCATACTAGTTGCTGTAACCAAATCATCAGCTACCTTGTACAATACCATGATGAATTTGACTAAATTAGTTTAGATTGTCATCTCCTATGCCATAAATGGGAAGATTATGCTAAAACTTATATTGAAAATCTATCCAAAGTAGAAAAATGATAAATGTTCATCAACACTAACCTATTTGGGTTAAAATTCATTGTCTTTACAAGCCCATTATGTTTTGATGATGACCACAACATATGGAAGAATACATAGATAAAGTTTTTTAATAGTAGAATCAAGTGTTCCAATGATCTTAATGATTGTTATTGAGGAAAGCCTCGAATTTAGGAAAATCTAGGTGAAGGGTAAAATAATCATTTTATATTACAAGCTAAATTGAATATTATCTTAACCTTTAAAAATGTCCAAGATGATTTCATGTGCTCTAAACAAGATTTATCTAATTTATTGAGTACTTTAGTACAGTATTATGCACCATATTCTCTATGTCCTGATTTATTGAGTACTTCAGTACAACAAGTGTGTTGACACATGAGGAGAGAGAAGAAAACTATTAGGCATGATGCAAAACAACAAAAATGAGGGCCACCATTGGGCATGTTGTCTTTACAAAAAGATCAATTTTAGACCATTTTAGACCATTTTAGACCATTAAACAGACACTGGAAACATAAATCTTCAACATAAAACTAAGAAATATATAAGGAGCATTCTACTCAGTGAGAAAAGAAAAGGATCAATATATCGATAAATAAATATTATAATAACCAATTGACCCTCTAATCCTAGCATGGCATCTAACTTATATGAGACCAAATACTTTTCAAATTAAGAAATATAAGGTTCTTAAATTTATCAAATAAAAGTTTTGTCATATAGTGATAATTGGCTTGACTCTTGATTTATTTTTGCTTGTGGTCCATGCTCGTATGTCGTGATTGTTAACTATGATAACATGAAATACAGTAAACCCCTTAGCTTGCAATTAATTAGTATTCTATTTGATAGTATGTTGTTTATGGTCATCAGTGTATGCAACTCTTAGATTATAATGACGGATCCTTGGAAGGTTACCATTAACTGGCATTAATCATAATGAACATTAATAATAAAAATAAAAATAAATTAGTCATCAGAACTGCAAAAAAGTCAAAAACCAAAAATGAGCTAAAAAGCGAACAAGTGGTGGAAGTGCAATGAGAAATGTCAATACACTTGATAAAAGATGTTGACATCTCTCCACATCTTGATCGATAGCGACACACACATATCAAACAAGTTCAACAATGCTCATTATTTTTTACTATATATAGTGCCCTATATCATGGAGAGGTTAATTTTTTTTCCTTTTATGGCAACCTAGGGTAACTCTCCCTCTACAAGAACCTCAATCAAGAACAATCAAGCACAATTTTATTTCATGTTGTACACCAAACAATCAAGCACAATCAACCTAGGGTAATTTTTTTTCTGATATCACACCCAAAAAGCTTTTAAGTCAATCACCCTCCTCTTCTACAAAGCCCATCAAGTTCATACACTGACTTTCGTGGGGCGAACCACCTCGGTCAACACAAACTTCCAGTAGAGAGAGGGGAGGCGAGGGGCGGGGGGGAGAAGGAAGTGGGCTTAGAAGGAGTAGTCGGTCTTGAAGAGCCTCCGAACGCCGGCGGACTTTGTCTCCTCGAGGCCCTTCGCCGGCGGCGAGGGTTCCCCTCCGCCGGTCGCGAGGTCATCCTCCCCGGCGGCGCCCTCGAAGGCTGGGTGGGTGAGGATGGTGCCAAGGAGCTGCGTCCCCCTGAGGGCGTTGGTGAGGGGGAGGTGGCCCTCCGGCGCGTCGTCATAGGGCCCCCATATGAACTCCTCCGGGAAGCTGCGGTAGTTGTACTGCTCCACATCGGTGTCCAGCTTCTTCATCCACCCGACCTTCACGAAGAACCGGGTGAAGTCCCTCCTCGTCTTCTCCCAAACCCGCCGCTGCACGCTGTACCCGTATTTCCCGCCGCTGTGCTCCCCCCAGAGGCGGTCGATGGCCTGCAGGTCCTCGGCGGAGATGAATTGGACCTCGGAGAAGAAGACGTAGCCCCTCTTCTGCGCGGGCTCGCCGGCGAGCACGATGAGCAGGCGGCGCGTGACGTCGTCAGCCTGGCGGAAGTCCCCCGCCGCGAGGTGCTGAGCGAGGAGCTCCAGCGACGGCGGCCCCGAAGTGGAGGGCGTCGCCGCCGACGGCGTGGTCACCGAGGCGGCGGCGGCGGAGGAAGACGAGGAGGAGGAAATCCCGGAGAAGACCTTCTTCTGCCTCAGCAAGGAGGGAGAGGACGAGGAGGAGGGAAAGGTGAAGGAGAAGTGGCGGTGGCGGTTATGCCTCTGGTGCGGCAGGCGCAGGGACTGGAGAGACGCCGCCGCCATTGGAGGAGCAGGAGGCGCGAGGCGGAGCTGCCGGAAAGGGCTGAGGACGACTCTCTCTCTCTCTCTCTCTCTCTCTCTCTCTCTCGCTCTCTAGAGTGAGGTAATAGGTGCTTGTGGAGGAGGGAAGGGGGTTGATCCTCCCCCACTGGGAATGGAGAGCTCTGATTGGCGGATTTCCGCTGGGGCTGGATATCTTCGCATCGTCGGATTATCTCGTCGTTTGCTCCGCCATGAGGCGAGGCGAGAGAAAACAGCAAAGGGAGGACCTCCACGTTGGGCCCCACACCTTCGATCCGACGGCTGTAATACGGACGGCTGTAATATCGATGGCTGTAATTTTTTTGAGGCTTTTTATGCAATTTCCGTGTCCCACCTTCTGGTTTAAATTCCAGGAGTTCGATAGAAAATAATCCATTTCATTTTTTCCAAAAAGGGAATTGATAATTAATGTTTTGAAAAAAACCCAATTTAAGATATTATATATGCAATTAGTGTAATATCGGGATAGAAATGACTTGGGAACATCTAATTAAATGCGTATTTATATTAAATCGGCTAAATAATCTAATGACCGCACTGGTAAAAGGTCATAATCTATTGTCTATTTTTATAATGATATTTTTTGTTGAAATAATATGAATCGAATTATTTCAGGTCATAAAATATTTATTACGAAAATTTAATGTCAAATAAAATTAAATTCATTGAAAACTATTTATCATTCGCAATAGGTTTCAAAACCTTGCCTCATGAGAGCCGCATGTAGAGAGAGAGAGAGAGAGAGTACTATCGACCGTACCTCTAGTATGGGTTTAGTACTGTACGTAAAAAGGACCAGACCCGATCCGTGTCAGTGGAGATGGATGTTCTGTTGCTCACTTGTGTTCTCTGATGGGCTCCACGAGACGGGAGGCCAGGGGCGGAACCGGGCTGTGTCAAGTGGAGAAGGCCCGAGCTGGCGCCGTGTGACGATCCTCTGTCTGATCCTTCTTCCCGCGTGTTCTTGAACCGTCAAAGGCGACGCACATCTGGCGGCTGCGCGTGTTTGTCTCGACGGATGACAAATTCCTTCCCCGATGATCGATGAGGGAACTGAGAATGATAGACGCGTGCTTCTGAGGAGAACGGCAAATTACCCTACGATCAGACGTTGATGGTTCGTCTGGAGTCGCCCGCTTTGACCCATAGTGCTCCTCTCTTGATCTCAGGGTTCTGTCCATTGTCGTTTGTTCTTCTTGATTCGGATGCTGGAGGCGCCGGCATGATCCGTTGGATAAGCGGAGAGGACTGGGCGGCGTAGTCATGGGCAAGAAGAAGCGGAGCGGGGGTGGCCGCAGGGGAAAGGGGAGGGTCATCGGTAAGGACAGGTCCTCTCACGCCGAGGACGGCCAGGATCTCCTCTCCGAGGAGCTCACTGCTTTGTAAATTCTCCACTGTGTGAATGTCACTTAGATAATCTCACCTTGGCAAGGCCGGGTACTTTACTCACTGTGCTCTGCTTTCTACGCTGTTTTCAGATCTGCGATATTTCAGGAGGACTTCAGGATTGTCTCTGAGTCGCCCCATGTACATTTCATCATAAATCTGAGGTACTCTGCGCTTGTTTCGCCTTCTGTCATTCATCTATCTCTTCATAGGTTCTGACATCTTTCGTTTTATTCTGAATTTTTTGATAGGCCTCACTTGAATGACATGGGCGATGATGATTCGGGTGTCTCTGCAATGCTTTCAGTGAGGTTGTTATCATTGGTTTTGTTCCTCTTTTCCTTCTTGGTTCGACATCACATTTGCTCCCTCACCGCGGGATGTTTTTGCGTTTCTTGTCACTTCCAGGTGCTTACCGGGATATCCTTACAAGTGTCCAAAACTACAGATTTTACCAGAGAAAGGTCTGACAAAGGATGAAGTTGGTCGTCTTTTGTCTCTCCTTATTGATCAGGTTAAACTCTACTTTGAACGTAAAATCTGTGTATGATTCAAATTCTCTCGTGATACGTTCCCAAAAAAAATCTGATTCTGGCCGTACCTTGCTAGAACTAATGAAGACATCTTGGCTTAATCACCGAATGAAAGAAATTGAGCACAATTTTTATGAAGACATATCCCTTATGTTTCTGGAAAAGAGGACGTGAGGGAATGTGTGGAAGTGGTTTTTATACTGAAGTACATAGCTGCTTATGCTGAAGGCTGAGGTCATAATGTCATCATGTGTAACCAGCTCTTTCTGTTTGTTAAATAATGTTATGCAAATTTGAACTGGTTAAAATTCAAGGATTCACTTTTATCTCACAAGAAGATTGATGATTTGAGAATAAAATAAATGAAAAAACTCGTGGATCTGATGCTGAATTCATTTTGAACGCTTTACTTTGAACTAAATCAATTGATATTCACTTTCTTGACGGAGGTCATCATTGTTCATCTATTTAACCAGAATTAAGATCCTCGTTATTCTTCCCCTAATTGGGTGCCATCTCCTTTGTGGGAGTTTCCCTTTCATTTGATTCAATTTCTGTACAATTTTTTTTTACATTCTCCAGGGATACCTCTCTTGGAAAGTGATATGATATAGTCACTGTTATAGTCGCTCTTGGTCCTTGTTGATGAGTTGCCTACAATTTAGATGTCTAGAAAATTAATTTTGCATTGCAATCTAAAAAAAGAGTTGGAAATAAATAGCATCGGAATGGACTATATCTGATACGAAAGATTCAGAAGACCACCGCCCTATCCATTCGAAAGCAGACACTACTTTTCAATCCTGTTTGTCCCGTCTCTTTTTGTGTCAATAAAAACCTAGGATAATGCCTTACAGGTCCCATTTGTGATGTATACTTGCAGAAAAAGTTTTGGATTAATCTAAAAACCCTGTATTGCTGAACCTAATTCCTCAAATTCTTTGAAACCGTGCCTTTTAGTTGCAGATGAAAGTAGTGCATGCTGTGGATCATATAACCTTGATTATGGAACTTATTTATAGTCTTCGATCATTGAAGAACCTTGAAAATGGAGGGTGAGCTAAAGATTTGGCACAGGATAAAAATGCAGGCATGACCAAGAAATGATTGAGGAATTAATACCGAATTCCTTCCTTTACGTGCCAAATTTTGAACCGTTTTGAATATCTTAAACGAGGGAAAAGCAGGAGGTGCTACTTAGGTATATTGAACATTAACTGCAAATCAGCAGCAGGAGTAGCTAGTTGCATTTGCCTCTTTTGGGATCAGTGATGCCTATTCCTCATCCTACTTGTTACTCTTTTTCCTCCTGTTGCAATGGTAGACTGTCACTGGCGTTGGTTATAAAGAGAGAAGATAGCTATTGGACCCTGGATAAATAAATTATACTCATGGTCCTTAAAATCACGAAGTTACACCAAGCTGTAGAAATCTCGAAAATTAGAAAATACTTATTTTGAGCAGTGTTTTCCCAATTGTTTTATTTTAAATTCTTATCTGGAACTAATTCTGGAGTAGGTTGGCTTGTTCTTATCCACATGGAGTGAATAAGTCTGCAAGTCCTCTTCTGATCTCTCTGGCCGTCATGTGTGCGAATTAGGAAGTGACAACACTTTTATATCAGGAAATACTTATAGTGACATGAGAATAAATGTATTTTCATGGTGTCGAAATGATGTGATTGTAGTTTAAAATGAGTGGTTGGTTGTAGCCAATTCAGGCCTACTTGATTTCCCAAAAATATGTTCAACCCCAAGGAATCATCGCAATGAATTCGTTTGAATCTTGCCGGACCCGATTGATATAAAGACAGTGGTGAATTAGCTACGAAAAACCTGAAGTTATGAACCAATATCCTAGAGAACATGGTGTTTCGAATGATGATGTTGTGCTGTAAAATTGGTCAATTCCCTTTCAGTTATCTGATGCTGTCAATTCAAGTAAAGATGCTAGCATGGAATAACTGGTAGGATTAGCATAACAACTTGAATGTCACATTCAGACATATATTCCTATAGCGATTGATTTCGGGCTCAGTATCATCCTTTCAAATAGACGATGAGAGGAAATGGCATGATGTACTCATTCGCAGTGTATGGAATATCTGGAAGATTTGTCGAACAGATTGAAAAGAATTTGTGCCTAACGGATTGAAAAACTTTCTTGAAAGTCCAGCTGGCAGAGAGATGGCGGCTAAAAGTTTTTTCTATACGTTGTAAGTTTATAGAGGGGTGGGGTTTTATTGAACCATTTGTCTTCCGAAGAATTTCTTCAAATATGGATGTTTTGTATGTGACTACTTGTGTCTGTTTGGAGTATATTACGGACAAAGTTATGATTTCTCTCTGCTTCTGTGATCAGGACTGTTGAATTGTTCATATTATGATGGTTTTTCGAGTTTTATGGGAAGAGTGCTCCAGAAATTACAGATTGGATGGGCATATAATAGGTTTCTGATTGAGCATACTTGGATGTATAGGGAGTAGGCCTTGGTTTTTGCTACTGAAGAGGTGTGAGCTCTTTAACTCAGGGGCACTTGATATACCTCATGCTTTTGTTCACCTGAGGTTTCGAGATTTTATTTTTATTTGGCATTTTTTGTTCATGAATAAATTGTGATACCATCCAAATTTTTCTCAAAGAAGAGATCTTTGAGGCTTTTTGAACATTACTCTGAGGAGTAAAATGTGATTTTTAAAATGTTCTTGATAAAAGAATTGAGTTCTGCACTATTTATTCTTCTGAAAGTACACAGGTTCACCCATTTTATTGTTTTTTCAAATGTTCTTCCCAGGCCAACTTCAATGCACGTGAAGGACGTGTGATGATTTTTAACCTTGTGGAGGCTGCTCAAGAGTTTCTATCTGATATTGTTCCTGCTGAAGAATCCCATGTATGGAAAGGTTTTTGATTTATATGGTTATATGAAGCGATTAACTGAGTTGTACTCATGTATGGTTATTTGTACAAGATATTTCATTTATGTTTGAGGAAATCTTCTTTTACGAACATTTATCCTAAGATAATGATTTATTTATTTCCTTCGTCGATGATTAGTTTATTGATACTCTCATTTGGTTATCTTGCTCAAGTTCATGAGATATTTTTTTTGGCATTATCCCTTTGTTTTTCTATTTAACTCATTTTTTTGCGCGTTTATTGTGCTCAGTTTTTTCTCTTCCTGCATGTTGTTACATGTTGCAGTTGGCATAATTTTTTTAGTACTCTGTTTTGAGAGGATTGAATGGTTCAACATCTAGTTCTTGTCTCATTTCCAATCGGCTTCTATTTTTTTGTGAGATAAGCTCTACTGTTTTTTCATATAACCCCCTGAGGAATGACTTTCCTCTAGTTGATGAATCCCTGGCTTTTAAGGAACTACTTTCTGAATCCTTTTTATTAGTCTTTTTAATAACAGCTTTAATTGTCTTTTTGCAGATTCCTCATTTTGATTCTGGTGGAAGGGAACATTGGCCTGCAGAAGATGGAGCATTCCTACATAGCAGATGTGTTGCTTCTGATGGAGCGTTTGTTCATGGTTTGTATGACCTTTACAGTGATATGAGTGGTGGTTCATGGGATCAGCTTCTTGAAAAACATGTGCTGAACGATGGCCAGAGCAAATTTCCCAGAGAAAAAACTGCACCTAGTGATAAGATTGGACGAAGAAGTATGGTGCAAGGTGCTGCACTTGCAGAATCATTTCAGAATAAAGACATGGAAACACATCTAAATTTTTTCCAAAAAGAGGTTGACTATGGCAGTGAAAGTCTATCGGCCAACTCATCTTCTGAGTTGGAATCGGTGGGAGAGGCCTCAAAAGTTGTTGCAAATAAAGATACAGCAGAAAAGGTATTTTTGGGATTCATCAGTGTTCTTTTGTTAGGGGATTTGATACGTTTATAGTTGTGATGAAATATAGTAGGAATTTGGTCAGATTCTTATCTGTATACTTTCTGAAAAGTCACTCTGATTAGAACTGACTAATAGATTGAACTTGAAGATAAACTAAAGCCTATTTTCATTCCACAAAGCACCCATTGAATATTTACCACCAATTTTATCTTGGTGTGAATGCGGTATAAGGCCCTGAACATGCATTTCTGTGCTATTTTATTTGAAATTGCATTTCTGTGCACTTAATGATTCAATTTGTATAGTACTCCCTAGATATTACATGTTAGATTTGTATGTTTTGTTTTTCAAGATAATGCAGTCTCTTTCAAATTGAGCCCTTAATATCTATCTGCTACAGGGACTTGACTTAGGAGAGCAAATGAACAAACTGTGTCTCAGTGATGTTGGAAATATGTCTGAGCCCCTGCAACCCTCTGCAGTTGACTCAGTTTATGGTGATAAGTCCGAGAATGAGAAAAGGGATCTTATTCTGGTATTTACATCAGTAGCTTATTTATTCATTAATTGTCCAAAAATTGAAGCGTTACCTGTGCTTTTGGTGCCTATTTTTCCACCAGGTTCACCTGCTGCGCATTTTGTCTGCATCTAAAATATCATTGCCATTTTCTTCAGTTGAGATAGCATCTGAATTGTGCAATTTGGGGGCAAGTATTTGGTTATTTGTGACTCTTGCTCTTGTGAACTTCATTCATTGAATTTATCAATCTATTATCCACTATTCAATGACTTATGTTGAATTGGATCAGATGCTATCAGATTGGGGGAAGGATCTGGTTACTGAACCATCAATGTTTGATAAAGCCTTTGAGAATGCTTTTCGGCACTATGTGGTTTGCATCTGCTGTGTTGTTTCTTTCCCTGGCGTTTGTCTCTTCATTTTTATCCACTACTCATTCTCTAGAGCTTGATGAAGTTGAATTTTATTTTCTTCTTGATGTATCCTGGTTGATATTGCCGTGGCAGATTTCTTCACCAATATCTCAATTCTGGAAGGCTACTTCTAATGTCAATACGGTAGCTGCTTCTGGTTTGAAATCTCGTTATCTGAATGATTTTGAGGAAGTTTGTCCACTAGGTAAGAAAATATGTTATTGGTGATTCCTTTTGATTTTTATGTAGATCCTGAAGATTCTCTGGTATTTTTTTATTACCTATCTTCTGCCTTTGACATTATGCTGGTTTTTAGATGTTTATTACAGCATTATTATTAGATGATAACTATTATTAGATCAATGTTTGTGCATTTCCCACACGTTCACCTCTACAGGAAGGATAATAGGGACTTGTGACCCTCTTAGTGAAGGCCAGCATGATCCTCAGGGATTCAGTATAAATTTATATGATATTATTTATGCTTTTGAAAAAAGATTTATTGTTGAACTATCCTTGAGTATCCGCTACAATCAGGGAAGTATGATTAAATAGGCTTTTAATATGATTGATATAAACATCTTTATTTCCTTAATCTCTACTTGATCTAAGCATTTACTTTAGGAGAATGGATGGATGAAGCAGGAATGAAAAACATCAAAATTCTTTAGCTGATTGATACAGCTTCTAGATTAAGGATGGAGAATAGTAAACAGAACAAACGGCAGATGAACAAAGATGGAGAGGTATGGGATCTGGTAAAGTTGTGCATGCTGCTTTGAAGTTGACTGGTAACTGCTGATTGATACACATTTTCAGTTTGTAGTTGGTGCAATGTAATTAGAGGACAGTGATGCTTGAAAATTCATTCATTTAAGCTGCTGTGCTGGATTCGACATCAACTTCAATAACTAGAACCATTTAGCATCAGTATCTATGATGATGATTGATGCTTTTGATGCAAGTGGCTGCAAAATAGATAACTTCATTGTTGTTGTCGAGATGTACTTAACAACTTGTATACCTTACATATTTACATATATGTCCTCTTGTATCTTTCATTTTTTTGTGTTACATCAGTATGTCTAGAACCTTCTAGGGATCTGGTATAAATACTAGATCCCCTCTCCTTGTAATGTTTTTCCTTGATCAATAAAGCTTTTTTTGTTCTTCCAAGAGTGCTGGGCGTTTATCAGAGCTCCAGACCGTGTGTCAATCAGCAAACTTTCTTTTTCATCACGGAGAAAGAGAGTAAAGTCTTAGACAGGATTATTGTGGAAAGATGGGAAACTAAGGTTCTTTTAGCAGGAGTTAGATGGACCCATTCTTAGAATTTTGTACTTCCAGTGATGATGATGAGATGGCTCTTTTGTCCTCATCTTCCAGGATATTACTTTATGCTTCAATTTCTTCTTTATTCTATATGATTATGTTGTCAAGATGTACTTAATAACCTGTATACTTTACATGTTTACAGATATGTCCTCCTGTATCTTTTATTTTCGTGTCTACGTAAGTGTGTCTAGAACCTTTTAGGGATCTGGTGTAAATGCTGGATCCCACTCTCCTTGTAAAGAGTTTTCTTCATCAATAAAGTTTAGTTCTTCTTCCACGAGTGCTGGGCGTCTATCAGAGCTCCGGACTGTGTGTTATCTTGACTACATAGTACCAAAGCCATTCTAGGGTTTTAAACCCTGTTTTTCAGCACTGTCACAGGTTGACATTGCTTTGTTGACATTCTCTACATCATTTGCTGGAGTTTCTGGTGCCGTACACTTTTGGCAAGGGATCTTCTCCTTTGCTGTGTCTCTTCTAGAGTGAATCCAAGTGTGATCGCTCCATTTTTTGCTTCGGCACTGATCTACTAGTATGTTACGGTTCTTGGACTGTTTTTCTTGTCTCTATTGAGATTTGTTCATGAAATTTGATTTCATAAATTTGGATATTTTCTTTAAATGGAGAATGTGGGAGACAATTCTTGATTATAGTGGGGGATCCAACCTCCGTGAGGGAAGTTAATCTTGGTCCAAGTGGCCCAAGATTACTTGTAGAACGTCCTACAATGCATGCAGAGTTCAAATTGACTGGATACAATTTAATTCAATTGTCATAATTCAATTGGTTACATCATCTGATTAATGAGAAATTGAATCCATTGTCTTAAGAATTTCGTAGATGGAGGGAAGAAGATGCATTAAGCAAAAGTTGGCTTTGGGGAACAATGATTCCTCAAATTAGCTGATATTTTTTCGTCCTATCTAGAGTCAAAGATTTGTGGGAAACAATTCACACGAAGTTCTCACAAAGAAACAATGAGGCACATTTACATGAACCGAAGACAAAATCCATATCCACAAATCAAGGAAATAAATATGTGATGAAATATGCAGGAGAATTGAAAACTTTATGATAGGAAATTGATTATTATCTCAGTATTGATACAAAAAAACCTGCAAAAATTGCTGTCCTAAGACATTTTATAGAATGAAGAAGAGTGTTTAAATTTTTGGCTGAACTTAATACAATTTTTTATCAGGCCAAACAACAGGTTTTGAGTTGTGAAAGGAAATTTGATTTGGATGAAGGTATTTCAATCATTTTGAATGAAGAAAGTCATCGGATATTAATATTGTTAGTGCCTGAAATTGACAATACTGCATTTATGATAAAACTTGGAGAAATTATGAAGAAAACCACAGATCAAGCCAAACAACCTTAGTTTGGCCAAGGAAGAAATCAGAAGACTGATTTCTGTGATAATTTTTAATGTACATATTGTAGAAAAGCCCATTACACTATAGATAAATGCTATAAACTGCATGGTAAACCACAAATTTTTGCACTGAAAAATATGGCAGTCAAGCACATTTGGCAGCAAGATTACTGACTAGTTAGCCCTCAGATTCTTAAGCCAATCAACATTCTTCTTCTCCTCAGATTGAGGATATAGAGTGACTTTGAATTGAGTTAGAAAAACTGAAGTTGATGGTGACACAGTTCTCATCAATTCAACCTAATATGTTTCACCACTCTCTTAGAGTTAGAATCTCTTCTAGAGATATTTTTAATAATTGAGCAGTGAACTCAAGAGTAATGAACCACATGACAAACTCCTCTAACCTTTTTACCAAGCTTTTTGCCAACCTTGTCAACAAACCACATGACAAATTCAGATTTCTATCCTAGTGATAAAAAAGTGAATATTACAAATGGATCTTTCCTAACCGTCATAGATATAGGAGACATTAGACTTGAACCTCTTGGAGTTCTTACTAATGTCCTTTATGTCCCCAAGTTATTTTACAAATCTCATTTCAATTAAGAAACTTGTTAGAGACTCATCTTATCATGTCTTTTTTGATGAAGATGTATGTGTCATATTTGATAAGGTACATCATCAGAGGATTTGGGTTGCTAGAGAGCGTGAAGGTCTTTATCTTTTAGAAGGATTAAATCAAACATATCTAGTGGAAGTGGATCAATCTCTAGAACCTCTAGGAGATGTCCTTAAGATACAATTACTTCACCAACGATGGGGTCATCCATCCTTTAACACTTCGAAAATAGCTTTTTCTACTTTATTTCGAAGGGTGTCTTTGGACACTCTTAAATGTAATGTGTGTGAACTTTCTAAACACACACGTACTTCATTTCAATCTCAAGGGAAAAGGAGTGATGTTCCTTTCTTCTTCCTAATTCATAGTGACATTTGGGGACTATGTCTCATCAATGACATTTGTGGTAATAAATGGTTTGTCACCTTCATTGATAATTGTACAAGTTGTATGTGGGTCTTCTTTCTCAAACAAAAAATCAATGTGTGTGATGTTCTGAATTTTTTTTGTGCCATGATAAAAAACCAATTTGACACTAGTAATAAAATCAGATCTGATAATGCTAAATAGTATTTTAGCCAAAATTTGAATTTATACTTCTAGATAGAGGGCATCATACATGAATCCTCTTGCATCTATACTCCACAACAAAATGGTTTAGCTGAAAGAAAAAATCAGCATCTTTTAGAAGTCACTCAATCAATTTTATTTCAACATCATGTACCTAAAGTTTTTTGGGGTGTGACTGTTCTAACAGCCATATACCTCATCAACCAATTACCATCTAGAACCTTAGGCTTCCACAGCCCGTTAGATTCATTAGCCACTTTTTTTCCAGGCCATCAACTTAAACTAGGCTAGAACCTAAGACATTTGGCTGTGTATCTTTTGTTTATGTTCATAATCAAACCAAAGATAAACTAGAATCGAGATCACTTAAATGTGTATTTCTTGGTTATGCTACCAATCAAAAGGGGTACAAATGTTACCACACTCCAATTTTTTTTTATTTCATTGGATGTTACATTTCATGAATCTGATTCTTATTTTAAAGAATTTCTATCTAGTGAATAACATCTATTTTCTATAGCTCATATGGATCAACATGTAGATTCTTCACTCTCGTCTTCGGCTGGTAACCTCTTCATTCTCATTTCAGTCAATGAAATACCTAATCTTATATTGAATCTGCTTCCTGAAAACCTAAGGTTTGGCAAGGTTTAGAAAATATACCACCACTAACATCTTCCTCATCTGATGATCCCACAGTCCTACCTCATGATTCACTTTCCATTGCCCTGCACAAACCTAGAAAGGATTGTATAAAAACACCCCTATATCCAGCTGCCAATTTCCTATCTTATCACAAACTTTCTTCATCCTATCAATCATTCCTTATGTCCTTAGACATCACTAGCATTATAAAAAATGTCTCCAAGTCTCTATCCAATCCTGAGTGGGAGCAAGCCATGGATGATGAAATGAGAGCTCTTATAAAAAAAACCAAACATGGGATTTAGTGAAGTTATCATGAGATTAGAAGATTGTTGGTTGCAAATGGGTGTACACGGTGAAATATAAATCGGATGATTTGATTGAGAGGTATACACAAATATATGCAATAGATTATCAAAAGAATTTTGCATTGGTGGCCAAAATGAATACAGTCTGTTTTTCACTGGCCTTGGCAGCGATTTTCAGCTGAAATATTCAATAGTTTGATGTTAAAAATGCATTCTTGCATGGTGATCTGGTTGAAGAGGTTTACATGACTCTCCCACCAGGATATGAGGGTAATCATTCATTTAAGTTTATTTAAAGAAATCCCTTTATGGCCTCAAACAGTCTTCACGTGCATGGTTTGGAAGGTTTTACAGTAGCCATGAAAAAAAATGAATTACAACCAAAGTAATACTAATCATACGTTATTTTTTAAACACTCTTTTTTGAAGGGAAGTCACAGTTCTGTTCGTTTATATTGATGATATTATCATCATAGGAAATGATGAAGGAGAGATCCATAGCTTTAGCAATTGTTTGGCCCAAGAGTTTGATGTCAAGACCTTGGGACGACTCAAGTATTTTTTAAGAATTGAATTGACACATTCTTCTAGAGGTATTTTATTTCTCAACAAAAGTACATAACAGATTTGTTAGCTGAAATAGGGAAATCTGTGTAAACCAACCAATACACCTATTGATCAAAACTAGAAATTGTGTATGGTAGATGAAGAAATTTCTATTGACAGTGGGATGTATTAGCGTCTCATTAGCCAATTAATTTATCTAACACACACTTGACTGGATATCTCATATGCAGTGAGTATATTGAGTCAATTTATGCATCAACCTAAAGAGTTTCATTTACATGCTGCCTACTGAGTGCTACATTATTTGAAAGGCACACCAAACAAAGGGGTTCTTTTTAAACGAAGTGAAAAGGTGGAGGTTGAAATGTTTATAAATGCTGACTATGGATGCTCAACGATTGATCGAAGGTCAACCTCTGGTCATCTTACTTTTGTTGGTGGCAACCTTGTCACCTAGAGGAGTAAAAAAAAAATATAGTTGCTTGATCAAGTGCTGAGGCTGAATTCAGGGCAATTGCCCAAAGAATATGTGAGTTACTTTGGGTCAAGAATTTACTTGACGAGCTACAAATTTCTTTGTCCAGTCCTATGAAGGTTTATTGCTACAATAAGTTAACAATTAATCTAGTACACAATGTAGTACAACATGACTGTACCAAACATGTGGAGATTGATCATCATTTCATCAAAGAAAAACTTGAGGCCAATGTGATTTGTATATCATACATTTCAACAAATGGTCAATTGGCAGACATGCTTACTAAAGGCATCTCAGGTACACATTGCAGAAGATTATTCCCAACTTGGGAATGGATGACATCCACTGACCAGCTTGAGGGGGAGTGTTGTTGAAATGTACTTAATAACCTGTATACTTTACATGTTTACAGATATGTCCTCCTGTATCTTTTATTTTTCATGTCTACATAAGTGTGTCTAGAACCTTCTAGGGATCTGGTATAAATACTGGATCCTGATCTCCTTGTAAAGAGTTTTCTTTATCAATAAAGTTTTTGTTCTTCCACGAGTGCTGGGTGTCTATCAGAGCTCTAGACTGTGTTATCTCAACTACAGCGTAAAGTATACATGTTATTACGTATATCTCGACAACAGATTCTTTCATTCTTTTTTTATTCCAATCCTTTTTTGTTTTGATCCACCTAAGTTTTACACTGTTGTTGTCTGGTGGAGGATGGATTTCTTTGAGCATATTTCATCCCTTGGTTCCTTTTAGGAATTGCTATGCTTAGATTGATGACGTTTGAGCCTTTATGCCAAATAGCCAACTGGCCTGTATCATGTACTTTCCTGCTATGTAGTTGTCAACATGATTGGGTGACTTCTACACTGTCCTTGAGCTGGTGACATTTCTGGGGTCCTTGGTAGCTCCTTGTCGAATAGAAATGGGAGCTTTGTTGTCTGTTTTCAGAGAAGTCTTGTTTTTTTCATCATATGTGAGTTTTCAGAGCCCTATTGTCATTCTGCACTTCCAACAAGCACCAGCATTATCCACTGAATCAAATTGTTCTTCAATGTAAATTATAGGTATGCTTGATATTCTTTTGGATGATTTATATGCTCGTCTGCATAAATGTGAATGGCTGGTATGACATTGCGTGAAAGTTATCAAGAAATGCTTAATGCTTGTATAGGCTTTCCATTGCTTGCCAAGGTATACATCCCTCAGGCTAATGGGGTATTCACCCATACCTTATAGTTAGGACACCCTTTTTGTCAGTTGGCTTTCTGCCTTGGATGATTCCTGCTTGATTCTAATAGCGAAAAATCATCCTCGTACATTAACTATGCCAGTTGCTTGGTGTATTTTATCTGTTTCCTAGACATTTATTTCATTAAGTATTTACTTTTAGAATTTTATGCTGCAAGTATTCGTGTTTATGATGTAGTGTCTACATAGGAAGCTCTTTCTTTAATAATTTGTGGTTATTCGTGACTCATTCATAGGTCATGGTGGTTTTGGCCATGTTGTACTGTGTAAAAACAAATTGGATGGACGGCATTATGCAGTAAAAAAGATTCGTCTCAAAGACAAAAGCCTTTCTGTTAATGACAAAATTTTAAGGTAAAAATGTCTTAAAAGTTAGTTTTTGATATCAGTTTTTAGCATGGATTGCCAATTCCATGGTTTAATTAGTACGAAACTTTGTGGATATGGCTCAGTTGGAGACGATTTCACAGGAGACTCGTTTGTCTGTGTCGCTATTTGATTTTCTATTTTTGTACGCCATGTATTGGCAGTGTTACTGCTTGATTAAGTTTTCGAGTACATGTTACAAAACAGTTGCTCTTCTGCGATTTACGTTATTACCATCTGTTCTAGTTTGTTATTTAATGTAATGTGAAAAGGAAAAATAAATAGTTGATTGTACTTCTAAAAATGTGAAATATATTCTGCCTCTACAAGTAAATTGACCATTCTGTTGACAGTTGACATTGGACAGTTGGGGGAGTCCCACAGTGACCATTCTGTTGGGCTGAAATTCTTTGCAGACACTGGGATTCTCAATTTTCTTCGGATCAGTTTTTTTTACCAAGGCAGGACTTGATGTGGTGAGATGTATTTTCAATCTACATAAGAGTTGCAGTAAATTGGTAAGATGAGGGGAGTGTGGGAGGGATGGGACGCCTAGAACTAGTGTTCTGGACTAGCCATCTCGTATTCACAGATGTGGTAAGGGGCATGACTACGTGTCTCTGAGGCAACTGTTGGGACTGTGAAAGTTTCCAATTTCTAAACCCTTCTCATCCAGGTATTGGCATTTAAGGGTGGTCAGATGTGTTAAGATCTTGGTAAACCCTGGAGGGAAGATGCAGAGGGATAAAGCCCTGGTTAACTTGGCAGATTAGCTGAAGAGGGATATGTGCTGTCCACCTGAATGTTGTGAGGTCTGTGCACCTGAATGGGTCTTCTCACAGACATGCTGGGTTTGACTGCAGAAACTGGTCCTCACTGGGACGGGACTAAATATCTTCTAGCCATCTCGAGAGTTTGTCATTCCAACCCTTGTCAACTGGCTGCTTATCTCCTTAGATATTAGATTGAGCTACTTACGGGGTTTTGTGGGTATCATGGTCAACTAGGGCATCATGGCACCTGCATGTAATAACTTGGAAATATATTCAGTCCCTTGGAACTGTGTTCCCCAGATTTTGGGACCTGATGTCTAGAATCGATACAGTGGCATTCTTCCTACTTTGTCCAGTAATCAACATCCTGGACATGTATTAAGTAAATGTTACTCATTTCTGCCTTGCACCACTGTCCACGTGGACAGTGCTGGCCTGAGATGGTGGTAGTTTCTATCTCGCGTTCAAAACCTTTTGCGCTCGAGACATGAGGCTTTTACTTCGACGAGGGATGAGCAACATCCCCTTGGGGAAAAGGTTATCAATCGTCCACTTGTTTGGTGTTGTCGTGAGGATTTTATAAATAAACCCTATACTTTCATATTGGCAGATATGCCCTGAATACTTGTAATCATGTACTCTCAAGGGTCCATCCTGTATTCTCGTTTTTCATTCAATAAAGTTTTTTCTTCCTCTCCAAAGGTGTTGCGAATTCTCCAGCACACCAAATTGAGGACTACCATTCTACATTTGGGAAGTATGGTCGGAAGGAGAAGCAGCCAATTTATCTCTGATGCACAGTGGTAACATGGCGACCTAAGAGTAGGCTACTTAGTGAAGAAACTCGAGACACAGAGGGGATGGAGGTGGAGGAACGGATAACAGACTGAGATGAGGTGACCTTTCGAGGTGGAGAAGATGGGTGAGATTAATGGTAAGTAAGGAATCTTTCTTTATGAGGTAGGCCTATATATGCAGGTCTTTTCAAGGGAAATCAGGAAAAGATGGAATTTGAGAGTAGTTAAAAGGAGAGGATAAGGAGGAGAAGGGGAACATGGAACATGGATGTCAGTGTGGGAGAAGGGAATCATCTTAGGGGAGGAGGAGGACAGTTGGAGAGCCAGCAGGAAGTTGCGAGACTGATTTTGCATGGCTGCATGGGGCTTAGTGTTAGGTGTCAGGAGGAGGAATTATGAAGGAAACTGAAGGATTTGGTTTAGTTAGAGGTGTAGGAGTCAGTATGGGAATTTCAATGTTTTTTCTGTTACAAAGGAGAATATATGGGTATGCAAGCTATGATGAATGAGGAGAATCACCTGATATCATAGTAGAGGTTGCCTTTATCAAATTTTTTTCTCCTAATAATCTTTGAGTTGGTCAAACGAGAAAAAAATGTTGCAAGAGTGGACAGAATTGTAGTATTTGTAGTTTGGGATGTCCAGTTTCCTAACCAAGATTACATGGATATCAGTGTTGTGCAGGATGAAATAATTTGTGCAATGTTTATAATGAACTCTAATTTTTCTGAACAATGGTTTCCTTGTGAACACACTGTTATGGCTGCTTCCTTGTTTATGGAGCCGAAATTTGTTGACTAATGAATAGGAACTTGTTGATAAATGCTTTTATTTAGTTACTGGCCCATTGCTAGTTGCTCATACTATTTCATTAACTGTATGTAAATGTATTCATACAGATAAAAATGTGTGCATGGCTACATATTATACTTATTCGTGTATGCATTTTGCACCTAATGAAATGACTTGAATTAAATTCACCTGCCCATTTCCCTTTCATGTTACTTCTACCTTAAGAAAAGTTTGTATTTAGTACTTTGGCAGTTCCTTTTTATTCTTAATTATATTATTTGATGCTTTATTGTCTGCCTATTGTTTCCTTTAATGGTCTCTATGTTTCCATGACAAGGTGCGCAGGGAAGTAGCTACACTTTCTCGTTTGCAGCATCAATATGTTGTTCGCTATTATCAGGTTAATTTTGTAATCTTTTTAGCTACGTTTTTGTCTGTTTTTGTATTGTGGGCTTCCTGTTAAAAATTTTCATTATTAAAATCGTGTTTTCAGAGAATAGACTGATTGCATTTCCCCGTAATTTTTTTGGGATAATATTATATGTGAGGGAAAAATGTGGCCAGAACATTATATGCTAATAGGGGATTGCAATCGTCGAGTGCTTTGGCATTGCTTTATTTAGACAGCTTCAGGCGTGTTCAATGAAAGATGGCAATTTTTCTGGACCTTCTTGCTTGTTAGTGTCGAGGAGTGTATGTGTGCGGCATACTAAATTGAGTCCTATTGTTTTGGCGAGTAAATATACATTTTCCCTTGGCATAGTTGCTCCACATCATGTTTAGACGAAATCTCCATGATGAATTTTCGAGTTCACTCTTTACATGCACTATAGTAATGAGTAAGCCTCTTCCATATGCATTCTGAAAACATTTGCCAGCTCATGTTTACATCTTCAGAAGACTCCTAACTTCAAAGCATCCTTTTACTTCATTCCTCGTGTCAAAATTTTCAGTATCTGGAAGTAGTGCAATCTCCGCATTCATGAGATGAAAAAACTGATGAATAAGAGTTTTAGAATTCTTGGATGTAGTAACAAATATACTTTTATTCATGCATCAAAGAGTCAATATTGAGAGAACTTGTTGGATACGAATGAGAATGGTTCATATCAATGCTTGGTTAAATGCCTTCTTCCTTTCTTTTGGTAGAATGATGCTTTTGGGAGGGTAGATCGCCACTACATCTTACAATATGGTCCTTGGTCTCTTCCTGACTTTCAATAGAGATGCTTGAGACCCAACAAAACCCTCCTTTCGTTTGGATAGAATAGGCCTTATGCTGACGTAAGATGACTTGTGTTTTACTTGTTAAGCCTTTATTTCATAGCTCATCTAGTGGTCAGATGAAGCTATCAATTTGGCTCTTACCGAGTGATCCTACAACAACATTATTAATGTTGAAAAATATAGGCAAAGGGAGAATGTCCTTTGTCACGCAGGATAGAGGGGAGGAACGGTGAAAATTGTCTTGAGATTCATTCACCGCTAACATCTCTAATATAGGGAGGAAACCTACACAGCTGTCCCAAAATACCCTCAGTTTTTTACAGTATTTCCTTATGACTTAGAACTTGCAACACTCACCCGCAAGATGAAGTTTAGAAAAAATTATCTTCAGTAAGTCGTTGATGAGCATTTACTTGCTAGAAAGTGACCTTGTGATGACGATGATCTGTTATGGCAGCAACTCCCCCTGTGATGGTGTCGAAATGCGCATCTTCTGCTGGGTTGTAACAATGCAGGACTGCTTCATTGGACAATGATGGCTTCTAATGCCGGGTTGCATGAGATGGGGGTAGACTGCTGGATTGTGTAGAATGACATTGGATGATGGAAGATGGCCTTGACATGCTCAAGATGGTACCAGATAGAGAATCATGTAGGATGGAGGAGGGACAATGCCAGATGGCAAGGATGGTAGCAGCACAGATTGTGGGAGACTCTGGTTGCCAGACTAGAGAGGATGTCAGGTTGATGTAGGATAGAGCGAGACAGACTGAGGAGGATAGAGGACGACACTGGATGCCGGACGTATTTCAGACAGAGGACGACACCAGAGGGAGAAGGGACGGCACTAGACAAGGAGGCCAGTGCTAGAAGTCTCAGGATGGAGGATGAACACTGGATTGAGACGACACTTGACAGATGTTTGATGGAGGACAGTGTCGTCCTCCTCGACTAGATCAAAACAAAAACATATGAAAATGGAAACAACGACAATGGACCCAGATATTTCAAACTCTGGACAGAGGGCTTGATGCAAATAGGAATGATGCCAATGGACTTGAAGGTGTCATTGATGAACCTGCTTTTGATGAACTTGGATATACTGTTCAGTGGTAGATGAAGATCACTCTGGAGCAATATTGCCTCCAGCAAGAAGAGAACACGTCATTCTTGGACTAGAGGACTGACGGATGTAGAACCCACTCTGAATAATGGAAAGAAAATCTGTTCCAAATGGCAGAATAATATGCCTATAAATGGCAGAAAGATAATACGCCCTCAAATGGTGGATGAAGAACACACAATGAAACCCTACCAAAACGAACCCGCTATGATACCATGTAGAAAAACAAAGGCAAAGGGAGAATGCCCTCTGTCATGGAGGACAGAGGGGAGGAATGGCAGAAGTTATCTTTAGATTCATTCACCTCTTAACACCCCTTATATAAGGAGGAATCCCTACACAACTGTCCCAAAATACCCTCAATCTATTACAGTATTTCCTTATGACTTAGAACTTCCAACAATTAAGTTGAGACTTATGTCTTAGGGATTGACACTTAGATCTTGAGTGTAACTTTTTTAGTTCATGAGTCAACACATGATGTTTGGTATGATTTTCCACACATTATGAATTATTTTGGTCTAATATTGTTCCGTGGGTTTGGGGAGTTGATGTTACATCTCATTGCTATTATGTTTTTTTACTTTATTTAGATTGAGAGCCTTCATTTGTTTATTTAAATCTCCTTCACAAGATCAATACAGATCAACATTAGCATCATGATTCTATAACAAAAAAATCGGCTTATTATGTTTAACAAGGTCCCTTGAAAGGGTATCCAAGGTATGATATTTGGTTATATGACATCAGTATATGTTGATTGTACCGGAGTGGATATGGATTATGAGAAAATGGGGAGAAGGAGAAAAGACCTTGCAATCATTGTGCAAGGAAAATCATGAGGAAAGTTGTTTAGTGAATATCCTAATAGTCAATCTGATAATTTCAAGTAAAGGAAAGAAAGGCATGTAGCTGAAAGCCACCTAGTTATGATGCATCTTGCTAACGTGCTTATTGCGTCTTCCATTGAGGATGGTGATTCAAGTCACAGTACGACAACTCTAACAAGTTTTCTTAATTGGGACAGTGATAGTTCTGTTAGTCTTCCTCAGTTTTTAAGATGCTCTCCTTTTCTTCCTTAATTATCATAGTGCTCGTGCCATGTTTGTGCGTCTTTGTGGTTCTGCTGGTAATTTTAATAGTTAAAGGAGTAAGATTGTTAACTTTCTCTACTGTAGGTATAACTTTTGAGAGAAAGCTGATTTACTATGGGAGAAAGAATATGAGTTTTGACTACCTGGACATATACTTCTTCCTGCAGTCAAGAAGGAGACTAAAATTTGCCGATGACTATTCCCTCTACCTTCTTCCTGCAGTCAAGGAGACTAAAATTTCACAAAACATCCAAAATCTAAGTATCTAAAACATCCTCTCTCTCTCTCTCCCCCTCTCTCTCTCTTCAATTCTCACTTCTCTTGTAAATATTGTAAACAATTTTTAGTTATAGAAATTGAATGGAGAAATCAGAACTAGAGAAAAGTACTACCTGTGAACTTATAGACCTGCTTAATGGAATAAATGTGTTTGCTCCAGGTGGGTTTTCATCATCAAGAATGAAGTAGACTGTATGCTCATTGATAGATTAAAGACTAGACTAGTTGAAAGATGTATACATACCTATGGCATTGATCATTTAGATATGTTTGCCGTAGTTACAAACTTGAAATCTATGAGAATGATTCTTCCTTTTGTTGGAAAAATATTCATATGATTGTTAGTAACTGAATGTGAAGAATGGTATTTTTAATCATGATATTCAAAATGAGGTATAAATGCACTGTTCTATGTGATAGCCAAGGCAATAATTCTAACTGGAAAAAGGCTCGTATGATTCGAGGTAAACCCTGCTTGCATGGTTCATGGTAGTTCTGATAAAATTGGGAAACAATGAAAGCCATTGGCTACATAATTTGTGAATATTGGAGTTATTACCATTTAGTATTTTATGTTAATTATATGTATATAACAGGAGATAGTGAGGGGGTTATTGGCTGACTGAATTGGTAACTTGTGAAGCATTTGTTATCTTGTCTCTTATGCTGTTAGTATCCTCAAATAATTTTTTCACTCATACGATATGGTCCAAAGTCTTCAACTTATTAACAGAACATCTTTACTTTATTCTATGACTAACGTTATGCAGATTGAAAGCCATGTAGATTATGATTGCACTGGATATCACGATGTGGGTAATTATAATATAAATGTTGATTGCACGCTCTACTTGGACGAGCTTGTAAGCCTATGTTGATGTGAAAAAACATTGGTTCTTTAAATATTTATGTTTGTTCCCCATCATAATAATCACCGTTCAGCTTGGCATAGAAAAAGTAGTGCCTGAAAGTCTAATTACAGTTGTACACGACCTTTTTTCCTTGTTTTCTGACCAATCCATGGACTTCATCATCCTAATGTAATTACAGATTTTTTTTTCATTTTGATAGTTTTATTTTTGATAGATGATTTTTAGCTTGTTTGGTGTTATTATAGTTCTATACTTTCCGTGAATAATTTTCTTTCCGTTTTTAGCTTTGTTTTGTGTTGACTTCATCATCCTCAAATAATGTATTGACATTTATGGAAGTTTATTTTGGACGGCTGTTCTAGCCCTTCAGTTTTGTAATGTTTGTAACTGGTCTAGTCACGTCTTTATGTACTATCATGCAAATTTTTAGATTGCAGATATTTTTTGGTTATATTTCTTTATTTTAACATATTTCTTGATAAATAACTCAGGCTTGGTTTGAAACTGGGTCTGGTGGTTATCAGACGTGGGGTTCAATGACCCATGATGGCTCAAGTTTTGGTCAAATGGGAGCCAGTTCAATGAGTAGTGCTGGACCAGTCAACACTGAGGAGATGACATTCTTATACATACAGATGGAATACTGTCCACGGTATGGAGTTTATTAACTGCATTTTGCTCACAACTTGTGGTGCATATATTAATGGTTTTTGCATGTAACTTGAGAATTACAACATGCAGCTTAATAATTAGTTCTTGCATGTAATTAGAGGTGATAAAATTTTAATCATGTAAACGTGATTGAGTTGGATACGTGGATATAATATATCTAGTTTGGGTCCTTGTTAGATATTACAACAGTCAGGGATTCAAAAGAGCGACTGTAGCTCCCATTGGTGTGGTTTTGACTGAAAAGCGTGATGAAGTATTTTCTGTTTGTTTGATATCAAAAACAGTGGCCGGCAGAGTTGTAGCTTACACTGAGACACTACTGGCTGAAGTTTAAGCTATAGATACTAGTAAAAATGCAGGAAGATATTAAAGCAGATTTAGATTGGAACTGGATGTTCCCCAGATCATTTTAGGTTGTAATGGGGATGTCTCATTACAATAAAAAAAAGGCTTTGAGCAGCAGTCAGTGAATCCCGGTTGGATTGACTGGTTTGGCCAGATTATGCCATTTATGCTCTAGTAGATGGAGAATAGGGAAATGCTATATTTATCAATGAGTAGTGGCCAAGGAAGAGAGGACATGGTGGAATACGAAATATAAGAAAGAAAAACATCTCCTTTGCTACCGACGTCTATTGTTTATTGTTGATTTTGGTTGTCATTTGCTCTTACCTTCTTGCTGGAGGAGCGTTAAATAATGCGATTAAAATATATACTTCATTAATTACCAATTAGTTTTTGTTAAGAGTCATCAGGTCATCAAACTAAAGGGCAAGGCGAATGTACCCCATTTATGCTGTTCACGTGACTAAGTTAAACATTTGATTGTAAAGAAGAATGCACTTTATTGTGATGTTACTGTTGAGAACAACCATTTTCTGTCTTCTAGTTGTCTATTATTTGATTTTGGCCCACTCTCTTTGGGCTCTTTTGGCCCAAATTTCTGGGCCCAGATATGTAATTGGCTTCTAATCCAATAATATAAATAGATCGGAGCTAGCTTGGGGAAAGGTGCGAGAAATGTCCCTCTAACTTGCATGAGCTAATTTTGGGTTTCTCTCCTCTTCTTTGCCATAGAGAGATTTAGGATAACAAAATGTGAGACTTGTCTGGCAAAGTTGCCAACATCTTCCATGAGAGATGTGGAAGCATCTCCAAGATCCTGAGGATGAGAAGTGTAGATGTGAACAATGGGGGGACGAGGAGACAATGAAGGCTCAAAAGGTAGGAGAATAGGAGCATGAATAGGCTCATCAAGAGGAAAACTGATACAATCCTCATGGAAGATCGAAGAGGCAAAATACTTGTATTGAACTCACGAAACCTCGTCAATGACGAGAGATAGAGCGTCAGAATGACAGTCTATCTAGATAGCGGAAAAGAAGAGGGAAAGAAGAGTAAAGGGTGGGGAAAATGTTCGAGAGGATTCCCCGCCTCTCCAGGTTCCGATTCGTCCCCCCATTACCCACCTCCTTGTGCTGTATTTATACCCCTCACATGTGCAGTGCACGTTACTCCTTATACCTTCTATAGGTCAGTAGTGGGGTCGTGTCAAAACCTAGAATAATTGGCAGAAAGAGGTAACGATTGAAAGACCAGAGAGGAAGGAAAGACCCTAAAAGATGTAAAGGACAAGCCTTTAACGAAGCTAACTTGATGAGAAATGAAAAAATGAAAAGATACCCGGTCATCTTAACATTTGCACTCTGCTGTAAGTTAAACTGTCATATCGTAGTTTTGAAGGTGCTTAAGTCAGATGTATTAAACATAACCTAGAAAGCTATCTTGTACTTTAGTAAACCCTATTACGGCTAAAGAACCTAAACTGTCGTGAGTCACATATTTGCCTGGCACAACCCCTTTACTGTTAAGAAGAAGGAATGTAGTAGTTTTTTCTAATGATTATGGCGTATAATTACTGATAGTAGTCATTATAAACTTTCATGATACTTTCGTACAGTTTATGATATTTTCTGGTTAACAAGTTTTCTTGCCTGTGAAGGACACTACGCCAAGACTTGAGCAGCTTCGAAAGTCTTTATGACAAGCAAACGACATGGCATTTATGTCGGCAAATTGTAGAAGGGTTGGCACACATTCATAGCCAAGGAATCATCCATCGTGATCTAACTCCTAACAATATTTTCTTTGATGCACGTAATGATGTTAAAATTGGGGACTTTGGCCTTGGTAAGATTTACTTTTATTTTTTGGCCCTTTATTTTGTATTCTTAGAAATAGAAATGTCTTTGGGTTAATCAAGAGGCATCTGGGATAGTACTTGACTGTGTTTGCACTTGTTATAGAATACTTGCTGGATATTTTTCTTCTAGTTTCACACTGTTTTTGAACTTAATGCTTTGGTCGTGATTGCTATAGCTATTTTAGACTCCACATGTGTTGTCATGAACCTAATCCTTGTTATAAGAAGGTATCTTTTGTTTTGTGATTGCATTCGAATGATTCTTATTTTGGTCTCCATAGGTGTGCTTTTCAGTCCATTTTTTTTCTCATCTGAATAAATTTCAGAAAATTTACAAATAAGATATATGATAAACATATAGAAGATTTGGTTTTGCCTCAGTGTCATTTAATGCTGCAACTTGTTGCCTCGGCAAGATGGTTTCTCAGAACCTTGCTCCTCTTCACATCTTAAAAAACTAGATAGTATTGATTGACTGTGGTCAGGTTTCTGGCTTTAATGTTTAAGATGAGCTGAGGATTTACATTCTTGTCTTTATACTTACTCTGTAGCCAAATTCTTAAAGCTGGAGCAGGTTAACCAGGAGCAAAATTTTCCTGCTGAAGTAACTGGAGTTTCTATGGATGGTACTGGTCAAGTGGGTACTCCATTTTATACAGCACCGGAGATTGAGCAAGGGTGGCCTCAAATAAATGAAAAGGTTTGGGTCTTTTTAAAATATTGCTATATTCTTCTTGCCGTTGTATGAAAAGGTTGAGTGAAATACTTGCCGTTGTACTGCTTTTACAGCTATACAGCAGAAAATAATCTCCTGCGCTCTTAGATACTTGGCTGATTCTTGCTTGATAATTTCCTTGACATTTAGATCTAAAAGTTGCGTTGTATTTTCAGGTGGACATGTATAGCTTGGGGGTTGTATTTTTTGAGTTGTGGCACCCCTTCACAACAGCAATGGAAAGGCATATTGTCCTTTCAGAACTAAAGCAGAAAGGAACACTTCCTCCTGCATGGGTAACTGAATTTCCAGAACAGGCATCATTAGTGGAACGTTTAATGTCCCCTAGCCCGTCAGATCGTCCAACTGCTGTTGAAATTTTACGCCATGAATTGCCTCCTCGGATGGAAGATGAGTGGTTAAATGGTGAGGCTTTTTCTGCCTCTGGACTCAATAATGTTGAAACTGGACTGCTAGTCGTGATTATTCTTAAATGGTGCCATGTTGTCGTCTACTAAATTTAATTTTATGGCTTCTGTTTACTTGAAAATGGTGGTTTTGTTTGGCACTGTTGAGGTTTCCATTAACTTTGGAGTTTTGTCATTCTTATTTTCTTTTCATTGTGGATGTTATTTATTTTCATTTCTTTCAGATTTATGTATCGCATTTGTTTGCATTTTCCCAAGAGTTTTGTGGTACTTCCAGCTACACTGATGTTAACATATAATTTTAATGGTATTGATGTCGTTCCCAAACATTTGGGTAGTGTGCTCTGTATCTTTATTGTTACGGAGCTCCTTGGTGTAAAGTCTCTTTGCAAATGTGCATGGGTACGACGAGTCACAACCCTGATATGTCACTATAGAATCTTATGGTAGGAAATGAGGTCTGAAAAATGTCATCCTGATGATCATTGCCATATATCGTATCTTGAAACCATCACCTTGAAGTTCTGTCATAAAAATAGAAAGGCCAATGCATAGGTAGTTGGGGAAATTTTTTCTGTTTCATCTTCTTCTGGTTATTGTTTCACAGCATCAAAAAAGCACTCTGTTGCTGGTTGTTTTTTGAGTGTATTGTCTTTCTATTTGCTATAATTCCTTAAGCATGTTGCCTGTTATGGATAATAAGTTCCTTATGTTTTTGTCCAGATGTAATATATTATTACCAACTTGAACTGACCATGAACTTTAATGAAATTTTTTCTTCAGATATCTTACGCACAATTCAGACATCAGAAGATACCTATGTGTATGATCATGTTCTATCTACTATTTTTGATGAGGAAAGAATGATAATGAAGGCTAAAAAACAGCATACTGAAAGGAAGGTCACACAAGGCGAATCCTCTTTTCCACAGTACACAATTTTGTCTTCTGAACTACGAGATAACATTGTGGAGATTAGCAAAGAAGTGTTTTGTCTACATGGAGCGAAGAGACTGGAGATAGCACCAATTCGTTTATTTGATGGTTGCCATCCTTATGATAGGTTTTTGTTCCTTTCATTTATTCGCTATTCGTGTAATATTAAATGACACTTCTTTAAAAATAATATAATCAATTTTGATTTGAATCCAGAAAGAAGACTGTCAAGCTTCTGACATCCAGTGGGAACATGCTTGAACTTTGTCATGAGCTTCGCTCACCATTTGTTAGTTGGGTGATTACTAATCAGGTGCCAAATCTAAAAACCGTCATATTGAACCTTTCATGTGCAAATTGCTGTATTTGTTGGGTGCAAATTGTTTTTCTGTAGTACCACCCTATTTGACCTTGATTTTCACTGGGTTGAAGAATGTTTATCATTCAATATTAATTTGCTTTGATCTAAGAATTATATTTTCGGAAGTAGCATCAAGTTTGGACATCCTGAAAGGCAGGGAGGTGGGAGAGAAACAGGGAGATGACTGAGGAAAGAGAAACATATTGGAGATAGATGCAGGGCTGTTCTCTTGTGAGTGTTTGAATGGCCAGTGTAATGGAATTGGCAAATCTTGGCTCAGTTTTGAAGGTAATTCTAGATCCGACTGGTGCAGGGGATTATTGGCTGCTCTAACACAATATCACCATGTCTTGTGCGGACTGGACCTGCAATTATTTCAGACACGTTAGGTAGTCCGGGATGCTGTTTTACTGTGTAACATTGTATTATCATGTTTAGAGGGTTATCACCATCTCTTACTGCAATTACTAGTTGTCCTATTAAGGAAATATTCCTGTTCACACCATCTCTTACATGTTTCCCCCTTGGGTGCTTATCTCCTTTTCAATATTCTTCTTCTTCCCCTTCTTTCTGCCTTGTTCTCTTCTTATCTACATGGTATCTGAACATTGATCCTAATGTCGAATCTGGATCGTTTATCCCGTCTTCTCACCTGTTTAGTCGCTATCTTGCACCTCTCTGGATGGTTTGGGGCTTTCTGAATTTCTGAGGTCCTGTCCCTGTTCCTTCTTCGGGTGTATCCTGTCTAGAATGCTTGGAGGCTGTACACTTCTTCCCGTCCTGGTACTATTGATATTATACCCCACTCAATGGTGAACCTGACATGGGTTCTAAAAGGCGGCCTGGATTTTGTTTAGAGGTTCCCCACTTATTTTTTGTGGCTATCCATATCTATTTTCCTGGAGGAGATAGCACCTTTGGTTTGAGGTTCATGAAGTCATTATAAATCCTCTCAGAGTTCCATCGATCGAACAGCTGTCTAGGAAACATCCAAGGGTTCATTGATTCTCTTCATTAATTGGAGATCTATCAGAAGTGGAATAAATGAGGCTCAACGTAGGTATGCTACTGGCAGGTAGGCTTGTAATCATGTTTTCGATATGGATCTTTTTTTCAAGATTGAAAAAAGTTGGATATGCATAGTGTATTGCTTTGTGAAGTGACGGGCTGGGAAGACATACATTTACTTATCTATGTGGATCACATGGTGGCTTTTGGAAGACGTACAAGCTAAAAAATTTGAAATCATTGTCATGTAATGTGTGAGGTATTTCTTGGAACATAGGTGTAGACTTTCAACATAGGCATAGCTAGAGGATAGAGATGGAAAAGCTAGGTTGAAACAGGCTGGGACACTCATAGAGGTATATCTTGAGTTGAACGGACAAGCTACAGAGTATTATCCGAGATTTACTTGGTGTATTTGACTCTGCTTACCAGTTCTATTTTTACTTATTTAAGGTCATACTCTTTCAGACCCTTTCGGGAAATGGTTTGGGCGCCTCTTATGAGGGAAGTGAGCCCTGAATGTGCTGAGGTCATTTCTGATATCATGGGGCAATCGCTGGTAGAATATGTAAAGGTCTATTACTCCCATTAATCGCTGGTATACCTGTTAGATAAATATATAATATTTTAATTGAGTATTTATTTCGTGCTTAATATCACTCCGTTCTTTGTGGATTTGTATGTTGGAATGGAGAAATGAAGGATTTAGATAAGGGGGATGGTTGATACTACCCAGTGACAAATGTGATATGAGAGATGATGGTACCATCAATGGAACTTGAAATCATTGCCAATTGGCCATTTTGAGGACATTGGTCTAGGGAAGAAAGATGTGAGTTGCTCAATCTAACTTTAGGGTACATGCTATCTTAAGGGTAAGTGTGAAAAATGTTGATCATTGAGTGTAATAGATTTTCAAATGATCATCTGATCATGGAGACCAGGGAAGTAGTCAGCTTGAGCAAGATCTGGTGGAGATGTTTTATCCATGGTGATGTTAAATACTTGCAGTGACATTGATGAAATACTATTTGGCAAAGCTAGAAGCTTGGAAAATGAACCCCAAGGGTACAAAAAGCTCAAGAGAAGTTCAAAGCAAAGGAGAAGATGACAAATTATGTTGATATTAATGCGAAAAGGCATATTAAGTATAGACATTACAAGGCCCGTAAAATCTTACTAACATGAGCGGTATACTCCTCTAAAAAATATGTATTTATTCGGGATAATCTGATCCAGTCTCTTAAAACGCATTAAAAAGATTATTTTATACTATCCTATGCCCCATTCGGCTACCAGCAGTCATAGCCTAGCTGTTAATCATGCCCTTGTCTAATTTACTAAGGATATTAGGGTGTAAAGTATAATATATTAGACATGTAGGAAGCCATCACCTTCTTATTGGGTATGTCTCGTTTGTCTCAAGAGGAGTAAATATACATTTAAACTTCAATGGCAAGTCATGCATATTTCACAATGGCATATATGATTTAACAGTCTACTTGACTATTGAGGAGTGAAGTGGATCCTCTCATATAACAGTTTACTTGACGAATATGCATTAAGGTTTTTAGATTAGAGTTTCAGAAAAAGAACCTTCTATATAGTTTCTTTCCAATCTCTGTTGTATATTTGTACTAGAGAAACAAAGTGACTAATGCGTACTACCTCAAAGATTGCTGGTGTCTACTATATTGACAGATTTTAGTCAAAGCATCAAGTGATGTAGAGAATGTGATGAACATTCTTTTTTTGTGTTTGACTTCATTAGTAAGCGTCCCATGGATAGAAGGGTCTGGATTAGTGTTTGGAGTTCTTCAAAGTCACTCCAAAAAAGAAAGTTATAAGAATTAGAAGAGCAGATTTTATTTATTTCTGTTTCTACTAAATGACAATTGCTATACGATTTGAACTTGTCTTCTTGTTGAATGTTTATTGAACTCTATATGCAGAAGGTTAATTTCAAACGATATGAAATCTCATGGGTTCATAGGAAATCAATTGGTCATTCAACACCTAATCGCTTTCTTCAGGTATGTTTTTTTTCTATACATTGGGAATTTTTTTGCCCATCCACTTATTTTTTATGTATCTTAAATGTTTGCCCCTAGGAATGCATTATTATTATTTCTACATGGTTCTGTTACGATGAAGTGATTGTTCTGAATGGTCTATTCCTTGCACAGGGTGATTTTGACATTATTAGTGGTGCACCTACATTGGCAACGTCAGAGGTTTTAAAGGTTTATCATCTTATTTGAAGCATTTTCTTTTTTACTTTGTTATGAAGACATTCAAATTTTAACACCTGCAAGTAGATGACACTGATTTTCTTCACATTGAACACGTCCTTAGAAGTGTTGACCTGTCTGCACATATTTCTGGGGGCCAAAAATCATATGCAAGAGTAGAGAAGAAAAGAGAGGAGGGAAATACAACATCGGAGACTGTGCGTGGACTTTTTTCTGCATGTCTGCAGCCTAAAACCAATGATTTTCTTGTAATTATTAATACAGAACGAGTGCCCTCTGTATCTTGTAGTTATATAGGATATTAGACCAGTTGTGATAGAGAACTGAAGGATTCAGAACTCACTGAGGGGCCTGTTCACTTACTAGATCAGACATGGTTTTATTGGGTCCGGAATTCCCAGTAAACCATAACAAGCTTGGTCCAATAGGCCATTCTAAACAGAACAAAAGATCTGCACATACACAATGAGTTTTTGATTAAATGAATAGCTGCCTTATAAAGTTGAACTCAAATACTTATGATGCTGAGTTTCTACGTATGAAGAACTTGAATGTTTTCATTCTTATTTATAACGTTGAGGCACCCTTATGTGTATATCTGTATCTTTCAAGATTTGTTTCAGGGAACCATTAAATTGAACCAATGGCGACATTTACCGATCACTTTTGATGTTGTGAAAATGTATTTTATAGTCGTCTGGCGGCTTACTAACATTTGATGATGCCTCAAATGATCTTGTGCTCCACCGTTTTTCTCTTGTCATGTTTCTCTTTCTCCCCCTCTCTCTCCAACCGCTTCCCGCTCTCATTTCTCTCTCAGAGCTCATTCTAGTAAAAAAATCTGGTGATATGTCTGGGTCTTCCCTTCCTCTGTGAGTCCGCTGTAGGACCTCTCCTTCGGTTGAGTACCCAGAGAGAAAGAGAGAGAGGGAGGAGAGTACAGTAGATGCAGATACGGTGAGGAAGGGGGTGGGTTGTATATGGCTATTTGAGCCACGTCAGTCTAGAGAGTAAAAAAATGCTGATATGGCTTGTCAGCCAGACAACCTTGTTATCGGTACTGTTGAAATTTGACTGCTAAGAGAAATAGTTATTTCACTTAAGAATGCTAGAAAAAATTGAATTCGGTAATTGATATCGTCTTGAAAGTTATTGGGCTTCTTTAGAAAGTTGAGAGTCTACAAATGTTCTTATCAGCTGATGCTCTTTGGGAGGCATTCTGGGAAGAATCACATGAATTATTTCTATTGAAGCAATATTGTTATGATTCCCGCTTTTCTGTTCTTGGTGTCAGAAAGTGGTTTTTTGATTCCTTCAGACTTCAATGTTGAGAGATTTCAAAGTGACACTTGCATTTTTATTTCAGATTGTCATTGACATTGCCTCCAGATTCTTTCATCCCGACACTTTTGATATTCGTCTAAATCATGCTCAAATTTTGGAAGCGATTTGGTCATGGGTAGGGATTGATGAAGAGCTTAGACAAAACATTGCAGAAGTATGGACCGTGTTGATTCCATTAATTGATGCTTGATTATGTTATCAAAATTTATGGTGATAGAGCCATTACAAATAACTCTTTCTCTTATAATTGAAGCTTCTCTCCCTTATGAGCTCATCATGTCCCCAATCTACAAGCCGTAAATCGATATGGGGCTTTATTCGTCGTCAGCTAATGCAGGTTTGTGAACTGTGTAAATAGTTAGTCGACTGTGATTTTCATGCTTGTTAGTGGTTAAGCCTTGGCATTGGCGCTTGTTCTTTTTCTTATTTTTCGAGTGTAAATTTGAGATCAAACTTACTCCATTGAGATGGTTTGGTGGGAGGTGGGGGGGTCTCTTTCTCATGTCATGTCGTGCTGTGCTTGGAAAGCCGGAGAAAAAACAGTTTTAAGAAGTGATTTTTTGTTTTTTTACTTTTACACAGTAGTCATGATTATGATGACAGGATTCTTCAACCCTCTCTTATCAAAGCTGATTGAAAACTGTGCCCCTAATAGGTTTTCATTTCTATTGTTTTTCTTTTTCATTGCTGATGAGCACTTGGTAGTGATGGTTCTTTCTTGGGACTTATGGACACTCGTCAGTGTACAGGCCAACTTGTATTTTTGAATCTTGCTTCCCTTTGGAAAGTAGAACTGAAATTCGCGTATATAAGTCAATCAGGCGTCCTGCATTTTTTGATGTGATGGTTTGAATTATTAAGTGCAAAACATCTAGTTGTCTGAAGTATATGGACAGGTTTTTGTATGTCACATTTAATGAATAGATATCAAAATCTAACTGATGTGACCATGGAAAAGACATTGTTTCTTGTACTGTGGTCAACTGTCGTAAAGGGTAATCATGTGGGTCTGCCAAAAGTCATGGAAACATGGAGCAGCAGTCAGATTAATATGACTGAATAAAGCTGGCTTTTTTGGAACATACGGAGCTGCTATAATTTCAGATTTTCAGGGATAAAGAGCACATGTATGATCACAATGCATGCGCTCCTGCAGCCTGTCCATTTTTTTTTGCCTACTGGATTGTTTTATGGTTTTTCCAGGAGACAAAAGCCTTTATCTAATTACCAAATCTACATAGAAGTGAAAAGGCAAATCCTTTGACAGAAATGATAGGCTAGTATGTGTGAATCGACTTTAATCTCTTTGTCATTTTTTAAACCAGGATCATGGTCTCACAGAGGGTGTTGTTGACAAATTACACGCTGTAGATTTAAGATTCTGTGGTCCTGCTGATCAAGCACTAGCTAGATTGAGAGGGGCTATTTCTTCTGGTATTTTTCTTTTCTTTAATCTGTATTGTATATTGATATTGGTGTATAGTAAAATCCTTAATTTCAATGTGACTGCAGAAATGACTCATAAAGCACTAGAAGAGTTGTCCGATCTTCTAAGCTATCTCAGAGTCTGGAGAATTGAGAAGCACATCTCTTTAGATGTGCTCATGCCGCCTGGGGAGAGTTACTACAGAGGCCTTTTTTTCCAGGTAATGGGGGCTGTTATATTCCATCTCATTGTTTTCATTTGATTGCCTTTCTTTGCTACGAGGAAGGTCCACAGACCAACTGGCATGTTTTCTTAGGCCAGTTTGTTACGCAAACGTTTTATGGTCTGGTGTAGAAGATTGCGTTCTTTTCCTGGTGTAGATCAGTAACGTTTTATGGCACGTTTTCATCATTTCTAAAAATGATTCCGAGGGCACACGGATATGTAGATGTGAATATGGCTGATCTATTCATAGCTCTTTAAGAGTTGGCTTGTGAACAACGCAGCCTAGGCGATCAACTTCGTGTTGAATGGACGCCTTGGGTATATTGGGATATGAGTGGCTGTTTGCATTCACTTTAACAGTCTCATGTAAGAGCTTTCATTTCACCCGAGAAAACCTAAAGACTTTTGTCTCAGCCAAAATCCCAAATGAGACTTGAACAACAATTATGCATTACGTGATGGCTGAATCCAAGTTGGCATGGTGCAAACTTTTTGGAAGTCTAATTGAATATGGGACTATTTCCTTGATGTGTATGTGATTTTTCTTCTTATTGGCCCATTAAGTTGACCAATAATAGATATTATGATTGTGATGCCTAGTCCTCTCTGTCTATAAATAGGCAGTCCTACGAACTTTAAAACTAATTTTTGGCTTTTGTTTTGATATCGTATTAGACCAATTGTTGCTTCTGCTGCATATACCCCATTTAAATACACGTGACAAAAGCTCAAAAGACGCTGTGGATGTAAATTTAATGACTCTGTTAGAAAACATAGAAAACATGGCATTGTTAATACCATAAAAATGTTCAATTTTTTTCAGTTTGCAACTAATGTAGTAACTCAGCTCCTTGATTCTTTTCTCATTGCATAGCAGGTGGCATCGTTAATTCTTTTTGTATGTGAGTCAACTCCTCTTGAGCAACAATCTTTCCTTAGAAACACATACTATAAGGCCGTATCCATTCGAGTTTCTCTGACTTGATCAATACTTAACACATATACTTAGCATGTCATCATTTAACCACTATAATAAAAAAATATGTAAATACTATAATGGCCGTTTTCCCTTTGTGATATTGCACATATAGGAGCCATATTCATGGAAGATCAACCACTGAATATTCAGTGAAATCTTCCGTACTCCAACATTTATAGAAACAATAGCTCCTTAGGTAAGAGCACATGCCATATGAACAGCTCTACTTGCACCCCTTCAGAGGCCACCAAAAAAAGACCACCCTAATATGAATTTAAAGCCTCTTTATTTGTGTCAACAAAGATGAAATGCGTGGATTCGCTCAATTTTACAACTAATATGAGCACAATCTATTGCAACTTGGTTCTTCCCGGAGGAACAACAAGAGTTGGGGCTTCTAAATCGTCCTGTATCGGCAATTATAGAAACTAATGACTTTAATGGTAACTTTCTTCTGCATTTCGCTGTACGCAAACATGAATGGTGATTTTTGTGTTACATGCCAGAGTATCTCTTGAACTTCCTCAACTCCTTTGTTTTTCCACCTGCTAAAATGTGCTCCCTTGTCTACTTACCAGCTACGATCCTAACCAGTTCAGCCTGGTATGATTCGGTTATCCTGGGCGAGTCCTGTTAGAAGTTCAAGACTTAAGTAGTAACTCATTTGTCATTTTCTTGTATGCTGCTTCTATTGCCCTCAATTTCTGAGTTCCATTCTTCCACTCTTATCATACCATTTGAATTTTTTTGCTGGCCAAAATAAACTTAGGACTAATCAAAGGTTCTAGGCTAATCTAGTATCAATGATCCAATTATTGGCTGTTACATTGATAATGATTATAAGAGATTTAATGCTCGTGACCCGGTCCCATTTATCTTTTACTATGTTGTATAAATGAAGAAATGCAATATGACAAGATATAAAAAGTTATTATGCTTCTCCTGACTTCTTCTTACCTTTGAAGTATGCGGATCCACCTGATGTTTTCTGGATAATCTATCTTTCCAACCTTTGCACATTCTGATTCTAACTCCATCCCACTATTGAATTACTTTTCCCAACACATCTTCTTCTCCACTGCCAGCTGTGATTTTGTTCGGACTCTTGTGATGCCACTGTAATATATTAGACAGAAATTTACTTGTGATAACTGACTATTTAAGCTTTTTTTCCTGCAGCACGTCATTTTTTAAACTGTTATCCCGTGCTGCAGATCTACTTAATCAAGGAGAACAATCCAAGTTCTGTTTCTGAGCGTACATTACTTGCTGTTGGTGGCTGTTATGACCATCTTCTTCATCAAATGTGGACTCATGTATGTGGAGTGCTTCAAATTCACCTCCAAACTATTTCCCGTTTTAGCTCTTTAAAATGGTGAATAGTCGAAGATGTCTGCTACACGTTACATTATCAATGCAACTTTTGACAGGAACAGTCCCACAAGCCCAGTTAGTGACGAATGAAGATTTTTAAGGTTCCAAAGAGAATTGAATGCTTTTTTAATGCATTTAAAGACATGGTTTATTTACTTGGCTTCAGAGTAATCTTAGAACATGAGCATAGATGACATAATGACCAAGGGTACTGAGGCATTAGGCTTTTGTTGGCAAAAGTGTAAAATATGAGGAATCTTGCAAAATATAGTTTACCAAGATAGTAATCTGTGTACATCATTTGATATGGGCATTATCTTTTCTAGCCTGTTGGGTGGGTACCATTTACAGCTCTATAGAAAGGGTTAACTAGCTAATGAGATCAAATGTGTTTCACAGTTTACTATACTCTACATATGAGGTATTCTGGAAAGATATCTTTATTCCTTTCTTCTACATGCAGCACCTCTGGGTTGACATTTAATCAGCAAAGCACACTTTTTCTAACTTTTGGTTTATAGTGCCATCTTGGACAATTCCTTTCAATGCTGAAACAAGGAGAAAACTTGGTGATGTAATGGCTTAAAGGATACCAAGCTGCTGAGTTTTGCTGATGAGTGTGAATGATTCTCCATGGCTCTCAACCCATTTTAGTGTCCCCTGTTGGCCGTTGATCACGATCCCTTGAAATATTCTTTGATATCCAACAGTGACACTTGCTCGTTCTGGCATTATAAAATGTACAAACATAAGCAATCGCAGTGTCATGTTTCGAATTATGGGGAAGCAATTCTATCTATGGAGTGGAACCCACCCTGTGTCCCTTGGTGTCATGACTTTTCAAAAGCATCATTGTTTGATAAATTACATGGGAAAGGTGCATGCTTTCTTTCTCAAAGTGGCTTAGTTGCCTTACAAAGGCAATTGGAATAGATGCTTCTGAAAGTTTTCTGTTATTTTTTTTTGGGGACTCATTCTATTTCTATTTTTGTGCTTTTCTTCAAGGGGCTAAATAAATTGAGGTCATTCCCAGATTGTTTTGGCAACAAGTGAAGTGAACACAAATGGGATGATAGATTTGATGCTTTAGGGCATCACGACTAGATATGCCCCCACGTGATATTGAGAAACCTATAATTAGTTTTGAATATCAAATTTTCAAACCTTGTTGAAATATGTAGGCGTATGTTTTGCTAGTACTTCGTGGATGTGTTGTCTGTTAATATAATCAATGAAATTAACCCAAATAAAAATAATTTTGACAGCTTGAAATGCTGACAGGTATGAAAATTTTGTATCCTAATGGAAAAAATCCTCTAAAGAAATTGTCTGAACACTATTTTATTGTTGTGACATGGATTCTTTTGGAGCTTGTATATGATGGTCTGAAATGTTGTTCAGAAGGTAAACCCTCCAGGCGCAGTAGGGGTCAGCCTTGCACTGGAAAAGATCCTTCATCATCCTTCTGTAGAGATTAAACCTTCCAGGTCAAGATGAATTCTCTTTAGTTCCTTTTTGAATGGATTTTGCCTGCCTTAAAAACATAGTATAGAGTTCATGTGATATCATTTTCCTCGTTTATGTTGCAGGAGCGAACTTACTTTTAGCGTTCTTGTCTGCTCGAGAGGCGGAGGTGGTATGCTAGAAGAACGAATGGAATTGGTTGCTGAATTGTGGCAAGCTAACCTGAAGGTGAGACTTGCATAGGTAGTTATCGTTCTTAATGAAATCTTGCATAATGTGAATCAGCTTAATGAGCTTGCTTTAGTTATTGCTTCATTCTCTTCTCCTCTTTCAGTGTGTCCAAAGTCTGGCATTGTGTTATATCTAAGCAAGTTGTGTGCCAACTTTGTCAAAAGTTTGAATGTTTCATCTCAAGATTTTGATTGTAGTGGTGGACTTCCTCATCCCTTTTTGTTTGAATTAAGGATGGTGCAAGTTCGAAAATTGTAGCACTGAATTTATAGTGTTATGTTATGTCTGCTTTCCTATAGGAGTCCCACAGTGAATCCTCACATACCAAGCAAGTTACCCTTCTCTAATCGTACTTTTGAGTAGAAATAGCCTGAATGCTGGCAGCTACTTGGTTCCTTGTGGAACATCACATCATACAACGAAAATTTTCGGGCCTTTTTGGCCTTTTTTGGTCCAAGACTTCTGATTTCTTTATGTTTTCTCAATTCACAGGCAGAATTTGTTCCCCTATCAGATCCAAGCCTCACATTGCAGTATGAATATGCATATGAGCATGATTTTAAATGCCTAATAATCATTACGTCTGATTCCTGGCAGACGGGATGTGTAAAGGTAATACATGCTTCTGAAGTCACTTTGTCTTTGTAAACTGAAATATCCCTTGAGATAGTATCTACAATTAGCGATCATATCCTCATTTAATTACTTACTATTGGCTGGAATTTTTGATTTCAATGAGAACAACTATTTTGTTTAAATTTGGGTATTGATGTCTTAACTGTAATTTAGTTCCTTTGATTTTTTAAATCCTATTTTTTTTGGTTTTATATGTATTTTACATTGTCCACTTGGATACTCACTTTTCATCTATTTCTGATGGCTGTCAATCAGCTCGCCATATAAAATACAGTTAATAATGCTCTTTTTTTCACTTTTTTTGCTTAAAACAGATTTAAGGTGATATCTACCACTTTCTCTGACGTTTCAAACCAATTAAACCATGATGGATGAGAGTTGTGGGAAAGAATGTATCTTTAGGAGTTTAGCTCTTAGCTGGACTGTTTCTTAGTTCGTTCATTTCCTATTTGTGTATTTCATGACAAGAATTCTAGGTGGAAGATTGGATATTCTAGAGAATGGGGCGGACTCTACTACCTTGGAGCACCAACTCAGTCAAACATTGCAGAGGGCAATCTACCACATTCTATTAAGCTTCATTCATCCACGAAAGAGATAACTTGGCATTACCATCACATACTTAGACATTTATCATTTAGGGTTATTTTATGTTTCAATATACATATCAAAATTTTTGGAGTTAGGTTGCCAGTAGGAAAGAGACCTTTGGGCTGTAAATTTTAGTTATGTATTGAGCAGATGGATCTATAGAGATATAAAAGGTTAACTTGGTTGTGAAGGGCTACACTCAAACCTATAGGGTTGATTACCTAAAGATTTTTTCTCTGATTATGAAGATCAATTTGCCTAAATATTATTGTCACTAGTGTCTAATTATGGCTGGAAACTGTATCAATTTGATGTTAAAAATAAAAAAATTGCATAGTGAACTTAAGGAAAATCTTACATGGAGGTCTTAGTGAGTTGTGAAAGTAATTTGGCTGCTCATATTGTGTGCAAGTTACATAAAGTTTGATATAGACTGAAACAATCACCTCAGACATGATTTGATAGATTCACAATTGTCAAACTGTGCAGATCTATCTTTAGGGTCTATTTTTGTAATATTGTAGTCATACCCTTATGAGATCTAGTTAGTTATAACAGATCCTCATAATGGGCCCTCGACCTTGAACTAATAGGGTCCACTTGTAACCCTTAGATAATATGGGTTTGAATGATGAATGAAAATAGACTCCTATTTTTGAACTACAAATCTTGGAGTAGCGACTTTGGTGACCTAGAGGAAAATATCCACACCCTCTGGGCCTTGATTAATGGGCTAAGGAAATTAGGATGAAAGGGGAACAAGAGGAGAATTTACTCGGAGCTAGTAGCACGTGAAGCTCAAGATGAAGGAGACCAGATAGTCAACTACATCAGGTGTCAATGTGTCATCCACCTTAGTTGCACACTCATCAATTATAGAGAGGAAGAGATCAGTCCAAATTCTTCTAAATATTCCAGAAAAACTGAAGTACGATGGTAGGAATCTTATTCAATGGAGGCAATATGTAGAGTTAATCCTCTTGGGAAGAAGATTAAGCAATCTTCCGATAGAGGTTCCTGATCTTTCAAATTTCAAATACAATGTGTGGAGAGCAGATGATGCTATCATCCTTACATGGCTCCTAGGCACAATGACGGGAGGCATGTATGAGACCTTATTTTTTAAGACTACCAAAGAATTATGGGACTTAGTCTGCAAGAGTTGTTCCAAGTGAAATAACGATAGGAGTATTTATAGCCTTGTAATAAGGCTAAAAATCTCACTCAAGGTGAGAGATCTATACTTGAATATGCTTGTCTATCACAAGCCATATGGAGGGAAGCCGATCATTATCGACTAGCACAGAACCCTGAATCTCAGGAGTGGGCATATACCTTGAAGGATCAGTTAGACAAATTTCTCATGGGGCTAAACATAGAATATGAGTCATTGAGAAGTCAAATTCTCAATAGAGAGGTCCCAAATTTAAAAGAAGCAATCCAAATTGTGGTTGACGAGGGAACTCATCTGAAATTCGTACCTAGAGTTGCTAAGGAGGATATGGGGACAATGCTTTCAACAAAGTCAAAAGACATCATCGACAAGAATAGAGTAGAAAACTAGGCAGCAGCAGCAGCAACAAGTGAATCATTTGGAAAAGTTTTATAAAGGAGAGACAAGGAACAAGCTATGGTACTTATTGGAAGAAGACGAATCACGCAGAAGAAAATTGTTGGAAGCTGCATGGAAAACCTCAAAGACAAGGACATGTGTATGTTATGGGAACAAGGAGTAGAAAAATCAGCGATTGAGTCTATTATGGTAGTCTAGAACACAACAATTGCCAAAAATGATAGAGATGAATTCAGTCTCTTAAAAGAGGAGATTGAGAAGCTGAAAGCTCTCTTTGGCTCCATTTTTGTAGCACGATTAGGTGAATATCAAGCATTTCTAGGTATACATCCCTCTCCTTTAAGTGTTAACTAGATATTAGACACTAGTGCTATAGATCATATGACCCCAAATAGGTCAAAATTCATTACATATTTTACTTGTGGTGAAAAGAAAAAGGCTTTTACTGCAGGTGGTTAGATCCTTCTAGTGGTTGGTATGGGAAGCCTAATCTTAAGGCACACCTTATTTCCCCTCAAAAGTTGGTTAAAGGCGCCAATTGTCAAATAACACTTGACCATGGTGGTTGTTTTATTTATGATAAGGGATCAAACTATAGGATTAGGTCTATTAACGAGGGGTGTGACCTACGTTATTTTGAAGAAAATGCTATCTCAATGCTTATGACTGACTGCTCGGTATCAAGGGAAGGAGATGACTCCTGAAGACTAGACCAAATGAAGTTGCTTCACTATTGGTTGGGACATCCTTCTTTTGAACTTTTGAGAACAATGCTTCCTTCCCATGTTAAACACTATGATGTGACTAAACTCATATGTGATACATGTTAGTGGGCCAAGCACAAGCGAACCAACTTTGGAGGGGTGAGTGGATAAGCAAATCTACCTTCTATCGTATTCACAATGATGTTAGGGTCCCGTGTCAAATGGCTGCTATGTCCAGAGCATGGTGGTTTGTGGTATTGATAGATGACTACACAAGACTCTTATCTTCTTAGACATAAATCTCAAATATAGGAGTAATTCAAGCATTTTGCTCCATGATACAAAATCAATTTTGAACTTTCATCAAACGATTCCAATCTGATAATGCAAAAGGTTATTTTAATGAGACTTAGACCACCTATTTCATACAACATGGGATTGTCTATGAGTCATCATATATCAATACTCCACAATAGAATAGAGTGGCTGAGAGGAGGATTAGGCACCTAGTGGAGACCACAAGAGTGTTATTGTTCCATCATCAAGTTCCCAAGTATCTTTGGGGAGAAGCCCTATTGAAGGCAGTCCATTTGATCAATAGGCTGCCTTCTAAGACATTGGGATATCATGGCCCACTTGATCTAATGTCTCAACAATATCCTCATATTACGCTGAAGATAAGTCTAAGATTGAAAATATTTGGATGCACAACTTATGTTCATGCTACCATCTAGGAGGTAAACTCAATCTAAGGGTGATTAAATGTGCTCTGTAGGCTACTCTACGACCCAAAAAAAATATAAATGCTACCACTCAGGCCTGAAGAAGTTCTGTCTCTGTTGATGTTACATTTAATGAACATGAAAGCTACTTATCATCCACAAGAGAGGTGCAAATAGAAGTCAAGGGATCATCTAGTCAGTACAATTTTGTAATCTAGACTGAGCCACCATCAATGATGAATTCATCTCCACCTAAAGATCTCTGAGTGTCCATGGGCAAGATGTGACCATACTCGAAGACCAACCATAAATAAAGAGAACTTGCGTGTGTCTGAAGTCAATTTTGATATGGGGAATCAGCCAGATTGTAGTGAAACTTCAGGAGGTGATAAGGAGAATATTTCAAGCCCACAAGTATTGATTGAAGAAGATCAGCTTGATTTGCCCATTGCCTTGGGGAAAGGTATTAGAACCTACACAAAGAAAATATTATATCCTATGCCTAATTTTGTGGCATATGAATGCCTTTCTCCTCAATACAAGGTACAAGCTTAATTTTCATAATTATTCTTAGAACTGTGGAAGAAGCCCATAGGATAAATTGAAAGGCCATGGATGCAGAAATGGAAACAGTAGACAAAAATAACACATGAGAAATAGTCTAACTTTCTCAAAACAAAAAATCAGTTGGTTGTAAGTGGGTGTACATTGTGAAGTAAGACTCAGATGGATCTTTGGAGATAAGTAAAGCTTGAGTTGTTGCCAAAGAATATACTCAATCCTATAGAAATGATTATTTGGAGGTTTTGCACAAGTTGTAAAATTAAATACAGTGAGTATACTGATTGTATTAGCAGCTAATCTTGGGTGGTATCTAGATCAATATGACATGAATAATACTTTTCTTTATGAAGATCTGGACAAAGAGATTTAAGAAGAAGGGTATGTCGGCTGAGAAAAGTTTAATGTGGACTGAAGTAGTCCTCTTGGGCCTAGTTCGAAAAATTCTCTAATGCTATGAAGAGTATGGGTTACAGACAAAGTAATGATGACCATACTTTGTTTGTTAAACACTGCCATTTAGGGGGAATGACAATCCTTTTAGTGTATGTGGAAGACATTATTATTTTAGGAAATGACAAAACAGAAGCACATACTTTGGGCCAACACCTTTCAAACCTATTTGAAATCAAGTCTCATTGGGACGGTTGTGATACTTCTTGGGCATAGAAATTGCCTATTTAGAGTAGGGAATTTTCATTTCCCAACAAAAATATACCCTAGATTTCCAAGAGACATGGAAGATAATGTGTAAACTGTCTGGCACACCTAAAGATCCAAACTTGAAATTGGGGTTCTGCGAGGAGGATAGTTTAGTCGAGAAAGAGCAATATCAAAGATTAGTTAGCAAACTAATCTACATGAATCATTTGAGGCCAGATATTACATTTGTGGTGACGATCCTTAGTCAATTTATGCATGATCCTCGGGAACCTCATCTTCAAGTTGCATACAGAGTATTGGCCTGTTTAAAAGGTACAATTGGTCAAGGATTATTATTCAAAAGAAATGGTAGAACCTCAATGAAAATCTACATGGATGTAGATTATGCATGCTCAGTGGTTGATCAGAGGTCAACCTTAGGATATTGCTCTTTTATTGGGGGAAATCTAAAGACCTAGAGAAGCAAGAAGCAAAATGTAGTTGCACGATCTAATGAAGAGGTGAGTTTAGATCAAAGGCATAGGAAATTTGTGAGGCATTATGGATTAAAAGTATTTTGGACAATCTTAAAATCCAACACTATGGATCAATTATGTTAAATGTAACAAGTCAACAATTGACATTACTCATAATCTTGTGCAAAATGATCGAACAAAGCACATTAATGTGGATGGACACTTCATCAAAGAGAAAATTGAGCAAGGGATTATTCAAATTGCATATATTCAATCTTCATTCCAAGTGACAGATATTTTTTTTTCTAAGAGCTTCTAGGCACTACATTCCACAACTTAACTCGCAAATTGGGCATGGAAAACATCTTTGCACCAACTTGAGGGGGAGTGTCAAACTGCATAGATCTATCTTTAGACTCTATTTTTGTAATATTCTAGTCATACCTTCATGAGATCCAGTTAGTTATAACAGATCCTCATAATGGGCCCTCGACCTTGCACTAGTAGGGTCCATTTGTAACCCATATATAATATGGGTTTGAATGATGGACGAAAGTAGACTCTTAGTTTGAATTGAAAATTTCGGAGCGGTGGCTTTAGCAACCTAGGTTTGGAGTGAAGTACTCTGACAACAATTGTAAAGATTATCATGGGGTATAGATAGAATCAAGGAGACTACACAGTTCAATTAACACTCATCCTTAGAGTGAGTCAATGGACTCTCATAATTGGGATTTTGAAAGATGATATCTGAGTCAGTATCTGGTGAAGGAGTTTGACGTTTAAGTATCAGGGAGACTGTAATATTTTCTCAAGATTGAGGTCACTCACTCAAGGCAAGGCATTTTCATCTCCCAGCTAGTGTATTACAGATCTACTTATAGAGACAGGCAAGACTACATGCAAACTAGCGAATACTCTGATATATCAGAGCCTCAAAGTTGGAAAGGCAGAGAAAGATGTTGTTGTAGATAGGGGGATGTATTTTATGCAAGGTCAGTGGTTGATAGTAGATCAACCTTTGAATCTTGCATTTTTCTTGGCAACAATCTAGTAATGTAGAGAAGCAACAAACAAACTATGTTAGCATTGTCAAATGCAGTCTGAATTCTAAGCAATGGCCTCATGATCTATGTGAGGCTGTCTAGTCTGAAGAAATTCGAGAGGTGACTACTGCAGGATGGTCAAAGGCTATGGAGAAATAGACATGCTCTAAAAAGGTCTAGAAAGAGGATAAGCTGATGAAATAATGTGTGGCTAATGAATCCACAAAGGGAATTCGAAAGAAAAAGGTTCACTATAATGAAGGCGTTTGTGGATGAAACCTCAGTAGCAAGAGATACAGTGGGTGAGGTAATCATAATTCGTTATAGATTAATTGAAATCCACTGTCAGGTGTCACGGGAGACTAACTAATATCTGCCGCACAAGGCATCTGGACTAAAGAAATTTGAGAGACAGGATGACAAGTTAATCAGCAATGAACACATCCAAGATAGAACCTAGATTGAGGATAATAATGATGGTGTGGATCCAATAAATCCTCAAAGTGAATACAAGTACAAAAGAAAAGGACACCATAATGTGAGCAGTTTTTGATGAAACGTCAGTAAAAAGAAAAATAATTTGGCAGTGTGATTTTGGATGGATAAGCAGTATTTTTAACATAGCGTCTGGGACAGACTTTAGTTTAAGACCAACTAGAAAATATCTGCAACATGTTAACTAGTTCTGAAATGTACAGCTCCTTTAAGGTTATTTTTAATCGTTATAAATTCCCTAGAATGCTGCTATTTATGCTTCTTCATTCAATTTTATGAATTTGTTGAATATTATAGACCCATCCAGGTCATGGCCGATAGAGCCCATACCCTGTCGACCTATAATGTTCAGCAGAATTAATATGCTTGAAGACTTTTATCCTTTTGTATCTTTCAATACATTTGGTGTTGTTGATATACATAGCATAAAAATGTATTTCATGTGCAGTTTCGTCATCTTGAGCTGAAGAAGGAGAGAGAAATTCAAAGAATTAATCTTATAAGGTTCTTAAATGACGCTATTTCATCGCAGTTCAGGAATCCCTCAGTATGGAACTGATATTTCATTTATTTTCGCCTTATACCAGGTTAGTGCTGCTTTTGTCTTCTAATAACGACTTAAAGACTGTTAAACTATCGTATCCATGATTTCTAATCCTCTAGTTTAGGGTCGTAGATTGCTGATAAGTTCTTTTCAAACGAAATCGATTATGCCAACTTCTTGATACTCAATTCCATTGGAGATTCGAAAATGCTTCTACGTAAGCTGGGTATTGAATATCATACTTTTAGGATAGCGGAGGAATTATGGAATGATTGGGGTCTAGAAGACGTAGGGTTTGATAACTTGTGGTGCATACTGCCCATTTGAGCCATTCAAAGTGAATGGTACAGCTGACCTTTAGACTAAGAAAATGATCTTCCATACTGCCCATACTGCCCATGTTGTTGATCTTCCAGTCACGTTTGTATGCTCTAGAATAAGAAAATGAACAAGTTCTAATATTGAGAAGCTTCTTATTACCAAATCTTTTGAGTGGTGGGTCCTAGACACCATGAACATTCTTTTACACTGGCAGCTGTTTTTCTATTTTAATCAGGCTGAGATTCTGTAGCAGGAAAGGAATAAGAAAACCGGTACTCTTATCTGTTTATTTTTAAATCTTTGTATATCCCCGAAAATTTATCCCTTTTTATCCATTTGTTGCGGAAATAATCTTTCTCCACCACCACCCAGTCTTCAAGAAACATTATCACCGCAGATTCCAGAATGCTAACACCCATCAACTTTAACCACTCATCTATCCTCTCAGAAGCACAACGTGGGATGCCCAAAGTAGGCACATTGCTTCTGTAAGATCATAGGCTTCCTAGGAACCTTATGTAGGTTGTTGCTGAAGGGTATAGGTGGAGGATTGAGACGGATCTTCGGGAATCTATTCAGATTGGTAAAAAGGAACTGTCGTGGTTGGTTCTCAACTTCAGGTCCTGTAACCTAGATGATGCCTGCCTGAGCTTTATTCTTTTGCTGAACCTTTTAGAAGACCTGTTTGAAATTGCTTAAACTGATGCTTTTGCTCATGCTTACATTCTTGCAGATGGCAAAATTTACTGTCTACCTATATACAACTGAAGCCCAGTTTGGATATTCCAACACCGAGGGAGAGAGTTCTTGCCTAAGTTGACTTGCCTTCACGAGTACGATATAAGTCTAAGACCCGATTTATTTTTGTTTCCTTTTATAAGTTATTTGACAGAAAAAAGTTGTATTAGATGGTTTGAAAAAATGATGAGTCGATTGAGTGTAAATCTCCAATTTACAATGAGTCTTTCGGATGCTCACTAGAAAAAGATTAAGTTGGGGGTGTTATAGATGTGTAGAAAATCATAGTTGCACACTTTTTTGCAGGAAATAGTGTTCCGTACCATGATTATTGAATGTTCAGATAATAATATTGAATGAACGTTGTGAATGGTCTCGAAGGAAAGTACTATGATTGTTTCCTTAAAAGTGAATAGCATGATTATTATGAAGAATGTCTTTTTCCCAAGTTATCCCCAGAATCTAGCTTGTCTACTAGAAGGAAATGAGTGTAAATTATCTTGGCTTCTTAGTTTGGACCATGAAAGAAATAGAGAGTTGTTAAATGAAACCTACACATTGTCAAATAAGTATTCATTGTGAAGAAGAAATGAAGAAGAGTGTGGTTAAGCACTAAGAGTAAAAAGTGCCAATTATGGATGTAGACAGCTCATTTGTATTTTGAGTAGATTTCTTCTAACTTTCATTCATTATGTGAATTTATTGTGATTTCTATATGGATTCATGATGCTGTTCTTAGATCTTTGGGAATAATTTATACTGATCTTGGTGAATTGATTTAAGAGTTCATGTTAAAAAGAAAAATGGTGGGTTATAAGCTTTTGCCCATTATGTTTGATAGTGGTGTGAGACATCCTATGTTAATAGTTAACTAAATAAAGATAAATAAATTTTTTTGGGGTATGTTGGAATATCTAGTCTAGTGTCTTGAATAAATATGTTTTTCGAATTTTGCATGAAGAAAATAGATGTCAACAAATATAAATGCAATAAACGACATCAAACTAGGTTAGAAGAAGATTATTTAAAAGAAAAATAAGAGAAAGTGTGTCATCTTATGTGTTGATCAATTAGAGAGTTGAGAGCAAGCGTTGGATTTTTCTAACATTATTTAGGTCTATAAAACATGTCATTTCATAAATAGAGTTATAATGAAACTAATATTCAAGAAAATAACTTTGAATTATTTCAAGGAAAGAAAATCCAATAAAAGAAAATCTTTTGGGAGAATGCAAGCATGTCAAGAGTCATCCAATCGATTTTGATAGTTATAAATAAAAGTGTTCAAACTAGACTGAAACTAAAAATTGGATAAAATATGAATATGCTAATTTTTAAATTTTATCCAAAAAATGAGAAAGAAGTTTTAGAGGATGAAGTTAGAGTTCTCTCATAATAGAAGAATTAAATTAGTTTGAGGAAAATAAAGTTTTGACATTAGTTTCAAGAATAACCGAGAAGTATGTCATAGGAAGTAAGTTTATTTTCAAAACTAAATTAAATCTAGATAGAAAATAAATTATGAATAAGGTTAGGCTAGTGGCACAAGGATAAACTTTAATTGGAGGAACATACCACAATGAAACTTATGATCCAGTAGTTAGATTAAATATAATTAGAATATTGATATCCTATGCAGGTAATGAAAAGATATCTTTGTACAAAATAGATGTGAAAATTGAGCTGTTAACTAGATAAGTTAACAAGTGTATAATAGTTAACTCCTTGGTTATATAAATTTATTATGTCTTAATCATGTTCTAAAAATATCAAAAACTGGATATAAATTCAAGTAAAGTCTAATGCCTACTAGGAAATAATTTTAATTGAGCAAGTCTAGACATCCCTTTATTTATTGAGGAAAAAATCATATCCTTATTGTTCATATATATGTTGATAATATAGTTTTTGGGTACACAATTTTTTTTTTGTAATAATTTTAAATACCATGAAAGATAAATTTGAGATGAGCATGATGAGAGAAGTTAATTATTTCTTGGTTTATAAGATCGAATTTTCCTCTTTCAATTGAAATGTGCTAATGAACCTTTAGAAAAGTATGATTAAATAGGAGTAAAAAGAAAGAAAACTCCTATGCGTTGGAGTATCAATTAAATAATATGTTCATGTCACAAATACACATTATAAAATAAATGGATTGGATTATACTGCTCATACAGTACCATTAAAACACATAAATAGTCTTCATGACATGATTAGGATCTAGATGGTGTCCTACATCAGGTCCTCACAATAGTGAGAACACTTGAACTCAAGCGTGGGGTTAAAAAGTATAGCTTGAAGGAATCACATCAATCGTCAAAATTTATATTTACTAGACTACAGAAAATTTCAAAGTAATTAATCATTTACTTTTCTGTTTATAATCAAAAGTAGAAATTCAATATAAATAATTCAAAAGAGTTCCATAACGAGATTTGTTATGTCTAGTTTTAGACTCATGCATGTATTAATGACTTGTGGATTAGCTGAAATAGGTTCAAAATTTTGTATTCATATTATAAGACTCTAAAAAAAGATAGGTTAAATTTATTATATAAAGGAGTGTTTATTGATATCGAGGGAGCACCAACTAGTATCCCATTTATTAATTAGGTGAGAGAAAGTATATTAGCAGAGAAAATAAAGAAATTACTAAAGTTAAAATTCCTTCATAGGACAAAGTTATTCATACAAATAAGGTGATTGATGAATTGCAATGGAAGAGTTTTCGTGATTAACAACTCATTCAATTTTGATAAAACTCAATTCTCATATGATTTCCTAACTTAAATGTTGTCTCAAGCATCATATCAAGGAGCAAAATGCTTCATCTTAGTAGTGATTCATCTGACTCTAATGTCCTTACATTCTTGAGTAGCCCAAGTTAAATATCTAAGAAAGAAAATATGATAAAAAACCATTAAATGTTATTACCATTGATAATAGTGAAAGTATTGTTATATCTTTAGGTTGAAAAATTAAGGGAAAAAACCAAGGCAGTACTTCTTGATATCGCTAAATGGAGAAATAATACATACAAAAAAGAAAAACTTTTTCTGGTTTATTTATAAAGAAAACTTACTAAGATGTTCATCTGATAATTTTATATGGATAGATGTCATTTTATTGTTGGTAGACCAAGTAATTTGATGTGGATGGGAATTATTGTATTAGAGATAATATTTATGGATTATAGAAAACTTGGAAAAGTTTCACTACCTAGTTAACTTATTATTTAAACCTTATCACACTATTGAAAATAGGCGTTAGTAAGAAAGTAGAAATAGTGACTTATAAAATACAAGAATTACCATATGCCATATTATATGATTTTACTCCTTGCATGAGGGACATTCATCATTATATTAACATTATTGCTAAAGCTAGTCTATTTAAATTTCCAAATTTTATGGTGAGTTTGAAAAATAGTGAAATTCTCTAAGAGAATAAAAAGAATTGTTCTAGAATGGGTTGATGTGAGAGATTATGAGCCAAAGTAATGTTTTACCATTGATGGCACAGCATTTGTAGATAGCATATGTAGATAATCTCATGTAATAACAAAATTATAGTGAAATATTGATATTATATTCACAAGTTACTAATATATTTGACTCTTTTTGGCACAAATATTATCTTAAAAATAGTAACCACCAAATCATAATACACCTAGGTAATTAATGGAAACTATTTTTTTAAACTACAAAAGGCTAATCTATTAAGCATTGCCGGTTCCATTATATTTGTCTAGATTGATGAGAATGATGAGTCAATTGCTCAAACCATTTATTCTCAATTTTTCCATTTCCTATTTTAAATATTTATAACCATGCAAAAGGAACATCCATCGCACTAAAGAGAGGGACTAAAAGCATTGAACAGGCGTAGTTCTATAGTTTTTGAAACCTTCTGTGACAAATTTATGAGGAAGTTTAGTACAACTGAAACACAGT